AATGGAATTTCTTTATCCAAGTTTTCTGTATCCTGCATTATCTTATTACATTTATTATCTTGGTCAATGATGAAGTGTTTGGCCAGTAAACAACGCCTCTCCATTACAGACACACAAAAAGAAATACCGGGCAATGTGAAAGAAAAGAATGTCTAAACCACATTCCAGCTGCTGCTACAAGATCTGATCTGCCGCCATTTTCAGACAAAGTTTTTTCATTTGCCATGACTAACCAGAGAGCACTTTTGGGAGACAAAGGGGAGAAAATGAAAGTAGAAGTTGACCGCTCAAGCCAAAAATGGCTTTAAAGAATGAGAAGACTTAAAAATCTACTAGTGTGTGTGTGTCTGTATTTGTGCACGTGTGTAGACATCTGTATCCAATGAAAACGAAAGTCTAAAAAATAATTATACTACACTGTACATCAAAATTCAAATGTTGGTATTCTTATTTTTTTAAAGTAAAATGGAGTGTATGTCAATTAAAACTGTATATTTTTCTGTTGAGAAATTCAACTTAAATGATAACTCTCTGTAAAAGCACACAAGTTGAATACCTTTCTAGCTTTACACAGTGATATTAGCCAATCAAGCACATAAACATAGTAATACCCCCCCCCCCCCAAAAAAAAAAAAAAAAAAAAAATTACTGTTGCATACACTGTACATGTACAATGTAATTTTGTATGGACCACAATTATACATGTATGCACAAAATATTAGTCATACATTCACATGAAGATAATGTTCTGCTTTCTTGTATTTGCTGGCTAACTTTTCCTTCTTCTTCACCAAAGCCTCTTTTAGGAATGTTTGTAGAAATATTATTTGCATAAAGGTATTATGTATTTTTTGTTTCTCAATACTATTACCCCAGGTATCTCTGCTTCTCCTGATCAACATGTCCATGTACAGTATACTGGTAAACAAAATCATACCCTGATTCCAACATTGGTAAACTTCAAAGAATAGTCGGTTCTAAGTCAACTTATATGTACATGTACTACCAGTAATCCTATGAGGTATATTTTGACAACCATTATGAGATCGATATACCCAAAACATGCCATACAGACAAAAGGACAAAATAAAGAGAGGTGCATCTTCTAAGAGACATTATAACACTTGTCAGAGAGTTTATGCAAGAAAGACTGTGAATGCAGTTGAACGCACTGACCATCATGCTTGGATCAGAAAGTGTGGAAAAGCTTTGCAAGTCCCACATTGACCTGTACAGCCATATCAAGACACTAGACATCATCCGTATTAGTGTTGTAACATCATGGATATCTCAAATTCCGTATAACCGCCAGTCAAAACCGGACGGTTTGCGGTTAAAACGATTAAAAAATAAAAAAAAAAAAAAAATAAAAATTATAATTTTTTAAATAATTTGTGTTTTAATTGAAAAATCAAAAGAAATCACATTATTAACAAATAATGTAAATAATTAGAAAAAAAATCACTGAACAAAAGCGGAGACTTTACTGTCGGGCATGCTTTGGAACAATAACTGGGTTTCACTTTGTTTATGAAGCTAATGAATCTAGTACGCACGTGTATTCATGTTTATAGCTCACGATCATGATATTGCAGAGGTCAGGATTTGGGATTTAAATGGCATCAGTGAAGTATTGTGCATGTATTTCAAGGCTGGCCTGGGAACTAGTTTTACAAGTCAACTTCTCAATCTACAATCTTGCAATTGATTGTTATTGTGTAGATTGTTGCTCTGCAATTCAACATTCAACAGTCAGGGCTGACTTATGATGACTATAATGTCGCCCAAACTTGTTTTTGTTCAGTGATTTTGTTTCTAATTATGTACACTACATGTATTTGTTGATAATGTGATTTCTTTTGATTTTCCTTTAAATTAAAAAAAATAATAATTACAAAAAACAGGAAAACGAAACCGTCCAATCGAAAACAGATAGTGCCATTGACGGTCGGATACCGGTCGGATACCGGACGGTTAAAAGTTTGACTACAGCACTAATCCTTATCATGAAGGAACAGGAACCAAGAGCTTTTCAATTGAAGTCAGTTGACCGCACTGACCAGTGATCAACTGACAGTGATGCTTGGATCTGAAAGTGTGGAAAAGCTCTGCAAGTCCCACATTGACCTGTACAACCATATCAAGACACTAGATACATCATCCTTGTCATCAAGGAACAGGAACCAAGAGCTTTTCCTCAAGGACTTCATGATGCCTGAATTCCTGTTGTAGCCTGGAACTGTAAATCTTGATGCTATGTGGATCCTATCGGATTTGACTGGGTCCATTATATGAGGGGAAGTGGGTGGGTGGGGGGAGGTGGGTTCAATTTGTAGAGAAAAAAAAGGGTAGGGGGCGGTGTCATTTGTCTAATGTTATGATGGGTAAGGCTGCAACCCTAAAGGTCATGTGCCTGAAGTTACTACTTTTAGGTGGGGAGTTTTCCACTTCCAGGGTGTACTGAGTCATTTGCATGCATATTGATTTCCTACATGTATGAATATGATTTTGGACATTTTTGAAAATCTGTGAATGAATAGGACCAAGGTTAAATTAATTTTTAAAAGTTGCCCCTTGCCTACATGTACAGGGATTTAACCAGAACAAGGGGCAATTTTCGAAAAACAGATAATGAAAACTAATTACACAAGTTATTTAAGTTAAAAAAAAACAATGTTAATTTCATAATGCGAATATGTTCACAAAATTTCCGCCACACTCTCAGCGGAACACGAACGGTCTATGGTGGGAAGCTAATGTGCTGGCAGTTTGCCAGTGAGGCTACTGCTACTAGATCTGCTGCACGCAAAATTACAGGGACTCGAAAGGTTCGCGGTGGGAAGCTCGCCGACTAGATTTATGACAAAACAATGTTAGATCGGCTGCTGGCAAAATGAAAGCAACTACATGTACGATCAAGAACATTGTCGGTGATATGATAAGTGAGATGATATGATAAATTAGACCAACAAATGAACCTTGATAGATCTGTAATGACTATACAAATGCCAGTGTTTATTTTTCCATTTGACAATGCATATTGTCTGCGCAAGCATGACACGTCGCTTCTGTCAGTCTTTCACTGTGCCCCCCCCCCCTTTTTTATTTTCCACAATTAGTAAACTACCTACAAGTCACTGCAAGAGAACCTTTCACTACACGTATATATGGTGTCACTGGGCCCCATTCAAGCTAATGATAATTTATATGAATGAAATACCCATCACGGGTACTGGGAACCTCGTTGTCCCACTGCCTTTCGGTAATTTATTATAAATATATTTCTAAACCTCAGGAAATGGCATCATGGTCGTGCTGTGTTCATGTGATCATGTTCAAAGAATTTGTCTGTGTACATGTATGTATCAAGTTTTTCAGACATGCAATTTTTAATTGTGTAAATGATCAGTGACACACTCACTACTGGTATGTTAACTACTGGTCACTTGCCTGTCAATTGGTCATTTTCGTAATGTAATTCAAATTGAATGCAAAAATCTTTAAGTGCCTTGTTACAAATGATTTCATTCACCTGATACAAATAGAGTTAAACCTGTCTATAGCATCTTTTACTGTTCTGTGGCTCAGTCAAGCGAAAACGAGGCAGAAAGCTGGTCGAAATTAAATGAACAAAGATTGGTTTGGTTTTAGACTTTTAGTCAAAAGAAAAATACGAAATGATTTTACATATTTTTATTTCTTTGAAATTGTCCAGCCCAGGCGGGGAAGGACCTTTATTTTGCTGCGAGGTGCAGTTGTAGGCGCCGATTTGTGCATGTGAACTTGTCACAAATAATGGTTGTTTTTAAAAAATAAGGATGACAGACAGAAATCCTGACATTGGCAGCTAGTTTGGTTCTAGTTTCAGAGTGGTGAGTGAGTCGACACCCTGTGTATGATTGAGCTGGGAGACACTTTGGCGCTAGTTCAGAATCATATCCAGACTTTGACCCGTAACTCTGGAGTAGAGATACCCTACTTAAACATACCAAATATCAAGTAAATATTCATCAAATGTGCAGATAATGGTAATGATTTAATGTTGACTTGTTGTTAAATGTTTCTTACCTGTTTCATGTCAATTTTCTTCTCTTTGGGGGAGAATTTTTCAGAAAAAACATTGATATTAGTATACACTTTTTCACAGATTTCACTGCAAATCGCTGAACAATACAAGTGCATACCGATGGTGGTGGGTTGCGGGCGGGCGCGCGCCTGTGTGAAGTTTATCTTCGGTCTCAGATCCCCATTACGGTAGATAACTTCACACAGGCGCGCGCCCGCCCGCAATCCATCACCGGTATGCACTTGTATTGTGCAGCGGTTTGCCATGACACCTAAAGAAAATTTACACGAAACAGGTAAGAAACATATTTTAACAACTTTTAAATCATGACCATTATTTGGACATTTGATGAATATTTACTTGATAATGATAATTGGTATGTTTTAGTAGGGTATCTCCACGCCAGATTGGTCATGGGTCAAAGTCTGGATATGATTTTAAACTAGTGCTGACACTTTTACTCACGGCGCCAAGCCAGTGCTCTAATGCTCTTTTGAGTTTCGGGCACGGGTGAGCATCAACGATTCGGGATCCCGTTTCAATTAAAATATGAAAAGCTCAAATTTAATGGGACGGTTCCAAGACAAGATTTCAAATCTAGTCTCTAGACAATAACACTGCCCATAAAACTAGTCTGAATCAACAAAAAAACATCCATTCCGGGACAAACGCCAGCATAATTAAGTCAGCTGGCATCGGCTCACCCGGTCCGGAAAGGGCTTCAATACCGAGCCGGGCCGTGGCAGTGAGGGCCCGGGATCGTGATGATGATGATCGCACAGCTCAGCTCAGTCACTCACATCACACTCACAGTCATCACTCGGGTCACTCACAGCTACACAGAATGGAATGAAAAACGGAACCGACACCTGCTTCAACAACTACTAAACAAGACATAAAAACAAGTGAAACGAAAAGAAAGTGAGAGGCTCACCTGCTCTGTTTTCGTTCTGTCCCCCATGTTGAAATAATCCGAGTGGCCATTGTCACAGCTGGGACTTTCACTCGCAAATTGCCCAGCCGAATAAGAAGCAGGGAATTCACTGCTGCTGGTCGCCATCTTTCTGAAGGGTTACTTGGTCACGTGACAAGTAGTCGTAGAGTTCGTCAAATGATCTGTATCTGGCTATAGCTAGCTAGCTGTAGCTGTACGTGTTGAATCGGCTACATTTACCAGGCACAGCTCTGAAGCCATATAGCTTCATAAATTTGCTTGTACTTGTATGTAGGGGGATGCCAGCGGTATTTTAAGTGTTTAGAGTAGATTTTGTTTGGTGAATACTTAATGAAAAGTGATTTAAAACTCAAATTCAAAGTATATTACATGTACTAATGTGAGATAAAAAAAAGATGTCATCCCAGTTTCACATGCCTGGTTTTATGACTTTAATTTCATGATCTCCCCCTGATTTTTCCCCTTAACTCCTAGAGTTCAAGAATATGCAGTCACTAAAAAGCTGCAGTGCCACATTTCAACATAAGAGAGAAATATAGAGGGAGAGGGAGAGAGAGAGAGAGAGAGAGAGAGAGGGAGAGAGAAAAGGGGAGGGCTAGAGAGAGGGAGAGAGATGAGAGAGAGTGACAGAGAAATAGAGAGAGAGAGAGAGAGAGAGAGAGAGAGAGAGTGTGTATCCTAATAAAAACATGCAACTAAGTAGTCTACTTTCTACAAAATAAAGCACTCTTCAGAGAATCCCCTGACTCTCAGACACCTATGGTGATTTATATCAACATGTTTATAATATACACCCTCTCATTCAAGAAACATACCAACATAAACATAAACATCATATATGCAAATCTGAAGTTTCATTATCTACTTTCTTTGAGGCCACTCAAAACATTTCATTCATTCAAACAATCTTTCAACATAACATCACCGATAAGCTTTCGTCTACATGGTTGGAAACAAGAAATGACTCTATTCTCCAACTTTGTGCTTTAAATCTGTATCAGTTAATATACAAATGTTTTTGTTGTTGATTGGGTGCATCTATGAGTGGGTGCCATTACACTATATACATCTAGAACCATCATCATAATGATACAGTGTACCGACAGATTACAAGATAACTAGTCTAACTTGGTCTGCTGCAATGAAAGTGTGTCAATGGCTCCAAATGAAGGTCAATACAAGCCTCGACATCGTAACAGGTATGAAGATGATAATCCAAGGAAATCCCGCAGTTGGTATTCATAAAAGCGGACTACTTTATTCCTCCCGTTTATGGAGCGCCAGGTGTCAACTTCTCATTACATCAAGTTATCAGAATTTCATTATTTTCTCATTGTCATCTTTATTTGCTGCTACATAAGTTATTTATGACTTGATTTATCTTGCTTATCTTGTCACAGAATTACGCTTTTTGTTTTAAAGACCAAAAGAGAGAGCTTGCTTGACAAGTGGCACTCCATAAATCAATGAATTAACGGGAAAGTTAAGCCAGGCGTGACTCTATGAATATGATCCTATGAACACAAGCAGACGGACAATCACATAGCTCTGGTACAGCAGTACATTTGTAAACAAACCATTATAAAGAAAGACACTGAACTCAAAGATTAATTTTTCTCTCAATAATTCATCTTTTTAATTGGCAATGACCATCAACTTCTTTTGCACAGATGGCTAGAGGCCCCAAAACATCTTCCAACAATCTTCATCAATTACTTTCAAGTTTCCCTTGAATACAAGTCTGTGAAAACAATCCTTGTCTTTTTACACACACTCATATTTTCCACAATTCCTGAACAAAGAACAATAAATCCATTCAACACATTGAACCGTTCCCCCACATAATACAATCGCATCAGGAAATATGTTGAGAACATAATGATATGATGCAATAAAGTTATTGCTTCAAATGCATATATCATTCCTTAGTTTAAGTTCGTTAATCAAATACTATATTGTTTTTAATCTCATTTCATAGCAAGAATTTAAACTTTTTTGTATACATAACAAAAAGAAATCAAGCCCTTCACAGCTTTTATACCGTCAAAAACATTAATCATATGATATCAAGAACAATACAAGTATTTCAAGTCATCTCAGAATAACCCACTATCTTGTCTATTCCTCGTAGAAATGTACAATTCATAGTTGACAAATTATCTATTATACAAAGACATATCTAAATTGTTCTCAACAATGAGTATGACTGATAAACACCACACCAATGGAGAAATACTGGTATACAGAACTTATAATATGAACATCATAGGAAAAAAAACCTCCTCAACTTTGTCAAAACCTATCATTTCATAAACTACATATATTTCCTGTCAGGTCATAGATAATTCTTGATATTAGATGCTGCTTATAACATGGCATAGTCAAAGAAAGTCGTAAAGAGAAATAAAACATGCAATATAAGTCATCAAACCACATTACTGGCAATTTCAAAAGCTCAGCTTGCAACTTTATTTGAACAGAAGTGCTTTAAAAAGACCACACAGTTATACTGGCCTAAAATATGTCTTGTTTAATACTCTTACTTCGTCATGACAACATCTCATTATAATTTCTCAGATAGAAAAAAATAAATTACATGTACACGTCGCCTTTTTTCTTTTATTGTTTACTTGAGCATAAAATTCCTCCGACAAAATTAATTGGCCTTCATGGTGATAACAATCATGATCTATCAGGACTGTGTCACGCACATGTCTATGTGACTGGTATGTATGTTAACATGTATGTACATGTTGAATAGTAATTTTGATGATGGAATCCCCAGTTTTTGCTTTTGCTGCCTTGAGCTGAAGTGGGAATCCTTATAGTGTATGCAGACATGCAAATAGTTTTTTTTTTAATTAGTGATTTTTGCAAGTGTATAAAGACAGTTTTGGTTTTGGTTTTGATTCTTTCTGAAAAATGAGCCTTTTAACATCCTCTACAAAACCTTGTTAAAACAGATCTGCTCAAGAAATTCTAAAGTAATCATGTCCCATTTTATAGTTTTCAGAAATTTCAGGTCAAAGTCATGGATTTTTAAGACTTAGTAAACTAAAATTGAGCTTGACAACCTCTGTCATACTAGGAAAAAAAAATCAGCAGCTAACAGGTAAGATTCATTTCCTCATACATTACCTACGTAACTGGCCAAGTGAAATGAGAGCTCTTAATTTCCAGTCCAGTCCATATTTTAAACAAGTTTTTGTAACTTTAAATGCATAGTCGATACCTTGCATTAATCATCATCTCACATGAAACAAGTTTAATGAGATAAACGGAAGCACCTTTAAGGATACCTAGACTCTAGACCCTGCTTGATGCTAGCTAGCTCTCAACACTGACTCACTACCAATCAGCAACACATGTAAACTATTTGAAAGTTAATACCTCACGACTGATAATGAACAGGTATCCTCTACAACATATTATGGATCTTTCCTCATATTTCTGTTTTAATACAAGCAAGCCATCAAACTTACATTTGAAAAATGAAATCGAACACAAGAGGCTGTAATGGCTATGCAAGTGGAAAGCCTCGGTTAATAGCATATCAAACACACCAAACTATAACCATGAAACGGGTTTCTAACTAATATGATCCGAACGCAACAAATGCAATATTTTCATCACTTTCAATTTGTAGAGCTCTCTTGCAATAATTCAGTCAAGGACAACATGTTATGATGCAGATTAAGTACAAATGATGCTGCCACTATTAAACAGCAAGTATATTGACGGTGTTAATTCTTCCATTTGTAATAAACCAAACTATATGGCCACGTCGGCCTATATAATTGTATGTAGTATATAAGGTATAAAATTCAAAGTTAAGAAAGATATATATGGACATACTAGTGGCTCTTATAATATCCCTACCAAAAACAAAAAAACTCCCAAAAACTTTATTTAAATCTTCCTTCAAATATATATTCAATGTTAATAACACAGTAATCTCTGGCATAAACTTTTCCTCCTTACACAGGGAAAAAAAATGGTTACATATATATAATTTCATCAGAAAGAAAAGTCATAGATAAATGTCTTCCAGCATCCAACATCTCTGTGGATTCTAGGCAAGCCCAAATCCTTCAGTGCACTCTTCAATAGCCAGGAGGAGCATTCGACGAAGCTTGTCATACGTCTCATAGGCTGGCAAGTCTAACTGGTTGAAGCTGTACAAGAAAAGGAGAGTCACATCATCAAGAACATTTAAAGGCAATATCACAAATTAGTTTAAATTGGTATTTCTGGTTGAAATAAGAATATGTCATGTTTGAATACTGGTAAGGTATCTGGCTGCTTGGCTAAAATTCTGTGGTATAAAGACAAATAATTGCAAGATCCTTAAGGAGATACAGTTCTACTCATTTTCTTCACATTGCTAAAGTGAATAAGGAAACAATAATATAAAGGGATCCTGGCCATCATAAAGAAATACTGTACCATGCTACTTATTATTATTATTTTGTAATGATCTTTCTTCAGTACTTACAGTGTTAACTTTGAGCTGGTATCTTATTTCTAAAAATATGAATAAATATTGTTGATGTTGATAGAAAGTTTTACACTTTGTAATAAAAACAACATCTGATTTAAAAACACATTTCTTTGACAAATGTCATAACTACATCTTCACAAGTAAGGCTCGCTCAGACATGACGCAGCAAAACCATAACCTTTTTTTATTTGTTATGATGGCGTAAACAGACCTGCCAACCTCTGGAGTTCAAAAACTGTATTCTTTAATCCCAAAAGTTGTATTTTACTGACAAAAGTTGTATTCTTAAAAAACGAACAAGGACTGTTACGCGGATCAATGCCTCTTACAGTTCCTACATACAGGAAGAAATTTTTCAAAGGATCGTTGGTTGGATATGCATGATTCTGTCACGATTGGTGCGTTCGATTAACCAATGAACATCCCCGAATTGCCGATGTGAGATGCTTGTAGGATACTTTATAGGACAGAATGGGCATTTTGCCATTGAAAATGGCACACACACACACAAAAATGGTATTTTATTGAGGAAAATCGTACTGTCGTATTTGCTTCTAAAGATCGTACTAAATACGACTAAATCGTACTGGTTGGCAGGTCTGCGTAAAATGTAGTATGCTTCACATTTCTGTATCTTATAACACAGAGCTCGGTGAATATTCCCAAGTCCTTTGTTGCGTGCAGTTACCATTCATTTACACGTTTAAAAAAAAGTGTCATGGATTTTTTGCGGCAGTTACTGTGCCATATCTGAACAAGCCTTTATAGTCATCACAATACAACCTTCCGAGTGCTTACCATGTATGAGCAGTTGGCAGTCTGTCTGTAGACCTGTCATCACGATGGATCTGGAATTTCTGAGGTCCGTTCATGCCTTCCAGTGATGCAAACCCTTGGAGGGGCACCTTGGATGTTCCAGTCACAAACTGCACAAACTTGGCCCTTGTGGCTTGATCAAAGGAGCGTAGCGCTCTCCAGAACCACTGGATCTGAAGTTGGAAGGAAGTCATTGTTTACAAATAATTTTCAATTCAATTTGTGGGTAAGATGTATTTTGTCTTTACTATTTTACATGGGCTATTTTGCTTTCTACGTATCCATGTGTTCATAAATGAGACGGAAGTAAAGCTGATAGAACATATATTTGTTCTTATACATATTTCATAAGTGACCTAATATCATACCTCAAAGTTGTTGAGAGGAAACATACTCAAAACTTATTACATTTACCATCATTCCACTTTTAAAGATTGTTTTTCCTCTTATTCATATCCTAAAGGAAAAAATAAAACATCCTAGAGGTACAAGTTTCCACGCAACCTGTGAAAATATGTTCAGAAGCACAAAAACAAAGATTCCAAAGTTACCTGCAGAGAGTTGCTCTGATACTTGTGGTACTCTGTGTTGGCTTTGAGGTCATCCACATCAATGGTAGGCAGCCCAGCAATGAGCAGCTCAAGCTCCTGCTCATTGAAGATACCAATCAGCTTCTTAGGGATGATGTCATAGAAGCCTTCCAGGAAGCTATCGATCTGCTTGCGGATGGCAGACGTCATCTTCATCTGACATACAAGGTGTACGTACTCCTGTTTGTTGTCCTCGGTCACAATCAGATTGCTGCCGTTTGGTTTCAGGTCTCTCGCTTCTGTCACTCCAAACTCTTCAATCTGTAAGGAGTATATTCAAAGTCAACATCAAAATGTTGTATTGATCATGCACAAAATAATTGTTAAGAGGATAACAAATAATTAAATCCAACATTAATTCATGACATAATTTCAAAATCCTAAAGCTTCAGTAGCAATATCTTGAGTTATGTAAGCTGGAAAGTTTATATTTTATCGTTAGTATAAGTTCTATTATGTAGTATCATTTTATTGTGTTTGCACCACAGCTCTTTTTAAATGTACATTTAGTTTACCAGAGGTAAATCACTCCACAATCCCATTTTCCATATTTCTCCCCTGTGAAATCCATCTACTGTCAGTGGAATAATACATAAATATGAACTTTCTCTGTTTGTTGTATGAAGACAGTTCTATGACTCATGCTCTCGCAAAATTTGCTTTGGAGTCAATTTCCAACATTTTAATTGCCTGCCCTGGGGCCCGTTTCATAAAACTTTGTATCTATAACAAATTTCTATGACAAATTTGCTCTCAGCCAATCAGATGCCATAATTTCAGTAGCTTGTAACTTGTTATTGATATCAAGTTTTATGAAACAGGGTCCTGGAATTTCAACCCTGGAAAATACATTACACCTAACCCGAACCCAAACTCTCAAACTAACCCAACCCGAGTGCAACCATAAGACTAGAGGAGAAAACAGACACATACCTCAGTACTGAAGGTGAGATCATAACCAAGTTCAGAGACATCATGCTCCAACAGAAATACAAGTCCTTGGTAGAAAGCATAGTCTTCACTCTCCATGTCAGTGTATCTGGGGGAGGCAAGAAATTGGATTACAATTAGATTAGATCAAGATTTTGATAAGATATTTAGAAATGTTGATCACCACTTCGTCATTTATATCAAAAGGGTTAACAACCTGTCTATTTTGATAGGTTAACAGCATATTAATATGACTGATCACATTACTTAAAAGAGACAAATCAAAATCCTGTACTGTATTTCATGAAATTGAGTGATATTGACTACTATCACTTCTTTCGATCCATCACGTTGTTTAGCGTGGTCAAAAATAACATTTTGATCTTTTTCCATTTTAACAGAAGAACATAAATAAAAAGAATTCCACATAATGTGGTTCTTTGAGTCAGTGTGGTGTAGTTAAACTGGGAAGAAAATATCAATGTCCAAAACTTAGCTTCTGTAGACCACTTGTGTAGAAAGGTAAACAGACTGATGCTTTGCTTTAGTTGTGTATTTTATATTGCACTCACCAAGAAGCCATGGGTTAATCAGAATGAACACAAGGTTTTTCAATGGTGCTAATCAAGGAAACAGATTGAGAACTAAAATTCTTAAATGTAGATCAATGTATGGTAACTCAAAAGTTTGTATATAATCATTTAATTCAAAACTAGATGAAACTTTGACTGCCCGTAGGTAGAAACTAGATGGAACTTCGACTGCGCGCAGTCGAAAATGTGCCTCCGTCATAGAGCAATTTTACAAACCAAAACAGAAGAAATTTTTCGAATTCAAGTTCAATTGTAATCCATTAACAGGTTCTCAGAATATTGTGATTACGAGCTATTTTTGCATACATGAGCCAATGACCTTTGACCTTATGAACCAAGAATCTACTCAGTTCATTGGCTCTGCAAGAAACATACATGACCTAAGTTGGCAGGAATCCATCAATCGGTTCTTGAGATAACGCGATCACGAGCTGTTTTTGCATACATAATGTGCCCTGTGGCCTTTGACCTTTGATCTTGTGACCCCTACATCTAATCAGTTCATCGGCTCTGCAAGTAACATACATGACCTAAGTTTGGCAGCAATCTATCAATCGGTTCTTCAGATAACGCGATCACAAGCTCGTTTTGCATACATAATGAGCCCTGTGGCCTTTGACCTTTGACCTCAAAATCTAATCAGTTTTTCGGCTTTGCAAGTAACATACATGACCAAAGTTTGGCAGCAATCCATCAATCGGTTCTTCAGATAACGCGATCACGAGCTCGTTTTGCATACATAATGAGCCCTGTGACCTTTGACCTTTGACCTCGTGACCCCAAAATCTAATCAGTTCATCGGCTCTACAAGATACATACATGACCAAAGTTTGGCAGGAATCCATCAATCGGTTCTTCAGATAACGCGATCATGAGCTCGTTTTGCATACATAATGAGCCCTGTGACCTTTGACCTTTGACCTCGTGACCCCAAAATCTAATCAGTTCATCGGCTCTACAAGATACATACATGATCAAAGTTTGGCAGGAATCCATCAACCAGTTCTTCAGATAACGCGATCACGAGCTCGTTTTGCATACATAATGAGCCCTGTGACCTTTGACCTTTGACCTCGTAACCCCAAAATCTAATCAGTTCATCGGCTCTACAAGATACATACATGACCAAAGTTTGGCAGGAATCCATCAACCAGTTCTTCAGATAACGCGATCACGAGAACGGGACGTACGTACGTACAGACGTACGTACGTACGTACGTACGGACGTACGGACGGACGGACAACCCGAAAACATAATGCCTCCGGCTACTTCGTAACGGAGGCATAAAAACCTGACAGATCTCAACATGAATGTTCCTAGAGAGGAAGATAAGTAGAGCAAGGAATGGAATCTTACTTGACTGGCTTCCCAAGGATATGCTTGTAGAAGGAGCGAGAGAAGTAGCACTCCAGAAGCTTGTTGTCATAGATGGCTTTAGCCATGATGCGGCCCACAAACTTGAAGTAGCTGAGATGGTTGGAGTTGCAGTGGGACGATGGGTTGGGGATGTAGGTTACTCTGTCTCCAGGTGAGGTACGGAACAGGGCATACATCTGGTTGAAGATCTCCCTGCGAAGAAGAGAATCAAATAGTATTGCGAATCATGGATTAAAATATATGATTTGGATAATGAGAATCATTAATAAGTATTTCTCCTTTTCTTCATACCTGACGTTGTCTCATGTGACCATGCAGACCTCCAGCATCCTGGCCTTCTTCTCCCTCAAAGACCACATAGAAGCGGTTCTTCCACTGCTCTGATAGACTACAACAGTGTTTTGAAAGCTTTTCTAGATATTTCAGGGATACCAGTTGCTTCTATCAAATGAACTAGAAAAAAGCCCCATATGTGCTGTGCATGTGCAGCATGAAGCCTCAGAGATTAAAATGGGAAGGATTAAGGGTCTGAACTCGAGCTAATGCCTCAAAGTAGCAGCCCCCATTGATAACAAAACAAAATGAACAAAAGGACTCACTTTGAGATAATGAGATACCACTCCCTGAGCAGACCTCCAGCATCCTGGCCTTCTTCTCCCTCAAAGACCACATAGAAGCGGTTCTTCCACTGCTCCGGGGTACGACGATGCAGTTCACGATACGAGTCCTCAAACACATGCTCCCTTCTCACATGGATAGCCATGTCTTCACGCCGCATGCCTTCGTCACCTCGCTCCATCTCCTGACGGAAGTAACGTCTCTTGACGTCAAAGTCGAGGATGCGTACGTGGTTGACGAGCACGGAGAAAGGCCCCTCTGAGAGATGGATGGTAGATTGGCGAAGGATCTGGTTGAGCACGTTGCGATGTTTCTCTATGAAATATGAAATGGTATACATTGCTATTAAAATGCACAAAGGAACACACAAGTCCCACTGGAGTAGCATTAATTGACATAATTTAAACTGTATATATATTTTACATATCACCATTTTTCTGCCAGAAAATAATCGCTTATAAGAACTGTTCAGAGCACTTCAACATTTTGTTTTCATATCTTGTTTTGGGGCAACAGTGCATTTCCAAAACTTTGTGTGCTTTGCACAGAGAGATAATGTCAATGTGATGAATATCTTGCCTGCAAATGTTAAGAACTTCTGTATATCACACGGCATGTTAGGAGTAACAATGGACGTGACTGAGCTCTCCCTGGCGAAGAACCCTGCAGTATTTGGCATGGGTGAGATGGGACCCATGTCGGAGGCACTACTGGTGAGCCCTTCTCTATGAAGGGCCTGTGAGGATGAGGAGGCAGAGGGTTGAGAGGATTCGGGTGCAGCGGCGGCGGATGCCTTGCCGGCATCCTTGTCAGAGGCATGGACGAGGAAAAAGGCCTCTACAGCAGGTTGTAGGACAAGCACTGCATGGGTGTCTGGTGTGAGGGAGAGCTCTGTAAGACATGTGCTCAGGGTGTCCCACAGCTCCTCCAGGCCTAGGAGGTCACTCAGCTGAGGACCATCATCATCATCCTGTAGAAAATGAATTTGGTGTTAAGAATGAACATGTTTAATGTAACAGGTGGTAACTGTCAAAGAAGGGAAATTTTACAGTTTGAAAGGTAGATGGAAATCTTCAGCAAAGATTTACAGTATGATGATTTACTTTAATGACAGAACCAATGGATTGTCTGTATCTATATAGCATATCCACGTTTTGGAATGACCCTAAGAAAGATATGTAGAGTTACTGTAAACACTGAAAGCAAACACACAAAAATACTTGCACTTCAGCATTTGATATCGACGCACTACACCCTAATAATAAAATAATAATATGTCATATTTCTATTTCTGCTTTACAGTGTAATTGTTCTTACCCCGGTCATTGGATTTGATTACTCGATCAGACATGATAGTACACACGTTCCACTCAATGGGAAGTATTCCTGCCAATCCAAACACATTAAAGTCTGCATCCTACGAGGTAACCGCTTAACACCTGTGTGGAGAGTGGCAAATGTAGATTAATGTCTTGCTAAAGGACATTAATGCCATGGCGGGACTCGAATCGTAAACCATGTGATCCACTGTCCCGTGACATATCGACTGGACCAAGACACCTCTACATCAAACATCCTTTATTGGACATGCTCGGTCATGAGAATAACTAAGTTCACAATTATTTTAAAGAAAAACATCTTACCTCTTGTTTCTGACTGGACGTGGTGCTGGATGATGCTTGTCGCTCCAGTTGTCGTGCTCCCACCCCTTCTGGCAGTTGAACCACAGAGTCCACCTCCATGGGTGTTTCTGCAGGTGCGGAGGGAGTGCGTCCAGGATTCACCACCTCTCCAGTGTCAGTGACTGTGGATGAGGCGACGGGTGGGGGCTGTTCTGTGACTGGTGTGGTGTTGGCTGTGCCTGACGGCGTGCTAGCAGCTGAGCTGGTCTCTGCACCAGATGCCTTTTGTGCCAGATAGATTGATCGGAATGGAATAAGTTATGTCATTAAAATGGAAAAATGGCATTTGAATTATTCATCACTTCAATTACTGGCGCTAATCATATCATCTATTTAACATTCTAAATAACATAGTTGACACTTTTCTTCACAAATACATTTCATCTTTAAAAATAAAATATTTGAGTTTTTTCAAAGGCTATTATTCATCATTACAGGATTACACAAAAATAGTGGTTTACATCTAAAACTGCAAAAATTCCATGACAAGGATTCATTCTTCCTCAGGCGAAGTACGAGAATGAGAGAGAGAGAGAGAGAGAGAGAGAGAGAGAGAGAGAGAGAGGGAGAAAGAGAGAGAGAGAGGAGAGAAGAGAAGAGATGAGATGAACTCACCCCTTGAGATGTCTGGCTGTTCTGTCTGTCAGTCTGTCTACTACTGGCTGGGACTGTGCTACGTCTACTCATCATCTGCATCAGCTCTGTAGCATTGGTTTCCAGGGCAGCTACAGCAGCAGCAATGTTAGGACCACCCACTGTAAGGAAGGTACAAAGGATTCATTCTAATGGAGCAAGTACTCTAGAAATCAAGTAAAATCACTTATTATTGCTATATGCTCTTGTCACTTTTTTTTTTACTTCCCCCTAAAATAAAGTAATAACTAGATGGAATTCGACTGCGCGCAGTCGAAAATGATGCCTCCGTTATAGAGCAATTTTACAAACCAAAACAGAAAAAAAAAATTGAATTCACGTTCAATGGTAATCCATTGACAGGTTCTCAGAATATTGTGATTACAAGCAATTTCTCATATACATATATGACCCTTTGATCTTTGACCTCATGACCATAAAATCTACTCAGTTCATTGGCTCTGCAAGATGTTCTGAGTTAAATAGTAATCCATCTGTCAGTTCTAATGAGAATGCGTTCACAAGCTATTTTTGCATACATAATGGGCCCATGACCTTTGACCTTTGACCTTATGAACCAAGAATCTACTCAGTTCATTGGCTCTGCAAGTAACAAACATGACCTAATTTTGGCATGAATCCATCAATCGGTTCTTGAGATAACGCGATCACAAGCTGTTTTTGCATTCATAATGTGCGCTGTGGCCTTTGACCTTTGACCTACGTGCTCCAAAATCTAATCAGATTGTCTTCCTATGGTGATACACACTATCATTAAGTTTGAAGTTTTTACATCTCCAGTGGTTCTTGAGATATCATGATAACAATCTCAATGTATGGAATTTCATAAGTTGACCTCTGTGACCCTTGACCTTTGACCTACGTGCTCCAAAATCTACTCAGATTGTTTTCCTATAGTGATACACACTATCACTAAGTTTGAAGTTTAAATCTCCAGTGGTTCTTGAGATATCATGATAACAATCTCAATGTATGGAATTTCATAAGTTGACCTCTGTGACCCTTGACCTTTGACATACGTGCTCCAAAATCTAATCAGATTGTTTTCCTATAGTGATACACACTATCACTAAGTTTGAAGTTTAAATCTCCAGTGGTTCTTGAGATATCATGATAACAATCTCAATGTATGGAATTTCATAAGTTGACCTCTGTGACCCTTGACCTTTGACATACGTGCTCCAAAATCTAATCAGATCGTCTTCCTATGGTGATACATACTATCCTTAAGTTTGAAGTTTAAATCTCAAATGGTTCTTGAGATATCGCGCTAACAAACTCAATACAAGGAATTTCATAAGTTGACCTCTGTGACCTGTGACCTTTGACCTACGTACTCCAAAATCTAATCAGATCGTCTTCCTATGGTGATAAATACTATTCCCGAGTCTTAAGTTTAAATCTTAAATGGTTCTTGAGATATTGTGATAACGGTCAAACGGGACGGACGTACGGACGGACGTACGGACGGACGGACGGACGGACGTACGGACGGACGGACGTACGGACGGACAACCCGAAAACATGATGCCTCCGGCACCACCTTCGGTGGCGGAGGCATAAAAAGTCAGACAGGACAGAAATCACGGCATCATATAACGAAACCGTCTGAAGTGCAAGTTCGCCAATGTCCCTTTGAACCACAAAATGAACATTTCAATGGGATAACATAATCATCAAAGTAAACATCTGTTTAGTAGTTGACAATGTAAAGGGAAATATCCATAGAAATGTCTTGCAATACTTTTCAAAATTGATAGTTCATTAAAAGCTCAGGATAGGTATCTATTAAGAACCCATGGCTTGCCTAAGCTATCGCTACTTACATCTCTGAATATCAGCCACCCGCTTAGCCTTCTTGGCAACCTCTCGCAGCTGGATGATGACCTTGAGCATCCTCAGCAGGAAGTTCTGGTTTGAAGTCTTGCCCGTAAAGAGTCCCATGGACTGCAACCGAAGCTCAAAGCCAGTTCTCTTGGCGCCAGTGGTAGGGGCATTGATAACAATACTCGTGCTGGGGCTGTAGCGATCTGCGATGTAGCCCTGAAGGGCTGAGACAGACGAGGAGGTTCCAGAGGCCGAGTTGGTATTGCTATCGTCTGGATCTTCAGGGGACGTGTCTGTCTGGAGCTGTCTTGCTCGGTATTCTTGGACCTCACGATGGAGCTTCAAAATGTCTCTGTGGTTGGTGAGAACAATGATATCAATTAGTCCTAGTTAACACCAAGCAGAAAATATGATAACCATGTAAACATAAAGATTTTTAGCAATTGCCTAAATGGGGTTCTAATAACTATGGTGTTTAACTTCCGATGCACAGTAGCAAATATGAAACCAACAACAAAAATTCATGATAACCACATTAATAAAGATCTTTCTTACCTGCAGAGCGTCTGGCCAAGTTCTTGTGCTCCTCTGAGTAAGAGTCTCAGGACAGCTTCCCTAGTGGTAGAGTGACCCCTAGATAACTGCATCAACATTGTGGTAGCATCCTCTAGACCATCTTCAGAACAAGTATGTGCTGTCAAAACCTAAGGAACAGGTGATAAAAACAAGTGAGGGATGTTTACATAATTTTTAGAAATTTTTTGTCAACAAAACTGGCTTTCAAACACATGAAGATTGTACTTATATTAGATGCTGGCCTGTTTGACGGGGTACATACAAACGATAGTAGTTCATTCCATGCCCCAATCGACCTTATGTACTTATATTGTTTCTCTAAACTTGATTATATGGATAACACATTTCGGGTCAGGATGAATACAAGTCACTTCTCCTATACATCAGGAAAACCTAAGACTTTTGACAGGAAATGGTTACACTTGGTCCAAAGTGAGTGTCTTGCAGTATCCAAAGGGCATGATTTCAGGGGGGATAAAGCAGTTTTGGCATCTTTTTCTGAAATCCCCCATGTTTAGCATAATCACAAGGGTGTTATAGAAAGACTCAAGTATTGACCGCCAGTATAGAACGAAAAGAAACTTACCTCAACTGCTAACTGGAGGAGGTTTTCATCTACCAGTGTTTTCTCAGGGACTGGAGGTTCTGTCTTACTGCTTGATGACTCTTCCTCATTGACACTCTGTGTACTTGGAAGCTCTGTAAATTTAATAACACCATACACATATATCATCACAGCTTCAGTTGTGCTCCCCTTAAGAAATAATATTTTGCATCTAGTCTTGTCAGAATTAAAGATAAACTCCAGTACTGGTAAAAAAATAAAATTAATTCTCACAGAATAAAATGAAACTTACACTGAATGTTCAAGATTACAAATAAATGACATGTGCCAAACAATTTTGGAAGAAAATGTATACTGGCTGAGTAATGAGCATAGAAAGACAAGGAAATCAAGGTAGTACTAGCCCCGACACCATGTGTGTTGTCCCATATATAGCTTTCTATGTGAGTGCTTGTTACTTTACCAAGACTCGGTCAAATTTATTATGATTTTGATGACTCCAGAACCTTGCAGTGCACACCAATACTTACATGCTACATGATCAACTGTTTCTGATCCTTTCCACACCTTTCCTTTCACAATGCAATCGCATTACCAGTACTAAAGTTTATCTTTAAGCATTTACAATGTAGCTACCTCTCAAAACATTCTTACACTAAATCAGACATTTCAGCTGCTGCTATCATCAACTTTCAAAGATATTTGATACGAGAAGTAAAATAATTACTCATTGACTTATAGACTGACAGGTTAAAGGTTTTTGAATGCCATGGAGTTATCTATCGAAGAAAACAACAAAAATGTGCCTTTCATACAATGGGTTGGACATTTTTGAACCTGTAAATCTTACAACTTGTAGCGAGGTAAACCTACCTTGTGAGGCAGTATCCATGGGACTACCTACAGGAGGAGTGATGGCAGAACTACTGGTGTCCTCACTGGCGGCTTGTCCTCTGCTTGACTGGTCACCACAAGAGGGCGCTGCTACAGCCAAGATAGACGAGGATCGGTTTGATGAGCTTCTGACCGCATCTGACAGGTATGAGTTGGGTCTCCGTATGACACCAGACTGCAAAAGAAGAGAAATATTGGATGTTAATCAAAGAAAAAAAGAAGTTTCATTGTATGTCCCAAAAAATAATTGCACTATTTGATTCTACAAGACACTCTACTTTACTGTCGCTGTCGGTGGGTACAAAGAAAGCATTTCTCCTATAATTCACGAAATCTGCTTAAGATGTGGGCAAGAATACGGCATTAACAAGCATTGTAATGATGTACTACAAAAATACAGTATGTAACTTTAATTGTATCAGGTTTTCTATATAAAACAAGATAGGGTATTACGTCCACCACGTTTTCCTGAACTGAAAGTGTATTAGGGTTGCGTTTATCTAGGAAATTTTTGGCTAGAATCAGGTTTCTCAAACGTCTTTCAGGCAAATTTAGAAGTAGATAAACGCAAAGCCTTTTTCAAACGTCTTTAGATATGGGCATATCAAAAGACGCAAAAAGGTGCGTTTTGTATGTGACATACAGCCAGAATCACGTTTCTGAGAGGTCGATAAACGCAAAGCTGTTTTGAACGTCACATACAAATAGGACCACACAGGTGTTGTGTACAAGCATGTGTGTGAATTTGACCTCCGAGAAACGGTCTGCTTCCCGGGTCAAAACAGCTGGGCAGACACAAGGCCTTTATTTTGAATCGTGAAGAGTAGATAAACGCGACATCCCGCAAATCACGATCGTATAGTGGGGTATGATAGTGGGGTTCGATAGTGGGGTACGATATGTACATATCTAGTGGCAAGCCTAGATAAACGCGCTCTAAGATGAACTGTAACTCACCTGCAGACTGCTGATCTTATCCTTGTCTCCATCTGGTAAGGAGCTGGTTACCATGGACAGCAGATGTAGGAGCTTGTCAGTGAGAGCTGTACTACGCTTCACCACAGGGTGTGACAGCATAGCCATCAGTTTGGAAAGAGCTGAATTACTAGTATCTGGGTCCTGGCCTTCCTTTGCTGCAGGAACCGTTGAAGGCCGGGATGTCACTTTGCCTTTCCTGCCCTGACTGGTGTTGTCCAGTCGTACCAGAAGGTCCCAGAAGTCCAATTCTATTTTGTTACTAGCTTTGGAATCACCCTGACTTGCACTTGTCTTTGCTTCCTCACCCATTTCTTGACTGGAAGTGAGCGTTGACTTACGTTCATTGTTGCTAGAGGCACTACTACTCATATTTGATAAACCAGGAATCCCTGAGAAGTCTTTGAGAGAGTCTTTCTTGCTCGCTATGGGAATAAATTGGTATGGAAACTCCTTCGCTAGAGCAAGGAGAGCATCCATGACATGTCTGCACACCATTGGTGCTACTTGCGGGTGTATGCAAACTAGAGAACCTTGCTTGTCAGAGCTCTTTTTGCTGGACCTTTGCACCTTGAAGACACTAGCACGGCATCCTAAGGCAGCGTCCATGCTGATTGAGAGCCAGGAAGGCTGCTGATAAGCCTTTCCTGAACCAGAGTCCATCTTCTGCAGGGGCATCATATCTGCTTCTGCACTTGCTGCCTTGCCATCACCTTGTGTCTTACAGGCCTTGGTGCGCTCCATGATGCTGAGTAAAGCCTGAAGGATCCACTGCCTTGTAGGCTGATGGAAGCTCAGGTTACGAAGCACTCGTAGCAGACGTACCAGATTAAGCTTGGGTTCATTGACAAATAGGAGTACCAGAAGGCAGGTCAGAGCCTCAAGGTCCACCAGCTGTCTGCCCTGGTTCTGAGTGATGGAACTAAACACTCCTTGCTGTCTGGAGTGACTGCCGCCTCGATTGGAACCACTACCTCCCCAACCCCATGACTGGCCTGTTTGACGGGGTACAGACAAACGATAGTAGTTCATTCCATGCCCCAATCGACCTTGCAAACCTGTGTCAAGAAGAAGAAAATTCACTTTATAAGATACTATAGTTTACATATAACTCCAACAGTCAATTTTTTTAATCGCACATGTATTTCTAAAGCACTTGTTATATTTAGTTCAAATAAAATCATAAATCAAAAGATAACGAATGCAAAAATTCCTCAAACGAATGCGTATTTGGTGCTGCTTCATCAGGCAACCCTGGATATTAATTCCCTCAATCATGACCCCTAATGACTGGTCTCATGCAGTTTTTAGGTTGGTGTCGGTTGGGAATGTAATATCAGGATGGACTTGTGTCCCACCATGGTAGCTTGATGGGACAACCTACTAGTCCGCTACCCTGTAAAGCACCTGAATAGCGGAGGATAGCACTCAGCATACCAGTCTCCCTCAGCAGTCGATCCTGCATGAGCTGACGATGTCTCAGGACGCGGTCCAGTCGGAGAGCCTGGGCTTCAGCAGCGATGTCAGCAGGAAGAACTGCAAGCACACTATCATCCATGTCGGCAAGGACTGTCTGACGGAGTCCAGGGGGCAGGTTCTGGATGAAGGCTGCAGGGTCCACTGGTTCAGCGGGTACAACAGGAGCGGATGTGCTACTCTGGGCAGCCAGGGTGTGACGTTGCTGTTCAGCTCGTTCTTGTGCAAGTACCTATCAAGAAAAGTTGACAGTTCAGTTATATTTCCACTTGAAAGTGACGTGGTTGAATATTTTGCAATGCTAACTTCACATAGTTCAACGCATGTAATTACTGAACAAATGTAATAGAAAAAGTGGCCCTTCCTCTCCACTTTATACAATCATTTGATTGTCTCTGTCTCTGTACTTTGTTTATACTAACAACTGCTTCAAAAGGAAATTTCTCTTGAAGTTATTCATGCTCTATATAACATCAGCTTCACTAAAACTATGTCAACTACTTCAAATACCATCATCATTGATATTAATATATTGTCAATACCACAATCACAATTATTATTCTCTATGTATGATATCTATTGTCAACAAATGTAATAACGGGCAATGATGAAAAGAACCTCATCAGAAACAAAAAAATTAAAGATAAGTCTTACCTCTTCTTGTATATGTGGTGGCAGAGCGGCTAAGAACTCCGGGTTCACCTGACTAAGTGAAATTGCAGGTTCACCTGGAGCTGATGGAGGGGTAGATGCTGCTTGTGTGGCAGCCTGATGAGGGGCATTGCGTATCCCCAGGTGTTCCTGGAGGACTTCTTGCCTGATGTTCTCTGGTAGAGCAGCAAGGAACGATGGATCTACACCCTCTGGTAGACCACTGACCCCTGGAATTGATGAAGAGGTAAAATATGGACTCAAATGATAAAGATTGGGCAAACTGTAAACATAAACAAATTTGTTTGCTTGATTTTCTCACCAGTGGGACACAAACCAAAAATAATTTAAGATTATTTGGTACATGTCCACCATAGAAAGCGTTAAAATAATTTCCAATTATGTTTTCATAATTGTTGAAAGCAATCAGTAACATTAATCTGTTACAAAATAAAATATATTTTTCTCACATTCGATGGATCATGCACATTTCTTTATGTTTATCTTGGGGGGAGGGGGGAGGGTAACTGTTTGGAGAAAACTATCAAAACAGAGAAAATTTGAATATCTAATAAATTGATTTATCTGCCATATGCTGTGGAAATTTAAAAGTATGCAAAAAATTACAAATTCTCAAATGACTGGAACTCAGCACAATACAGTGATTGATGGTTTTCATCAGGAAAGTGTTACATAACAAAATGAAAAATATATTCTTACCAGATATGTTCCCAGGTGTCTCTGTGTGATCGGGTCTGTTAGCTGATGTAGCAGACCTGAGAAAAGATTTTAAAAAAATTGATGATTTAAGAATGGATGTATGTCTTGTATGTATTAAAATATATGCTGTATGAAATGATTTGCCATAAGAAAAACCTATAAAATTATAATTACATATGGGCGTGTTTTCTTACAAAGGTCTGATATCAAATATACATGTTTATGAGCTGTAGCTTGCATGAGGTTTCTTTTGTAGCCTACTCGCAAAAAGCTGGACACGGACAACTACAAGGATTAGTATTGACATGGTTTCTGCACAATAATGCACAATCCAAGTGGCATGTTGTATATCACTCATGTCAATATTGCTGTCATGCTCCTGGTGCTCCAATACCATAGCCACTGCAGTAGCTGCACAGACAAATATGAAGTGTTCTGACATATCAGGTACCCATTTACACCTTAGAAAAGAGTGACTAATTTAGATTTATGTCTTGCCAAAGTACATATGTGCTGGGCTGAGATATGAAGCCTAAACCTCTTGATTGAAAGTGAATGGACCACTTCATATACTGACATATATGATGTATCAATGAGCACAGGGTACTTACTTGAACAAACAACCAGGGGGGTGTTTCACAAAGATCCTAAGTTGAACTTATCTCCAAGTTGGATTTAACAATTATGGAAAGCCGTTGGCATCTATGAAAATCTTATGTAAAAGTTATGTTAAAAGGCATAAAATGTTGATTCAAATTATTCATATTTTTTATTATCATGGAAGATTTCATGTTCTTGATGAGGAATTTACTAAGATACTTGATTTTTGCTTTTGAATATATTTCATTATAAGGCTACAGATGGCTCTCCATAATATTTAAGTCCAACTTAGAGCTAAGTTCGACTTGTAATCTTTGTGAAACACCCCCCAGGAAATGAAAATAGATTTCTTTTCTTCAATTTGAAGTAATTTGATTTGGGATATACTTGAAATGTGGGCACGTCTCATAGCCACCACTCCACCACAGAGGGCAGTGTGAGGTTTGAGCGTAATGAAACATACCATTTACTCTAGCACATCATACAAGCCCCCTACCTATGGTGTCAATCAGGTAGTGGGTCTGCTCAAACAGTGCCATGGGAAATAAGAATAGTTGGGGAATAAATGTGACTTACATTGTGATGCTACTGCTAACAATTGGACTTGATGAACCTTGTGGATTTGGCACAGATGCTGAAAGGGAGAGAAAATTGTGATTTTCATTTAGCCAGAAGAACATAACAATTAACAACTGAACCCTTTTACTTCTAGCTAGCATCAGAACACAAAAATTATGAAATTACAATCATTCATGTTCGGTTAAGTAGTATCACACAATGTAATTATACATTTAACATTTGCAGGGGTGATAGTGAGCACTAAAAAAAAAATAGGTTTTTTGTTTTCCCGTCAACCACGCTCCCCTTGAGTAAAAAAAAAAAAGAGGATTCGCGGGGAAAAAACGGCATCTAACAACATTCCCCCCTTTCGAGTAAGAAAATTGGGACAAAATTAGGGGGGAAAAAGGGCAAAATAGGGAAGAATAGAGAAAATAAGAGGGAAATCGGGAAATCGGGAAACCAGGATAAAATAGGGAAGAAGAAAAAAAATTGGTAAAAAAAAAAAAAAAAATTTGGATTTTTTTTTTTTTTTTTTTTTTTAAATCGGGAAGAAAAAAAAAATCGGGAAAAAATCGGGAAAAATAAAAAAAAATCGGGAAACCGATTTAAATCGGGTTTTTATCAGGCCTGCATTTGATTTCTATGCTATGGATTTCTCCTGCCATAATGTGAATTTTATCAAGTTTGGCTAGTAATTTTTTCTCCTTGAAATAGATACATGTACCTTTATCTTATTTTTTGTCAAATTAAATAACAAAGATTCAAATAGTAAAATCATTGTTAATAACTGATCATAAAAATGTGACCACAGAAGGGGTGAACCCTTTAGCAACAAAACCGCCCGAAAAAGACCCTCCTTTTACACACTGAACCACCCGTCCGTTTTCAACGCGCTGTTGTATCCCTCTATGGGGTCTACCATGAAAGTGTTATCCGTGCGCAATCCTTACTATGTCTACAATAAGATTCTGCATAGAAAAATGGCGCATGTTTTATATTGTTCAGAACAATGTCAAAGTAAGAGCAATATTACAACATCTTCCAGTGAGTAATAGGCCATTTTTACAAAATCCCTAGTTGCTAATGGGTTAATCATTCAAATGGCATGAAGGAGAGAAATGTCTTACGTAAGGGTACTTCCATCATGTCTGATTCGATGAGTGAAGCAAAGATGGAGGTGGTTGGCCTGGAGGTCTGCCAAGGAGGGGCTTGGGCTGATGATAAAAGGGATGAGGATGATGATGATGATGCAATGGCTGACAAGGCTGAAGCCATGGTAGGGGTTGCAGCGATGGTGGACATGGTGGTTAGTGTGGCTGTGGCAGCAGCGGTGATGTTGGTGGAAGTGGTGGTGATAGTGGTAGTAGTGGTTGCATTGGATTGAGTGGCATCACCTGATGATGGATGAGTTGCCGGTATTAATTGGGGGAATAGACCCCATGGCTGGGAGGCTAGGATGTGAGTGAAGAGTGCACATGATATGACAGATTATAGTTTGCTCCTTCAGAGCATTTATCATTATTTCATCAATTCAATCTTGCAATAAGTTGTTACAAATAATGTGTCACAGACTGACATCATGATATGCTTTCCCCTTTTCAATAGGGGCATACAGATGACAGCATTTATAATTTAACAGTTTGCAAAGAATTATGTATACTGAATTTATTGATCTGCAGAATTATTTCCAGAAGAACTCAAATGAAGGGTATATACTAGTAAACTCATGAGTAAAGTTATTTTAGGTTAATATCATGTATCAAGCTCTGCTAACGGCTCTGAACCTCTTTCCCAAAATCTGGTACTTGACTGAATGATCTTGATGTTATCGGGAAACCTATATTGGTTAACATGTCAAGCCAAGCAGTATGATAAATGATGGACATACATACATCTGCTATGGTTATGCAAGCACATAAAGAATTAGAGCACATGTATACACAGGCATGACAATCGTACCTGATACCGTTGAAGTTGGGGTTGGTGAGTTTGCCGTCACTGTTACGAGCTGTGGCACACGTGTCAGTCCAGGTTGAAGTGGTGCTGAAGATCTATATGATCAAATAAGAAGAAACTAGATGGAACTTCGACTGCGCGCAGTCGAAAATGATGCCTCCGTCAAAGAGCAATTTTACAAACCAAAACAGAAGAAATTTTTCAAATTCAAGTTCAATTGTAATCCATTAAGAGGTTCTCAGAATATCGTGATTACAAGCAATTTCTCATATACATATATGACCCTTTGATCTTTGACCTGATGACCCTAAAATCTACTCAGTTCATTGGCTCTGCAAGATGTCCTAAGTTAAATAGTAATCCATCTGTCAGTTCTAATGAGAATGCGTTCACAAGTTATTTTTGGATACATAATGAGCCCATGACCTTTGACCTCATGACCCATGAATCTACTCAGTTCATTGGCTCTGCAAGATACATACATGATCGAAATTTGGCAGGAATCCATCAATCTGTTCTAATGAGAATGCGATCACAAGCTATTTTTGCATACATAATGAGCCCTGTGACCTTTGACCTTTGACCTTGTGACCCCAAAATCTATTCAGTTCATCGGCTCTGCAAGATACATACATGACCAAAGTTTGGCAGGAATCCATCGATCAGTTCTTGAGATAATGCGATCACGAGCTCTTTTTGCATACCTAATGAGCCCTGTGACCTGTGACCTTTGACCTTGTGACCCCAAAATCTAATCAGTTCATCGGCTTTGCAAGATACATACAAGACCAAAGTTTGGCAGGAATCCATCAATCGGTTCTTCAGATAACGCGATCACGAGCTGTTTTTGCATACATAATGAGCCCTGTGACCTTTGACCTTTGACCTCGTGACCCCAAAATCTAATCAGTTCATCGGCTCTGCAAGTAACATACATGACCAAAGTTTGGCAGGAATCCATCAATCGGTTCTTCAGATAACGCGATCACGAGAACGGGACGTACGGACGGACGGACGTACGGACGTACGGACGGACGGACGGACAACCCGAAAACATAATGCCTCCGGCTACTTCGTAACGGAGGCATAAAAACAAAATGAAGAAACAGAGCTATTAAGTAAAATGCACTTCTACATATGCAGACCAGTAACACAATGAACAGATCCAATACAACCTAATGTGATTCTAAACCTGGGTTTCATAATTATTATGAGTCCTATTCTACATAAATTACTCAATAAATTGTAAATATATCGTCTGCTTGGAGCAAGAGGGGCATTTCATTTTGCAAAGAGTTAATGCCCTTCTGGCCTCAAACAAAAGATATATATATATATACATACATATCCAAAACTTAGCTTCTGTAGACCACACGTAAAGAAAGGTAAACAGACTGATGCTTTGTTTTGGTTGGACATTTGATATGGCACCACTAAGAAGCCTTGAATCTTGCAAAACAGATAGAAGGTTTTTCAATGGTGCATAGTTATGTCCTTCAAACTTTATATGACACGTTAATGATTTTACTTTGAGTCGTTCATATTCCTAGCAGAGTTCATATTCCTAGCAGAGTTCATTATCCCCTATTGGAAACTTGTGATACCAAAAGCCCCTCCATTTTAAATTGTCTTTGTATAACACATTGCCATATAAATTGGACTGCTTTAAGTTCTTACATAAAATGGAGAACAAATTAAGCAAAATCCTTAAACCTCTTTAATACCTTGATTCCATGCTACTTAGAAGAGAGGATGCAGCCACTGACAGGGCTGTGTCAGTTGGAGTGGCAGCCATGTCTGAAGCAGCGGTAGTGGTGACAGCAGTTGTAGTGGATGTGGTAATGGTGTTGGTAAGAGCTGCCGCTGATAGGGCAGAAGAGATGGCACTGCCGAGGGCGGACTCGGCAACACTTGCGACAAGTTGACCCATATCTGTGGCAAACCCAATAATGATTTCCAGGTTAATAAATAAATTTCGACTAAAAAGGGAGGTGTTTCAGAGGAGGAAGAAGAGGCCTGAGAGGATGGTAAGGGGGGGGGGGAGAAAAGAGAGAGGGGTTCACTGGAATTCTCTGTTTATTGCAACACCCTAAAAAATATTAAAACATATATTGCATTGGAAATACACTGAAGGTAAGTACGCAGGAGCTAGATGCGGCAGAAAAATGCAAATTGAAAGTTGCAGAGTTACACCAGATTTCTTCCAAATGACTACTAAATTAGAAAAATGACAATTTGAGCTTCGGAATAAATGGGGGCCTCACAATGAGTTACAGAATGCACTTTCACAATACAAACAACATGTCTCAAATGGATTACAAAGTGAAAGACCTTCAACTGTAACGTAAAGAATCGTTCTAAACAAGAATGCTTGTAAACATTCTCATGTCGAGTTGTGGTGATATTGTTTGTTCAAAACTTAGCTTCTGTAGACCACACGTAAAGAAAGGTAAACAGACTGTTGCTTTGTTTTGGTTGAGATTTTGATATGGCACCACTAAGAAGCCTTGAATCTTGGAAAACAAATAAAAGGTTTTTCAATGGTGCACAGTGATATCTTTACTGTACTCATCATTATACTTGGATTTATAATTTAAAGTTGAAATGATATTGAGATTGTTTCCCAATTGCGTTCTTGCTGTAACTGACACTTGTTTGGTTTCCTAGTATTAAGGCATTGATACTTTGAAAAGGAGGGAGGGATAATCCTTAGTTAACATATACAAATATATATATAATATATAAAAAAACACAATTTGAGCTTTAAAATAAAAAGGGACCTGACAATAAGTTACAGAACGCACTTCCACAGTACAAACAACATGTTTTAAATGGATCACAAAGTGAAAGAAAATCTTTAGGTTATATATAGATATATATTTTTAATATTTTGTATCGTGTATGAAGACTATCTTACCTATCCCTGATCTGGGTGGCTGTGAAGGAGCTGTTGTTGATAGATTTGTAGCTGTTTCTGCTTCCTTGGGCTGATCACTGCTTTCACCAACCTACAAAAAACATGATCAATTTATTCATGAATTCTTCATTTACAACGGAACAAGTAAACAAATATAGAAGTATTTCAAGCAAATAGTAACATCAAGTTCAATTCAATTTCATTTTATTTGTTCATATTACTGAGAGAAAACAACAACTATTAATATATTTCAGAAACAACATTTTTCAAAATATGCAAAACTCAAGGAGACCTTCAACCATCTCTCAAAAAATCCATAAAACATAGCAATTTGCTCTTTTGGGAGATTAATTATGATTAACAAAGCATCGAGCATGTCAAAAGGGTTAACAGTTTGATGGTAGCTTCGATATTCATTATTGAATAAGTCAGTAACTTAAAAATAAAGTTGGAAAAAATGAAGAAAAAAATTACTAATCAGCAGGACTGTCATATTTTACAATTTTGCAGACATACCTCCATATTCTCTTCCTTCTCTTTGCTCTCCTCCTCTGACTTTGCAACCCCAGCCTTTGCTTCTGTTGCTTTCCTAGCTTCCTCTGCAGCCTTCTTCAGTTCTTCTTCGGCTTTCTTCTTAGCCTCATCCTCTACCTTCTTCTTGGCGTCTTCCTCTGCCTGTTTCTTTCTCTTTTCTTTTCGTTCTGTCAGCTCTTCGTCACGATGCTTCTCCAGAACACTGATGATTTCAGGTTTGAGGGCTGAATGGCCAAAAGAAGAAAATTCCCATTAAAGGCCTACTGTATTACTTGTAGAAAACAATGCCTAATCGGTGACCATTGGTCCCCCATGATCCTCTTTTTCTTATGTTAGTTGAGAGCTGAGTTGATGAGATAACCACCTGAAATGTGGTCTAATCCATCCTATAAACTAGTACAGATAAGCTTTAATTCACTCAATCTATACGATACAATCCCCAATAGTTCATATTAGAAAGGAAATATCTTCAACTGTAACAAAAAGAATCATTTTAAACAATTAGTATTCTCAAAATCAATTCCCATGTCGAATTGTGGTGATAATTTTTGTTCAAAACTTAGCTTCTGTAGACCACATGTAAAGAAAGGTAAACAAACTGATGCTTTGTTTTGGTTGAGATTTTGATATGGCACCACTAAGAAGCCTTGAATCTTGGAAAACAAATAAAAGGTTTTTCAATGGTGCATAATGATATCTTTACTGTACACATCATAATACTTGGATTTATAATTCAAACTTGAAATGATATTAAGATTACTTTCCAATTGCGTTCTTGCTGTAACTGAAAGTTGTTTGCTTTTCTAGTATTTAGGCGTTGATGCTCCAAACATTTTGGTATTTTGACAAGTGAAAACAAACTCTTTGAAAAGGAGAGAGGATAATCCTCAGTTAACATATATACATCAATACCAGGAAGAAATCACATCAATCTCACTAAATTCAACTGTACCTCTACTACTCATACTGAGAGCGCAAACACAACTATTGCTTTTATCATTTGAAACAATACTAATGGCATCTCAATCACACTACCACAACCATATTCCTATCTAATTTATACTACTTCTAAATTGCATGACAAAATCACAATCGTCAATGTTTTAGTAAAGACCCTGTCGGAAATAAAAAAACTTAATACGTTGATTATATAGCAAGCGAAAGCTTATAAGCCCTAGATTACAATAATATCAATTATATATTTGCTATTTTAGTGTCTGTCAGAGGAGTAACAGCTCTCTGAAATCTCTAAATCTAAAGCTTTGTCAACCTAAAAACTAGCTATCGACTTGATGACATAATGGTTTTTGCATCAAATAAGCACGAACTCAGCTATATAGGCAAGCCGAATGGGTCCACATGTTATGTCGTCACCGTAACTGCGGTAAATTTGACCCCTGTTGACACGTAATTTGGAGGGGTGTGGCAAATGAGGTTTTAATTTCCTTTGGTGCAGTATAAAAAAAGAGAAAAACATCTTTTATTGTTTAACATTTGTATTCTATGTTCATTCAGCTTTCCATTGATATAAAGTTGTATTCCATCGGATAGCGTCTCTAAATTATGACTTACCCTGCACACAATCATGAACACTTCTTCCATCTAGCACCTTGCTCTCTTCATCCCATCGTCTGTACACAGGAGGCACCACAGAGAGGAAGTTGGAACCGCTGAAATACCCCATGTTGTACCCCTCCTCAAAGATATCGGACACCTCCTCTCGGTTCTGGTTGATGTCCTCTCCAGAGTTGGCAACGTACACCCTGGTCTGGTTTCCCTGACCTGTGCTGGTGGTCGTCAGCTGGACGATGTCCGTCGACGATGACAGGCCCAGCAGCCTGGGTAGGGAGGAATTGTAATGCCTGCTGATCAGGCGTAAACAAAAAAAGATGTTGTATTGCGACTGACCCCAAAATCTTAAAATATACGGTCGGCTTCTTAATTTTTTTAATTTTTAATTTACAGTTTTTTAGAAGAAGAAAAAATGTTCAATGAGTAACAAAATATGTATTTTGTTTGTTTAAATGGGATAGAAATGCATAAAATCATTGAATTATTCCCGACTTCTCACTCGTCTTCTGCCCTAGTTCCGAAATCCTGCAAGCATACCATGCATTGCACCAGCTAGAAACCAGCGAGATTTTGGCAACGTTCCCGGTTTTGAGTTTTGTGGGCGACGGTCACTGATTTGAGAGGGAAAAACAAAATCCAACCGACCTACCCAGGTTCTAGCACCTAAAGGGTAATACAACATCTTTCTTTTTTTAGGCCTCATTAGACGCACCTTGCCTATGGCTTCGGCTTGTCAAATACTTCTCAAATTTTCGCATAAATACATGCTCATGTACTTAAAAATCAATTATTTCTCTGCAAAACATTGTTATAAACCTTCACAGGAGACTTACAGGAATAAATCATACCTCACCCATAAAACTAAGAAGAATAGGGTGATGAAGGCAAATGGATTTCAGCCAGAAAAGGAAGAAAATATCAATGTCCAAAACTTAGCTTCTGTAGACCACACATATAGAAAGGTAAACAGACTGATGCTTTGCTTTAGTTGTGTATTTTATATTGCACTCACCAAGAAGCCATGGGTTAATCAGAATGAACACAAGGTTTTTCAATGGTGCTAATCAAGGAAACAGATTGAGAACTAAAATTCAAAATGTAGATCAATGTATAGTAACTCTAAAGTTTGTATATAATCGTTTGGTTTTTTAAAAATGCAGCCATTTCCAAAATACAAGATGGACAATCACTAGTTGCCAATAATACGTGTTCAACAAAATGGAACCATAACATTGTAATTTACTTAGTTCATTGCTTTCAGTTGGCTTCTGTATCAAAATCTACTGGAGTAAACGAAAACAAAAGTCAATGGGTCACACAGGGTACCCTAAAAAATATAAGTTTAAGATAATCATTTCTTCAAATTGTATTATTTAGATAAAAGCCAAATGTATATCTAAATACAACCAAAGAAGCATAATCCAGTGAAATTCAATAGTTACCTCAGGACATTCTGGACATTGGGTGGCCTTGTTGCTCCCGAGTGGTAGATGTGAACAGTCTGTGTTGTACCATGACGATTGACTCGCTGTCTAGCGACCCTCTGATTACGATTGGTCTGGCTCACACCATGGGTCAGGTTTGTGTGGTCACTGTGTCTGACCAGGAGGGGATGGCTGGCTGAGATTACGCTTGGTGGGACCGGGATGTTAGGAGCTGCATAGGAATAAAAGTAGTTGCAATTCAGAGCTTTCATGTTCTGAGGACTATCCACGATTTGAGATTCAAGTCAGAGATTTCTTCGTTAAAGTACAGCTAGCACAAGTTGTATTTACTCCAACAACATCTTTACAGTCTTACACTGTTAAACATTCAACAGTTTTCTAACTATTTTTTTGCATATTCAATGATGTATTAGTATTTCAAAATAATAGATGGCAAAGGGAAATCATTGTTATGGAAGAAAGAATAGTTCATAAAAGGATGGGAGGTAGGATGGAAGTGAATGAATTGAACCTACCTGAGACATCATTGGCATTCCTGGTGTCTTCATGGATAGCCACAGGAAGCTGGTATGTTCTTATTGATGCAGGAACACCTAAAACAAACAAAAACATTTTATGAGAATAAAATGATCAACTGGTGAAATTCACATAGGATGGACAAATCACAATGTCTCACATAATGATGACATCTCATATCAAAATAGTGTTTAATTCCTCAACAGATGACTATCAATGTGAACTGAACCTAATGAACACCATCATGTGTCTCACTAAGATATACACACATGTTTGTCTTGATAACTCATAAAATCCCATACCTAGGTGGATGATAATGGGATTTTAACTGCACAACTATTATCATACAAATGGATATCAGCCAGAAAAGGAAAAAGAAATAAAATATCTATGTCCAAAACTTAGCTTTTATAGACCACATGTATAGAAAGGTAAACAGACTGTTGCTTTGTTTTGATTGAGATTTTGATATGGCACCACTAAGAAGCCTTGAATCTTGCAAAACAAATAAAAGGTTTTTCAATGGTGCATAATGATATCTTTACTGTACTCGTCATTATACTTGGATTTATAATTCAAACTTCAAATGATATTAAACTTATTTCCCAACTGCGTTCTTGAGTAACTGACAGTCGTTTACTTTTCTAGTATTTAGGAGTTGCTTTAGTTGTGTATTTTATATTGCACTCACCAAGAAGCCATGGGTTAATCAGAATGAACACAAGGTTTTTCAATGGTGCTAATCAAGGAAACAGATTGAGAACTAAAATTCTAAATGTAGATCAATGTATGGGTACTTTCTTGGGTATGTGGTGGCTCTGAAAAGAGCGGTTTTGGTAGGATGGCAAAGTTGGCGTGCAAATCACTTGGACTCAAAAGTACAACATATTTGATGTCCTACACATATTTGGCTCCGTGACTTACCTGAGAATACAGGATCCAACTGAATCAGCATGTCCTCATCGGGGTCTCCAACCCACATATCCTCATCCCGATCACCGACCCTGAAGTAGTCCAGATCTTCAGTGATGTCATAGTCTTCTGCATCCATCTCTGAGCCATCATCGTGATCCTCTTCGTCTTCCTCTTCTTCCTCCTCGTCATCCTCTTCATCCTCCTCATCTTCTTCACCTTCATCCTAAAGGTTTAATGGTGACGGGGAGGAAAAAATATGCTTCATCACTTCCACATTAGAAATCACGGACGACAAAAGCAAATTTCTATTCAATGAAATATTACATGTAATCTTGACAAACAGAACTTGGGATTCTGAATTACAAATCATGATAACTACTATAATAGTTTTAGATTCATGCAGAAAACATATCAATGAAAGTGAGACATTGCATTGCCATGGTTAAAGAACTGGAAATGGCAAAGGAATCTAAGGAAAGCAAATTGTTTCTTATTACCTGTCTATCTTCATTGCCTTCATCAGAATCACTTTCAGCCGCAGAATCTTCATCCTGAACACTGTCATCATCAGCATCGATGTCTGCAGAAAAAATACAAACATCTGTAATTTAACTTCTTTTCTCTTTCAGTTAAAAAAATACATGTAATTGGCCTGCACTCTAATACAAAATCTTCCTTTCCATAGATAAGAATTATTAAGCTAAATGATGATCATTCAACATGACAAATGGGGATATTCTGTCATCACTCTCTCATCCTAACCCTACTATGACCAGAATTACTGACTAACCTTTTCTGACTCCTTCATGATGACTATGCTGACTTTTCATCTCAGCATCACCTAGAGATCGATTCATCTCTTCTCTGTCATTCGTCATGGTGATGAAAATCTTATCCTAACCCTAACCATCACTAATGACTAACTTACCCTAACAACTAGTTACTATCGACTAACTTACCCTAACCCTACCATAACCACTTCCAATGACTAACTTACCCTAACTCTACCATAACCTCTCTTATGGACTTGCATGTTCTGACTCCTTCATGACTTTGCTGACTTCCCTACTTAGCATCGAACCATCTCCTCACCATCACCAGTCACGATGATCACCATCTCATCCTAACCCTACCCCTACTGTGACCATCAATATTGACTAACCTGTTCTGACTCCTTCATGACTATGCTGACTTCTCATCTCTGCATCACCTAGAGATCGATTCATCTCTTCACTGTCTGACTAACTTACCCTAACTCTACCATAACCTCTCTTATGGACTTGCATGTTCTGACTCCTTCATGACTTTGCTGACTTCCCTACTTAGCATTGACCCATCTTCTCACCATCACCAGTCATGATGATCAATGTCTCATCCTAACCCTACCCTACTATGACCAGAGCTATTGACTAACCTGTTCTGACTCCTTCGTGACTATGCTGACTTCTCATCTCTGCATCACCTAGAGATTGGTCCATCTCCTCTCCATCATCCGTCATGGTGATTACCATCTCATCTTGGGATGCTTCACCTACAAACAAAAGATTCATGTTGTATGATCCTTTACGACTGAAGACACAAACAACAGTAAAACCACCCGCTTAGTTTGTCAAATCTATTATGGTTTTAATTAATATTTAATACTCCAGCACAGTACATATTTAAACAGAAAAATTCACCTTGAAAACCTGATGAATTTACATTCCATGACTATTTTTGTTGCAACAAATGTGTTTGTGAACTAAGAGTTATTGGTTTCTGTCCTCTTAAAAGAAAAACAGACATTGTAAGCTACTAAGGTCAATTGATTCTGAGCATATGGTGTTTTTTTTGGTGCCTAAATCAACATAGAAATTAATCATCAAATTTAATATTTGAAACTCAAAATCAAATTCTAAGAAAGGTTCATAAATGAAATGGCATAGAACAGGTTATAATCTCTTTTAAAAGTTGACATCTTACGACAACCAGAAGGACACTAAGCACTTCATTCAGCATTGCATCAATGAAGGATTATTGTCCTTCTGATTCTAAGCAGATTACATCAAAGTAATACAGATTTTGACATACCTGCTTGATCCACAAAGGCTGATCTGAGGGATCCCAGTCTCTCAGGTCCTGTGGCGATGAGGGTTTCTCCTAAAACCTCAGCCCTGCTTCCACCGGTCCCTTCAAGCAGCTCATCAACAATGCACTCAAGATCTGCCTGATCCTACAAGACAAAAACATCAAAATAAAAAAGTAAATAAATAAATAACAATAGTAATAAAATATAATAATACAGGGTTCTTGCAAAGCATGTTCTAGAGTTAGTTGTTAGAAGAAAAGTCTTGTCATGTAAAGGCAAAGGCATTATATATACACATATTTTTATACTCTGTATCTATTGTATATATATTTTTTATGAAGAATGGAATAAAATTAACCCCTATACCTATATCAAAAAAAGGTTCCTTGGTAAAATTGTTTTATAGTATGCTGCACTATGCTGTCAGCTGAAGAAAAGTATAATGATGAACAATTAAAGCCAATATGAAACTTGTCATTCCAGTTCTGAAAGGCTTAAACTACTTGGTTTGAATTTATATGCAAATTGCAAATAAAAGCCACCAGCTGTATTTTAATTAATTTTTTCTCTGGACTTCTTAAAATCTTGCTATGAGTTATGAACGAAATATTGTTAAACACTTAAAACCTAAAGGAAAATTTAATTCATAAAACTTACATCTAAGTCTGTAGAATCTTGGGTGTCATCCTGTACTCCCAACACATTAGCAACAGACTCCCGATCTGAAGAAACAAACAATTGCATATCTTGTAGTAATTCAATTCCACAGGATATCAAGTCAAGAGCAAAACTACTCTACTTTTTTAAAAATTAGATAACATTCAATATACATCATGCATGTTTATTCTATTAGACATGACATATCATTCAAGCTCCATGATCTACCATTGTCGCCATGCATTACATGGATAATAGACATGCCAACATAAGGGAGGGAAAATAAAAAAGCCAGTGATAAATATAATAGAGATTGATGAATAAAAGTGTATGTTCATGGACATCACATCACCTGTGAATTGGGGGTTAAAATATTTGTTTGACACTCAAAATACTTCTACATACTAATTTTCTCTTGCTTTCTCCTTTATTAGCTTGTATTTTATTTATAATACATTGATTCTACTGTATACAATCTAAATGATGGTACAGGTATTTGACAGTCCTTTGCACATACAAAAAAAGGCCACAAGACAACTCGCACAATTTAATCTGGAGTAAAATCATTCAGTTCTCAGAATGCAGGGTTGTTTGACACTCAAAATACTTCTACATACTAATTTTCTCTTGCTTTCTCCTTTATTAGCTTGTATTTTATTTATAATACATTGATTCTACTGTATACAATCTAAATGATGGTACAGGTATTTGACAGTCCTTTGCACATACAAAAAAAGGCCACAAGACAACTCGCACAATTTAATCTGGAGTAAAATCATTCAGTTCTCAGAATGCAGGGTTGGAGGGAGTCTATAAAAACAAGACTAACCCTCATATGGTTTTACAAATTGCACTTTGCTTTTGTTAATTTCTTTGAATATCTTTTCTGCCCTGAGCTTTCATGACTAACAGATTACAGCCCGAGTCATGCTCTCATAACTCCACAGATATTTGATCTAGACTTACAACACAGAGGTAACGCAGACAAAATAAGCATGGGTATAATTATGTAATACAAACGGCCTAATCATTTCAAAAGAAAATTTGATTCTTAGACAGAGGAAAGGGGATGGGAGAAAGGATGAATGAAATAAACATTGAAATAAGGATTTGTAACAAGCTGACAACTTTATGCTAGTTGAACATAAAATAAACAGTATGCCATCTTTTGACAAAACAGGTGCATATTAACACAGTGCAGGATTGGAATTTGTACTGTCTTCATCTATAACTAATGGGATAGGGTGAGAATCTAAGATATTAAAGCCTATCTGCACGAGTTTAGCCAGGAGGGATTAGACCTCCCTGCATGGTCACTGACAGGTGGTTCTCCTCAAATCAGCTCTCAATTAACAAAAGAAAAAGGGGACCATGGGGACCAACGGTCACCGATTAGGTATTGTTTGATAAATAGAGACGCAAGTAGCTATAAGTTGTGCGGTGGGGCTTTAACAGAATGATAGATTAGTAACAATATGAGCAAAACTAAGAGGTATATAAAAGAACTGAAATAATCTTTCAGGGTTCTGAAAAGACATGTTGACCTCTTTCAACGATACATTGGTTTAGTATGGATAAAAGAAGATTACTCCATCTAATATCTAATATTATCAGTACAAGACAACAAACACATTAGATATACATCATGACATGATACAAAATCTCTCTTGCTAGAAACTGAAAGCATGAGGGTATATTCCTCCGAGCACAATGCCATGCATACGTTGTACAAGGGCAGGTGATCTACAATGCATAATGCACATCTTGGGGTTTGTGGAAAGGCTAAATAAACATTGAACTAGAGAGTAAACAAAATAATATAATAATGGATGCATATGCCATGTATATTCCGATCAGAGGCAAATCTGACCTGTATGGGCACGACGGCCACCGACACCACCACCACCACCAGCCTGTGCTGAGCGCTGGATGGCTGCATCCATGCTACAACGCAGCCCTGTACCTCCTGAACAACAGAGAAGTTGACAGGACAAACTTTTAGGTTCTATTTTCACACCTATCATCAATTTTTTATGATGCTTAAGTTAAAGAATGAAGTAATTAAAGGGAAAGAAATATATATTTCTAGCTTAAGCACCCCATCACACCTTCTAAAGATTCTTCTTTATATTAACTGGTAAACTAAAAACATCAGACTTTCATAATTTTTCATTCACTGTAAGTTGTACTCAGTACACATCCATACTCTGCAATACAGTATAATAAGATTTGCAAGACACCATCATACTTATTCTTAAGGTGGCACATTAGTTTTTTTTTAAACTAAGCAAAATTTGATTTTAGGGATGAAATTTAAAACAATGTTTTGGCTATTGTCATGTAATGGTTGTTACAGATAGACTCTTTAAGGACGGAATGTGTGAACGCTATGAAAATTGTCAATCCATGTAGAAAGCAAGTTGAAACAAACATACAAAGGAATGAGCATAAGTGGCAAATTAAAGGCAATACAAATGTCATGATCAGGGGTTTCAGTATAGAGGCCTCCGTTGGTTGCAATGTATCCTTTTTATCTCATCCATAAGACAGAACAATCTTTTCTACTCAGCAGAACACATTTCATCATTTATCAGTGACATACGAGTTCAAATGATAGTGCTCCAATGAATTATATTCACGTAGAGAATTTGTATAATAAATCTGTCTAAATCTGGAATGTTAAAAAAGATAGGGAATTCAAATATAGGGATATTGACTTGGTTAACACATCAAATCAAAGGGAGAGCTGTGCGATGCAAGATATCAAAGCTATTAGCAAGAGTTCATTTAGGGCAATCTAGTTTAAACAGTTTGAAACAAGACTGGCTGAAGGAGTTGACTGCGGGGGTTACGAGATCCAAACTAGGAGACTGCAGTTTAGAAGTATTAATAGGTTCGACAACACAAGGACAACACAAAGAGAACTGTAGAACTTACCAGTAGCATCAGCAGTAGAGGCAGACCTTGGATCGATGATGTGTGCACCATTCTTGATCCTACCGATCCCTCGCAGTCCAACCGGTGGATGGTTGACAATCCTTGACAGCGTCTCCAGGGGTTTGAGGGCCGAGTTGATTGTGGAGGCCATGTTTGGGCTGGATAGGTCAAGGGAGTGAGGGACCCGGGCTAGGTCTGTGACGAGTCCCTTGCGGAGTAGAAGCCTGGTGATGATGTTCATACCACCGAGCTGGTTCTTGTAAGATGTGGTTCCGATCGTTGTCTGATGGGCGGAGCTGGAGGATGGACATGCCTCGATCATCACACTGATCAACACTGGGGTAGAGAATTGAAGAGAAGAGAAGAATATGAAAAATAGTCATCATTTTCAAATCCTTTCAAAGGGCCTTTGGACTCTGTTTAGACTTTGTAACTTTCCAATTCCACTGTTTAGTACAATACCTATTACAACTTCATTTGAAAATTTCCTGTATATTTTGTGATGTATCAAATATACATTCATCTTTCACATGAAAGGGTACTCAAAGACATCTTACAACATTCTTTAACTGTTACATAATGTTTACAAGAAATAAAATACCTTTAAAGTGTGGGATGAAATGACTTCATATCCAAGAAAATGGAATAAAAATAACAACACATTGATTAAAAAAAGACAACTCACTTGTAAGTGCCTGAATGCGAGAATGTTTCTCACTGCTTTCTGGCATAGCCAAGGCTCTCCCAAGAGCCCCCTTGATCTCTGTGACAAGAAGCATCTGAGCATCAGGACTGTGGTTACTGGCAGCTATACTGGCGAGCAGAACCTGAGCCAGGCCAGGACAATCCTTGTCCCCTGCCTTCTGGCATTGCGGTAGGAGGTGGTCCAAGATGTATGCCAGTGCAGCTCCATCCTGAAAGAATAACATAGAGTGTGTAATTGGGTTTTTACAGACATGTATCAATCAGATATGATTATTTACGTCCGAAGACCGACCTTTTACGTCACCATCCGAAAGGTTTGAACCTGCGTCCTCGGCTGAATTAGTTTGTAGGTTTCATTGTTAGCTGGATTACAGGCGCACGCCACAACGCCTAGACGTCACTCGCATGTTTTATAACTACTTCATGCGACAGGGATACTACTGAGTGAGTGAGTATAGCAAACATAGAATACCAAGGGTCTTATATTCAGCACTCTTCAATCAATGTTGTACATTACTGCTAACAGTAAGTGTGATCAATCTAATAGCAATGAAAAGTGTCCGCAATAATTAGTTCAAACCTAACTTGTAGCAATCAGTGCAAATATTGCTCACAAGTAATTTGAAGATTTGAAGAGTTTAAGATTAATGATAAATGAAGGGGGGGGGGGTTGCTAATGGATTCTCTTACACCAATTTAAAAATTAGCAAATGCAATTCTTCAAAATAAAATGTTTGTTGGCATCCTTTGGATAACTTTCTACCTTAAATTCCTGTTAGTATAAATTACAAGCTAGAAGGTAATACGGAAAGCATAATGCAGAAGTAACAATAGCATAAAAGAAGAAAAGGAATTGTCTGACAATGAGCAATCATGCAAAGCTATTAACAAATTAGAAATGCAAAACATTGATCAATGGCTATTAATGTAGCAAAAGTATGAGACCTGGTTTCTACTGGATCAAGAAACAAGGGCACTTTCTTGTGCAAAATATAAAATAGTATAAAAAGCTTGTCACTAAATTTACCTTCTTTCCATTTTAACAATGTCGTGAAATGAAATATGATCAAAATTTCGATTTCACACACACACAAAAGAATGTGTTTATCTTTGCCTTAATAGAAAATCAAGCATAATTTCAATCCCTGGCCAATTATCAATGACAATACAGATTTAAAACATACTAAAGCGGGACGTATAGCAAAACATTTAGACAACATTTTCATGCAGGCATGCATTTAACACTAAAGTAATCGGACTATACTCCTGATACATTTCCACATACCTCTTTAACATGCTTTGCCTGACCAACCATGTACTGGTACTGGGCCACGGCCTGCGCAATGCCTGCATACGACATGACCAGCTCGGCCAGCAGACGTAAGATGGCCGACTTGGGGATCAGGAGTTTGCTCTTGGATGTTTCATCTTTAGAGGGGGTCTGTCCAGTTGTTCCTGCTGATGAGGCAGGAGTCTTCTTGGAGTCCGTGGTTACAGGGGGGCTCCCTGCCTCAGCACCGGATGTTGAAGCATCATGAGGCTGTGTAGAATGATACACAAGTTTTAATTTACTCCATGGAAACATTGATAGAAAAAAAAGGGTTTACTTTTCATATCTTATCTCAAGCATTTCTTGTATATTCTTGTATTTCTATATACATAGATATTCATGAAATCAGGTATTAAGTGTTTGAGAGAATGAATAAGAAGCTTTGGAACATCAAACATATTTAAGGGCACATAGGAAATACAAGAAGGGGTGAAACTAATCACAATATAAATATAAATGGAAAGTGACACACAAGAAGTTTGGGAGAGAAGCTAGTAAAGAAAAAAAGGGATAAGAACATCATCTCTAGAGGAAAAATGTCTAATCTGGGTACCTCTTCTTGTACAGCACCATCAGGGACACTGTTGAGCCTCTCTGCTGTTCTTGGAGGACCTCTCCTTCCGCTGTAGATCCCAAGCAGTCTGTCTCCAATTTCCCTTAGTCCCATTCCTATGTCTTCTGATGTTTGGATGTCAGAGACTGCAGCAGCGGCAGCCGCAGCTGCAACTGCCCCTTCGGCACTAGCCACTCCAGTGGCTGCAGGAGCACTGGCCGAGGCTGTGGCTGTTGGTTGTGGTTGTTTAGACTTTGCTTCCTTGTCTTCTGTGAGATAGGAGAATGTGTCTTAGATTGTATCTCTAATAAATCACATAAACCATTAAATCAAGCACATGACAAATTCAATAATGTCTTAATTGTGTCTTAATGTCTATATATATCCAACGCAGCACCTGAGCATTAACAATAGCCCCTTCACCCATTAGTAATTCTTATTGTAATGTATTGTATTAGTTAAGTCTTATTTTGAGCATATTTGTACCAAGGTTGTAGAGTAATCATGTACTTTTAAGAATGTTAGCAGTTGCCTGATGATTGCTTGCAAGGCGTGAAACTCAGAGTACCAAACATGTCCCATTAGTCATTATTCAATATATATATATATTTGGGTCCTCAATACTTCAGCTACGATGCGATATATACCATGTACTGATTCTCACCTTGTTGTGAAGGTAGGACAGGTACAATCAAGGCATCCAGGAGATCGCAGAGAACCTGCAGCATAGGTCCATTCAGAGTAGGTGGTGTGAAGGTCTTAGGGGCCAAGGCCTTCAAGAGCTGTAGAGCATTGGGTCCTGTGTAGCGAGATTCATCCTCTTCTCCTGATGATGGATGCAACATAAATTGTATAAAGATGGTTAAAAAAATAGTTCAAACTGCTTGATTAAGATTTCTACACAACACTAGAAATATACAGAAGGCTTGCGGTTGCACCATGAGAGAGGGAGGATTGGGGAGTCTACTGTACATCTACATCACCATGCAAGCCGATACTTATAAGCAGCATCTAACACTAAAGAAGACATCTAGTTTGTCCAAGCAACTAGTTCATGTAGACTTTAGCCATTGAATACTGAGCCTAAGATAACTTGGGATGAAATCTATGGAAATGCAAGTTAATTGAAATTGAAATCTTCATAAATGGGAAAAGAAGCCATCATTACTTTCATGAACAATTCCTAAAAATGTAACATGTGATATTTCTCAATGCTTAACATGATTAACATAATTAACATTTGATACTCTGTAGTCTGTACTAAGTTATATATTGGGCTATCTAAACCACAAGGAATTTAAAGAAAGTTGTCTTCTTATATTAAGCGATGAATCCATCTTTAATGAGGAGACAGTAGAGAGTATAGCCTGAGACAAACTTCATGGTTCTCAACATCAAAGCTAACAGTCATTTCACAACCGTCGGGAAAGTCTCTATATTGCCCTACAGCATGCTTGAAATAGATCGTTTGTCATTTTTGTCATTTTTGTCATATTTACCTCTCTTTGCAGGAGGAAGAGCGATCTTGAGGCTACCTCTAGCAGAGTTCATGAACAGTTCCTGGTCCCGACACGCCAGAGGTCCAAGCTTCCTGAGAACAAAGTTCATTTCTCTGCATCCCACACTGCCCAGGGCAACATTGCATGTGTTGCATCCAACTCCCTTGTTGGCTACTGCATAGATTAACTGCATTCAACAAGACAAGATTGTTTGAAAAGGTAAGAGTAAGCTGATACATTTGATTGAACAGGGCTACAATAATACCTTCAAGTGACGGCTTAGACTAGGTGTCTGAGCTTTAAAAAAAAATTATCTGAAAGATTTTTTTTAATCACTGAAACAAAGTTACAGCTGGCCTAAAATGAAACCAAAACCAACACAAACTGACAATACCATACAATGACAGGTCATAAACTATCTACAACTTACAAACACCATGTTATATTATATTATTTCAAATCTTAATATCTTTCAGGAATCTGAACTCACTTCATCTAGTGCACATGAACAAACTGTAACAAAATCATTGCCCTATGACACCAAAAATTCTCCAGCACTTCCTACATGCAAGTTCATTACTTAAATTATGAAAATGCACAAAATTGACGTTGTTTATCTGGGGCCCATTTCATAAAGTTTTTTATTGATAACAAATGCCTAATTTCTATGATAAATTTGCTCTCAGCCAATCAGATGCGTTGATTTCAGTAGTTTATAACAGTAGCTTGTAACTTTTTATTGATATCAAGTTTTATGAGACAGGGTCCAGGAGCATTACCTTGTCCATTGTATTCTGAAGCACCATCCTCTCTTCAAAGACATGCCTGAGAAGTAGGTTGGCTAGGATTGGGAAGCTATTGAAGGAGGATGCTTGGGTGAGAGACAGCAGGAGACGTGGTCCACCGAGCTCAGCAAACAGGAGGGCGCTGGTATGGTCCCGGGTGAAGCGTAGGCATATCCTCAGGACAGCATGCATGGTGTCTGGATCCACTGGCACACCGATCAGACCAACGCACGCCCTGACAAAGACAAAAATATACTTTTTAGTATAGTAAGGACATACAGCTTACCAGAAAATTGAATATCTTCTCCTGATTAGTCACCATATTGATTCATGAAACTTACTTGTCTTCCATTCAACTAGAGAATGAAAAGCACAAAGTAAATTGTCAAACAAAATCCAACCATGTATGCAAACCCATTATTATGTCCTGACGATGAATATTTTAAGCGTTAGACATCTAATCCCATAATAGACTGCAATTTTCTTCATGTTTTGTATGTGAAACTAATCTGATGAAATATTAGTTAAATTTACATAAAATTACATATAAGTTTCATGCAGTTTCCATAAGGGAAGGGTGGTATACCTGATCAGAGTTGGAATTTCTTTGTCTCCTAGTCCTTGAATCTCAACGATTTCAGGTTCTTTGGCAATGGTTTCATCCTTACTCTCTTGGCTGGTGCCTGCAACTAAAAGAGAAAATGGGGAAGAAAAAAAAATTCTCATAATAAAAATAGGATTATAGTTATGCAATTTTATTCCTCTAAAATGACACATTTATCATAGACAACTGAAATACTGTTTTTTTTTCAAAGCCAGCAAAACACATCATATATTCAGATTACTTTGTTGTAGCTTTGTTAAGATAAACCTCATCAAATTTAATTCATTCCTTACCTTCTGCTTTTGCAGCAGATTCCAGACTCTCACTGGTCTTGAGTTTCTTGGCTTCTCTCTCTCCATCGTCCTCCTTCTTATCACCTTTGTCTTCCTCTGTCTTTGGGGCGGGCAAGGCCTGCATGATGGGCCTCTTGTTCATCGTCTCTTCATTCACCTATGGCAGACACAAAAAGATACAGGGATATATTAGGAAGGACAAGACGAAAGTGTATCACATTTGGTAAGAATTTTTTTTTTTTTAAATGGAAGAAGTTTTATTTCAACAAACATGCAGAGGGAAAGCATTAGAAGGTGTGTATAATGGGAAAAAAAACACAAGACGTAAATTTCGAAAGAGCCAGGCAAAGTCGACAATATACTAAAGGGGAATGGAAAGAATAGGTTCTTCACAATAATGCAAAGGAGAAAGGCATTTCTTCAATCGAAAAATATTGAGAAGTTTGTAAGTAATTTTTGTTAGATATTAATGGGCATCCCTCCCATGAATAATCAATATGAACCAAGGGTATACATGGTGTGGTAGACATACAGTCATACATTCCTTGCAGATTTGTTGCTATTCACCTGTATCATGGTGTTGAAGTGGACAACATATCTTCTCCTGGCAGCAGTGAACTTCACACTAGGCTTGCCTGCCCAGTAAGCATCGTCTATGGTCTTGTTGTTACTACGGCTGTAGGTACACCAGCGGCCGGTGGAGTCATCAAACCACTTCCAGGTATGGGAAGCACCCTTGAATAGCACAAAGAAAAGCACATTAGTTTGAGAACTATTACATTGTAATATGAATATGGCACTTTTGTATCATTTTGATTTTATTGATATACACACAAGTCTTTAGATAAGTCCTGGGTATAGCCATATAAAAATGTAATCCAGGAATAGTGTCAAGCAAAATAACAGTCGAGTGAGACATGGAGTTTCCTCTAAGTTGTTACATGCATAATAGGTGGCTGTTCATTTTTAATGTATCAAGAAACAACAACCAATTATGTTTACCTGTTGTGCCACCTTCCTCTTGCATGTGAGAACAGTCTTCTCATAGAGATCAATGAGAAGCATTGCTGGACCCATCCACCTAAGGTAAACAAAATCAAACATTCACAATTAACATTAATCTGGTGCTGATATATAAATATGCTAGACATTTTATTACTGCCCTTGCTTAACATCCATTATATTGGAGAGAAACACAGCTGAAATGTCTGGTAGTTTGAGTTTTGATATCATAGCCATAATGCTGGCATGGATATCTAAGTATGGAGGTATACAACAATATACAAAAGTACTTTAATGATGACAAATCTGAATCTTTGACAAATCCAGCACATATTAAGTACAAACCTAAAAACAAAGGCACATATCCAATTATTTTTTCCTTCTAGTATCTACCCTTATATCACAGGACTTGGAATAAGTCTGGATATGTCAACCTCACAGAAAAATTACAACATAGCAGCATGATAGGGTGCATACACTTACAAGCAATACTCGATATAATAACAAATTTACATAAAAATAAAAATACAAAGAACAATAATTTAAGTGGAAATGGTTCATACTTTGGTGTTTTGGTGAGCTTCATCTGAGCCATCCATTTCTGTGCAGTGTAGAGCAGTGTAATGAGTGTATCAAGGATGTTTGAGGCCTCCACTCTCTGAGCACAGGCCATCCGGATCTCCTGTAAATGGTACAAACAAGCAAAGGGATAGGATTAGTTCAGATGAACTTTGAAACCTTTGTGTAAGGGGAGTGATACCGTTTTATCCGTTCATAATTACCTTATCAATATGAATGTGAGCAATCTATAGAGGTAATAGTTACTTCAAAGGCTTCTCTGTCAATTAATAATAAAATAATATAATAATAATCTTTAAGTCCACTCCAAATTTTATTAAACCGAAAATGGAAATTCTTTTTGCCCAATTGATCGTGAGCCCGGCAGCCACTGAGCAGCGCCAGATCAACATTGCTCTATTCCCTTATTGTTGAACGCCAAACACGGTAGCAGCAACTCCCTTCTATCATTCTGACCAGAACATAGTAAAACTCATTGAATAAATGTAGTCTATATGCTACTACACTCTTCCAATATATACCGGTAACTGAAAAATTAGATTTCAGAAATATGACAATTACTTTTACGACAAACATACATGAAAAAGATGTTTGACAGAGATGTTCTGATTATTAGGTGAGCTGGCATTTGCTCAGGGCTACATTTTGTCAAATATATACTGCTGAGAGTTAGGTCTTGGGTTGCATCTCTGTATCAGTATGAGGTTGAACAGAAGCTCTGTGTTGGGTGGGCTATTTGTGGAGCATATGTTGTACAATTGATTACTTACCTCAAAGAGAAGGCAGAGAAGGTGAATTCTTGAGGCCAGACATGATGATAAGTTTTCTATGACCTTCGGATCCGTCACACCAGCTGGATCCACTAAAATACTGGCAAAGCTATTGCACAACAACCGGGCATTCTCAGATATCTGTAACACAAACAACAAAGTTATTTGAAGGATAATAATCACAAAAATTTTACAAGCATTCCCATTTTCAATTGACAGACATCATGTAAGATACAAATACAAATAGATACAGAGAAATCCCATTGCGATGACCGATTCAGTACGCATTTCACATTTATAACCTATAAAGACAAAGGCAAGATGAAGAAGTGGGAAAGAAAAAGCTGAACATGAAACAAGAATGACATGAAAAGGTAGAAAGATTAACCATTAACCAAGTAAAAAATAAATCAGCTTTTGATTTGGCAGATAAGCATGAGAATTCTTACCTGACTGATGACCATTTCAAGCATTTTGTCTCTCCATTCAGTGCCATTCCTGTTATTGGCCACCACTAGTAGATCACACACTCTGTCAAATCAAAGAAATAGAAGACATACATCAAACATTTGATATCTATCATAAAAATTAAATAAATACAGTACTGGGAACTTGATCTCACAAAGCCATCATAGGCTTTCTTAAAGTTCTCCCTTTTCATTTTATATAAATTGAAAAATGAAACACTTTTTATACATTGCCAATGATATTGATTATTCTGTATTTTCATTATTTGTTGTATGAATGTTTATTTGGGTTATGTAAATTTAAATTAAATAAACGATTAATTGATTGATTGATAACTTTCCATACATTTTCAATTACACTGTTATCATTCAAGTGTTATAATATTATTGTAATCACTAAAGAACTTTTTATTCTGCATTCTTTTCATTAAATCACTTAATATATTCAATGCTTAACTTGCGAAATATGTTGGTGATTCAACCTGATTTTACTTGTCTATCTATGTTTGAAATCAAATCAAAATGTGAATGATTTCCATCAAAGTAACAAAAATTAAGAAAAAGATCTTACACTTACTTTCCATTTTGCTATCAGAAAACTGACGATCGCATGAAAGCACATTACGCACAGGTGTTTTTACTTACCTGTAAACAGTTTCTGGAATATCATCAAGCAGCTTGAGACATCCTGGTAGCATAGAATCCACAAACTCATTAAGGATAGCTTTATCAAGTGGAGCCTCCTCTGGAATCTTGTCTTGTTCCTCCATCAGTTTCTGCTTCCTTTCTTCCTCTTCTTTCTTCTTACGTTCCTCCTCCTCTTTCTTCTTCTTTTCCTCCTCCTGAAGATATTCAAAAGAACAGGAGATAATCATACAAGAAATTTTAATGGGTAATCCACAAAGGCAGATGTGATTTGTGACTAGCGTAAGAGTGTAAATATTTACTGGTTACTACAATTACTATTACTAATATTGTTACTTCTTCTTTACTAACTTCTAATTGGCCAATGATAATCATTACCAGGAGCCGGAAGGGATAAAAATACACCTTTATGATATAAAAATGTTAACGTAACCCATCATTATTCTAAAGACCTACAAAAGCACAATACTCAGCAGCATCATAAGCATGACACTCCCTGCATCATAACTAAAACATATTCAAAGGCATCACCATTGCTAGCAAACAAATTTCTTACCTGTTGATCTACTGATGGCTGGATTGCTTCTCCAAGAGACATGGCTATGGCTTGCATCATTTCTTCCTCTTCACTCAGTCCTGTTCCAAAAGTCTAATGTAAACAAATAATCAAGAGTTCAGAAACGAGTAGAATGGGGAACAGAGATTATTCATTTCTTTGATAAACTTGTATGTGATAGTGTAAATATCCTTTAGAATACGACTAAAGATCAAGTTGTGTCTTGCTGTAAAGGGAAGAGTCTGATTTTCTTTGTATTTCATTAGATCCAGAGGATGGGCAACGATTTAAATACAATTTTCTTTCCAACATAGTTGATAACATTTCAGAATGATTATGCCTACTTGTCAATGCCTGCAATGTGCACACGGTCATTGTGTATTCATAAGTATTATTCTTTTATGTTTCAATTTTGTATCATGTATAGCACATTACATGTAGTCTTGAAGACAAAAAATAATAATAACAGCACTATACACACCAACTTTGCTCCTTAAGAAGATGGATATTGGTCAATGACAAATATTCATCATAATTTACTAACTTGATAAAGTGTTTACAATGTCAGTGGTATATTTACCTGAGGAAGTCTTGGTGGATGTGTAAGAGCCCACTCAGCTGCTCTCTCAAGGGTGGTAGACTGCTGTAGAGCCTCTAACGTATGCTCCCTTGTGAAGCCCATGTCCATCAGCTAATAAGATAAATAAATGCAGTGAATGAGTCAAGAGTACAAGATACTGCTGGTTGGTGAACTATCCCAAACTAAACAAGTCAAGTCAAATTATATAATTGTAAAAATTCAAAATATAGGTTAAACATCATCAACAACAACAAATTTAGTTCTGATAAAGACAATAATACTATCTAAAGTAAGAAGGCTACACAGTATTGCAAGAATTCAAATATATGCCCATGGTATGTGAATATCATACTAGAAACTACGAGTAGATGGGACAGTGCTTAACTCAGATGTGCACTTTCGTCTACAATCTGCTCACCAAAGCATTAATTTTGTTAATGTGTCAGCATATCAAAGAAGACTTTTCATTGAAAAATACATCAGTATCCCCTCCAAATAATAAACCTATCCCTTTAGCCACCACAGAACATAAGAAGTCCATGGAAACAGATGTAAGGATGTGTTGCTAATCATAGAGCTCTGATAATGAAAGACATCTTTACCTGTCTAACATGGTCCTCATTGGGTTCAGCTCGTGGTCTGCTACTGGTCCTGCTCAACCCAGTCAGGAATCCAGACTCAAACAGCCCCCGCGTTGCCCTACTGAAACCAGCCGAGCCTGATGATGTGCTAGGCCCACCGGTTGATGACCCCTCTGCAGCGCTGCTCCCAGCCTCCTCACTCTTGGCCTGCTTGACCCGCTCAGCAATGACGGATTCACCGCGTACGATGTGGCAGAGGATAGCCAGGAGGCTCTCAGCTGTATGGTTGCCCAGAGATTTCAGAGATCGGCAACCCCACAGGTTCATGATCACGTTGAATGCAGACTGAAATAGGGAGAGGATGGAAAGGAATGTAATGCTTAGTTGTAATACTGCAATATGGCTTGTACACTATGTCACTTATCATACCTCCATCATGTTCTACAAATTCATTACTCTAAAATCATCAGAACTGCTCAATTGAGTTACCATCCTTGACAAAACACAAGTCAATAAAAATACATTTTATATTGTTAAGTAAAAGCTTGCTAACACCTAGAACAAGTTTATCACAGTTGCGATATGAATTCCAGAGACAATTTTATCAATTCCCTTAGGAATTAGTACTTTCACACATCAATAAGGTATTTACCAGATCTGACGAAGGTGTCTGATCTATAGTCATTAAATACCTTTAGAATGTGTCATAGAAATAATTTCTAATGATTAAAACCATCCTGATATATACTTGTTCAACAATCATTTTCCTTGTTTCTTAGCGTGGAGCAGAGCACTCCTTTCTATTCTAGGATTGCTGTCATTTTTACCTTGTGCGTATTGATGAGGAACTGGACAGGGTTGAAGGGTGTGTAGCCAGGAACTGTACCCTTGGCAGGCATGGCATGCGGAGAGTCCAACACAGACTCTGGGTTGACCAACTTCTCTATGAGAGACAGCCATGCATCGATGAACTCTCCTGTTCCCTCTATACAACAGGACAAAAAAGAGAGAGAATAGTTGATACTAGAAATACACACAGCTATTCGCCAGGGGGGTGTTTCACAAAGATTCTAAGTCGAACCTAACTCTAAGTTGGACTTAAATATTATGGAGAGCCATTTGTAGCCTTATAATAAAATACATTCAAAAGCAAAATTGAAGTATTTTAAACTTATCATAAATTCCACATCAAGAACATGAAATCTCCCAAGATAATAGAAAATATGAATGATTTGAATCAACATTTTATGCCTTTTGAAATAATTTTACAAAATATTTTCAATGATGCTAACAGCTTTTCATAATTGTTAACTCCAACTTAGAGATAAGTTCAACTTAAGATCTTTGTGAAACACCCCCAGTTTTCTCTAAAAGTGTTAAGTGGAATCAAGATACACTGAAAAGGATGGCACCCATATTATAACCATGCTGGTGCGTGTGCAACACTCACACACCACTATGTTGAGTAAGCGTGTATAATGCACATTGTTCGCCATATGAGACAGTGAGATTTTCAGCCAAATGATACTACCCCCTTTATATTTAAGTACGAGTACATTCAAAGCTGGATAATTCTAGTGGGTGCAGAAAATGACCAATAATAGAAGACAAATCAATGGAAAATGACTATATTGAATGAAACAACATGACCAATCTGGAAATGTCTTTTCATATGATTGGAATGAAACATAACCTGAGACTGTGTTAATGCTTACCTGGAAGGTCTGGATGTTCCATACACTCTGAGGCTCTCATCTTACCACCCATGGTGACTGCCCAATGGAATGCACTGTGAGCAAACAAAACATGGTGGATGTGTTATAAACAAGCTAATGTAGATTATTCATCAACTTTTAAAAGTAAAGTTCTACAAATAAAGTGTCAGCCATTGATATATATTGGAGAATGTACAATAGTTCTCATCTTCAAATTTTCATATTACATTTATCTACAAAAATGTTATACTTGTATCTTATTTTGTATAGATGCATGATCAGAAGTTTCAGTACGAGTGAGAGGGGGGAGGCAGAAGTTTAACTCCTATACAGCAAAATAACAAATTTTCCAAAGGTATTAAGAATCATAAATGAGGCAAAACAGAAATATGTTCAAAGTGAATGTCTTCTTCTTTTCTAGATTGTAATCACGACCAACTTAACGAATGCAAACAAGTGACTTACTCAAAGAGGGCTGCATGAGCTCCTGTGCTGACAAACTTCTGTAGCATGAGATGATAAGGATTCTTCTTCTCATCAAACAGCATAGGAGATGCAAAGCTAACAGCACAGATGTAGAATGTTACCCTGGGTCAAGACAAATGAAAGAAAGAGATTTTAAAGCATTGATGAGAGAGGGATTTCAACAATGTAGACAGAATACATAGCAAAATACCGTTTAAAAATGAAAAATAAATTGGACTTACGATGATGAAAGGATATATACATTTCCAACATTTATTGGAATACCACATTTATGAAAATGACACAATAAAGACATTGCGCATATGCTTCGTCATGTCTTATCTTCAATGTGCATCAACGTGCACTAACTATTTCCTGATCTTGGATAACAATTTTAGCAGACATCAGCTGACGGCACATGCATGATTATAGAATAGACAGAATGAATAGAAGATGTTACCTGAATTTTGGCAGTGGGCTAGCTGGTGGAGGAGTCCATGAAAGACTGTTGAGTAGCAGTTCCATGAGAACCTTGGCTGTATTCCTGGCTGCTTCGGATGGAGGGCTAGGATTGGGATGCAGGTGTTGCCTGCTTCTCTGTCTGACCGATGACCCGACGCAGAGCTTCACAAGCAAACCAAACAACTCAGAGAGTGCTTTCCCTAGTCTAGAGGGTGCATAGAGCACCGGCATGGCCTGCTTGACCAACTGGAGCATCTGAGCGTTGGGTTTGGGCCGCGCCTTGGGGTCCTTGGCCCCTTCCTTAGAATCATCCACCTCCATGGTTGACAGGGCATCACTGACGTCCATGAGTGTGCTTGCTGATTCAATGACCGGATCTATTTCACTAGTCCTTGCATTGCTATCAGATTTACTGGTTGAAGCGGATGCTGCGGAAGTGGTAGCATCTGAAGAGTCCTTGGTGAAGTCCTTGGGGAGAAGTTTCTCCCGTTCTAGCTTGCCTAGTTCACAGCCCTCTGGGAGGGTGCCTGGGGTGAACAGTGCCAGGAGAACTATGCTCTCCCAAACCAATGAGATGTACAGATGACTCAAGTGACGTAATACCTCTTGTCCGAGATCTGAACCCCATTGGTTGACTGAGATAGTCCTCACATCAGTCTGTTGTGAGAAAGAAGAAAATGTCAAGAATAAAAAACATCAAGAATACTGGCTTCATGAAGAGAGGGAAAAGAAGTCTACATCCCATGAAATTTGTTGAGCCATAACATTTTGTATGGGAGATTTGAAGGCTATGTTTGCACTGCTGAATAATCAACTTTGTGAGGTGCTCCCTCACATTTTCTCACAAAGACCCGCAGAGGGAGCTTGTAGCATATTCATGATCAAAGCTATACATGTAACCATTAATTTTTCCAATATACACAATTAACATGAATAAGGCTAACTGCAATCAATATGTTACATATCATTGGTGCTTGTAGATATCGGGAACATCTCATTTAGGGGTGGTGTAATTAACATCTCAGACACGAGCTTGATTTATATCTTCTAGTTTATCATAGCATGAAGTTAATCTCACCTGTCCGACTCTGCATACATGTACCAGCATGGTGACATAGGAGTGAGCGGAGACCATCGCCCTGAGAAGTGGAGTGGTAGGAGCTCCTAGGGGAGCACCGGTGAAGTTTGGCGAGTTGACTAGCTCCCTGAGAAGGATGGATCCGCCCGGGGGCTCCAGGGGGAGCTGGAGGGGCTTCAGGGCAGTGAGCTCTTCTTTCAGCATTAGAAGGCCTTCCTTCAACACACCAGACTCTCTTGCAAGTGACTACACAAAGGTGGGAGGGGGAGGAGGGACTAGCATGATTAATTAAGTCAAAAATCTAAACTCAAGTGTCAGTACAAAGTCTGCATAGATGTATTGTGAATAGATAGTAATATCTTGCCTCATACTAGAAAGAGATCATTAGAGTGGCAGCACTTTCATGGCAACAAAAATACAGTGAAACCTGTCTTTAAAGACCATCCAAGGGAGACAAGAAAAGTGGTCTTTATAGGCAGGTGGTCTTTATATAAAGGTTTGACTGTACTATCATCTGGCTTGCGATTGGTGCAAACCACACTTATTCTATTGCAAGCTAACTGTTCATAAACATTATACATGAAATTCTATACTACAGCATGTGTGAACAAGCCTTACAAAAACAAACTCTAAAGAAATTCAAGAAAATGAAGTAGGGAGACTTACCAGAATGGCTTTGCATACACTAGCAACGGACTGGCAGGCACTACTGGTGGGAAAGTCTATGGGTAGGTTGGGCAGTCGCAGGAATTTGAGCAGGGGTTCTAGACCACGATGACTCACAAACTCCCAGCAGTGATCATCGGTTGCATTATTACAGAGGATGGCTTCAACAAACTTCATCTGAAATAACAGTAGTTTGAAGTTTGAAGTTTGAAGTTTGAAGTTTGAAGTTTGAAGTTTGAAGTTTGAAGTTTATTTGTTCCACATTTACATCAAAAAACAATTTAAATTCTTCTTTGTTTGTATACAAGCGTATAAGCGTAGATTACACAAAAACAAAAATAAAGATTTCAAATCAAGTATAATGTACGGAAAATAAGTACAAAGTTTCGAAATATATAGATATATCAGGCAAGGTAAAAACAATGTAAAATGTGGGGAGCCTAAATAAAAGTAAAGGCAATATTTTTTTATATTATAACCATTTCTTGCATTTGAACACTGATAACGACGGCTTTATCAGTCGAGAGTTTCAATATCATTTCCATAACTACAGTTGACATATATATCCAATCATAAAATGAATTTTTGTGAAACTTATTCAAGAACTTACCACATTGAGAATGTAGTCCATGAGAGGTACAGGAGTCTTTTCATTAGGGTCTGTGGATCTGAAAGATAAAACAAATGTGTATACTTTTCGTAAACATTTTAAGTATCTTCAAGATTAGACAGCACATTTGTTCATCAACAAGTATCAATATCTTTTGTATATAACAAATGTATAGGTCTACATTTTGGGGTAATTTCATTTAGCATCGATTCGATAAGTGGAATCTCAGACATAAATGTCACACATGACATGCAAGACTCAAATTTACGATGTGAACTCCAGTCTTCATAACATGTCTTGTGTTCATAATATTGCATTGGCTTTTATCTCGTCAGTCTGTGAGCGTGACTTCAAGGGGAAAACAATGCATTCAAAGTATTCTAATATATATATGATATTTTTTTATTTTTTTTTAATTTTTTTTTATTTTTTATAAAACAACAAAGAACAAAATTTGAATCTTAACAGGGAGAATGGTGTACAAAAGTTTCACTCAGTATTGACAGTACGACCATAACAACAAGTAATCAACGAGGATTTTGTAAATTCTTTTCATACAGATCAATTTGAAAATGTATAGATAGGTAACTCATCATCATCATCATCATCATCATCATCATCATCATCATCATCATCCTCATCATCATCATCATCATCATCATCATCACCATCACCATCATCCTCTCATTCAACTTACTGAGGTTGGACGGGTGTGACCATCTTAGACTCCTGCTCCCTGACAGACGTGGGAACCTCGTCTTCTTCGTCTTCGTCATCACTCGATGTGTCATCTCCATTGGTTGCTTGAGACTGGTTAGATGCTGGTGTCTTAGCCTTCACCGCCGATCGACTGCACACAATGTTAGGGTTGTGCCCCATGCTGCATATATCTTCCATCAGCTGAAAATCAAAGTGGTACAATCCAATATAAGCTCTTGCTTCATGTTAACATAACAGGGACTAATTATCACATTTCAAGTCCTTTGTCTGCAGTCAAAGTCATCTCATAGGGCATTACAAAAAGAACTGTGCCACAAGGCGTACATTTTTAACCTAACAAAACCTGTTGGGTTTGCAATAGAAGGATACTACACAGCTTTTGTGAAGTCCTTGCTCAGCCATGCTCCTTATTAACAAAATTTGAGGCAAACACTGTAAATCCAAACAATTATCTCCATAAACAATGTCATTCATTGATCTACATTAGACAAAGTTTGCCAAATTTGTTGTTTTCAGCCTTTGCCGATAGTCTAGAATACTGGTATGACTTTTTTTATAAAGAAGGAGGAAAAATAAAAGTACAGGAACTGACCTTGATGATAGCCATCATCGCATGATCTTTGAGAGAGGGCTGGTGTCTCATCAACTCATCCATGGCACTACCTAGCGACGATGCAGTGTCTCCTACAAATGCAATGTGATGTAAACTATATAATATACAGGTGTATTGTCACTGATTACAATGCTTTTCAGAGTTTTGAATAGCAAATTGGAAATCCATTGGAAATTAATTATAATAGCAAGAAAATGTTATTCTCCTTTACAGGAACAAGAATGGAATACAAAGTCTTGGGTTTGGGTATTGCAACTTACTTTAGAATTGTAAATGAAATACACAAATCCAGTAAACCCCTTGTAACATTGATTGTATGTTTATCTTTGTTTATTCCTTCAAAAACTGAAAAATTAGCAAAAATGTAAACCTTTACCATATATAAATATGCATGGTTTGTAAAGAAATCTGTAAAACTGGATTACCTGTGAAAATTCTAGTCACTGGGTAATCCTTTTCCCCCTAAATCATAGTTCACTCATTCAAAATAGTAAAGCAGAGAATTGTTGTAATGATGAAGCATGTATTCAAATTATGCCTAAATGCCGGAATCAGTCCTGTTTTCAAGAATTTTTCTACTTTTTAAGGTATGAATATATTGGTCAAAGTCCTACCTAATGCATCATTTGTTCTTCTTCTTCTCATAGCTGGCAGGTAGACTGGAGACAGGAGGACTTTGAAGAGCTTTTCAAACGGCTTGCACTGATTGAATGCATCCAGACCCCTGGAGTTGAGGCACAGGGCACTGAAGATGTTAGGTAGGGAACCCAACACCTCTTTGGTTGCAGGAACCTGTAAAGATGAAGGTGATCAATGGAAGGGTTGGATGATCAGATTCATTCAATCATGCATGCATTTTATATTTGAGGAAAAAAATACAAAAGGAAAAGCAGAGAATGTAGTAAGATTCAGGAGGGTCAAATCCGACTGACATGAGCGCTATACAAGAACCCACTCTTATTATTATTAAAAGACGGGGGAGAAATATGGAAAGCACACGGGATACAAATTAAGATAACAAATATGATCAACCCACTAAAGGAATGGAAAAAATCATGTTTTTACTATTTCATGAAAAAATGAAAATGAAATGACTTTCCGAACAAGATTGTGATAAAGATTTCCATACAAATCTATGAAATAAATGATAGTATGTGAATATAAGATTTACCATATGAATTTGAATACAAAAGCAGTGTAGATGAAAGAAATGCAAAGATTTGGAATACTCACATCTTTGATAAGAAGGGCATGCAGCATGACATCAGTGAGCCCTGTATCTTGTAGTGATGATAGAAGTGATGGTTCTTGAAACACATACACAGTAACTAGCTCGCAAGCTGTTGGGAACAAAAGAAAGAAGAAAAATAGTTGGAATTTCCTTCATAGAAGAACTTATTCTACCTCCCATCGTTGTTTCCCTCTCATTTTCATCACCACACATCTTCAATCCTATAGACAATACATGCACATCAATTACTTGTATACCTTATAATTATGTCACAAATGTGCACTTCACAATATTTATGCTTACATATGAAAATGATATTACTGATAATTTCTAGTACACCATTATTTCCAGTAGTTGCCATTATTTTATTTTTTTGTTACAATGTAAAATGCTTACCAAGGAGAAACAGCGATGCACTGTAGTATTCAGCATTGCTAATGATGTGTTTCAATGAGCTGGGTAATGATCCATCCATAACTGCAGAAAAAGAAACAGAAGTAGCCTGGTAATTCCAACAAGTTTAAAAACCTAAAAAGTTAAATAGCACTTTACGTATGCGTTTATGGCACATATTTGTTATACAGCCAGATAAAAATGTTTGGTTTAAAGAGAAGGTTGAGTTCTGGGAAGAGGTGAAAAATAATTTGTGAGCGTTATTGTTATTATGCAAATGTGGAAGAACATCAGATAAAACATGTTCCCTGAAAAGCATGGCTCTTCAAATGCCTTCATATTCTAAATATGTCATGTAACATCGTAAAAATTGGGACGGATTTTTACACCACGTGTTCGTGTAGTCCCGTATACATCTTTCTGTGTACAGTGTTTGTAATTTAACCAAGACTTGGCCAAATTTCTTATCATTTTGATGATTCCAAAACCTTGCACTACACACAAATACTTATATGCTAGATGATCAACCTTTTCAGGTTGATTCCACATCATTTCTTTCACAATGCAATCGCATGACCAGAACTCAACTTTATCTTTAAGTCAAGGAAGTGAATAGATTAGATGAATGAATAAATGCCATTTTTGTTTACATCGTCCACAGAACAAAATAGCACACTATAAAAGGATGTTGCACAGAAGACTACTTACCATGCCTAATGCTGTCAGAGAAAGAAGGATCTTGGATAGCTTTCTTGAGGAAGTTGAGCATGGATTTCAGCAGGGCTGCTCTCTGAGGGAAACACTGGGTTGCTGTAAAGTCAAATGTTGAGGCATCATTAGCACACCTTTTCATCTTGTAAGGCAATTCTAATATAATATACCAATTGGCAATTTATTGTACAATTTTTTTTTATTTTTTAAAGACTAATACATGATACCAAATTAATATGGCATCGATTTAAGATGATAACATTTAGATCAAAGAAATAAAATGACACAGTAGTGTGAATTGTTGATATCATGTTAACTGTTCAAGGTACTGAATAGGCTCAGCCATGGACTTCAACTCTTAGGGCATAAGTGTAGGCACTAACTGAAATAAAGTTAGATTTGTAAATATAACCACTGACGAGCAGTCATAAAAAAGACTTACACCCGACACACATTTTCACTAGCTGAAATACAGTCTTGATTTGTAAATATGACTACTGTCAAGTGGTCATAAAACAGAAACATTCCCAAAATCACATCTTCATTAACTGGAATACAAGCTAGAAAATTATGTGAATTTGATATTCTGCCCAGGGGCTATATATCAGAGAAAAAAATCCCCCTCCCACTTCTGTATGATCATTGCATCACCCTGTAGAGCGAACTGACCGGATCTACCCTTCTTTGGCCTTGAGACGCCCTCTTCCTTGCACGTGCCTGAGCTTGTAGATTTGTTGATTGGTCATAAAACAGAAACATTCCCCTACTCAAATCTTCGCTAACTGGAATACAAGCTAGAGGATTATGTGAATTTGACATTCTGCTTAGTGGTTATCAGAGTAAGACATCCCCCTCCCACCTCTGTTTCATTATTGTATCACCCTGTACATCTAACTGACCTGATCTACCCTTCTTTGGCCTTGAGCCGCCCTCTTCCTTGCCCGTGCCTGAGCTTGTAGAAGCACCCTCATTGACCCTCTGTCCATCTGAGGGACTGTCTGTCTCCATGGTGGTGCTGTCTTCTGAGAACGGGGAGGGCGGGGCGGAGTGGATGGCATCCTGGGACGTACGAATCGTTGGTTTGATGACGTAGGGTACATCCCTCCGACATATGCCAATCTCATGCTGCAAGAGGTAGCACATAGCAATAGAATCATGTGAAATAAGTACTTCACAAAAACGAACAAGACAGACAATGCCCTTTTTCCCCCTGTTTGTTTACTTGCAATCATGCATATTGTTTTCCAACAAGATTCTTTAAAGCCCATCTGTACTAGTTTGGCTAGGAGGGATTAGACCAAGTAGCGTGGTCACTGGTAGGTGGCTATCTCATCAACTCAGCTCTCAATTAACATAAGAAAAAGAGGATCATGGGGAACCAATGGTCACCCCTTAGGCATTGTTTTCTATATAGAGGGAGCAAGTAGCTACAGGTAGTACAGTGGGGCTTCAAGGTGATGAGTAGAAGGGTATTCTCAATAATTGAAGACATGAAAATTGAAAGTTGTCTCTTACAACAGGATTGTTTTACATATGATGGTAAGTATTTGGCTCAGTTCAGAAGATTTTTCTTCAAATTTAATCAAATGCTACATACCTCTAATCTGTTGATGAATGTGGAGAGTCCGCCGTGGGTCTGGAAGGCTGCCATGTCAAGGTTGGTGATCAGATCAACGACACGTACAGCCCTTGTCACAAACTGCAGTACAACACACACACATAAAAGATACAGAATGATGAATCATACAGCAGCCATCATATGATTGCTCAAGTCCACATTCTACAACTCTTGACGCTAGTTTCAAGAAACCAACTTAATCACTTCATATCAACAACAGAAAAATCGTACATAAGTCTTAGCTTGGCAGAGCATTTTACAGCAGAGTATGTAAAAGATTTTGAAAGTCTTAACAAAATGGAAATCAGTCAGTAGATCATGACTATGATCAATAGTTTGATGAGGCGGAAACATTCTACAGAAAACGTTTCCAGAATATCAAGATTCCACCAAATGTTTGATGATGGGAGCATTTTTAGCTCTTGATATCCCTCTTAGCAACTGAGTGATAGATAGCACAGCAACATATAAGTGTATGGAGGTTATTCTTTCTACAGTAATAGACCATTTACAAGTTGTTCTATCGTTCTTGTTTGGATAAGGTACAGACCCTTACCGTTGTATGCAGCTGCTCATCTTCTCCTGGCCATTTGATGACTTTGAGAAGAGATTCCATCATACCACAAGACACTAAGGCCTCACCACCTGTTCAAAATACAACATACAAGACAATAAAAGTTATGAACATCAGTTTAAAAAAGAAGGGCATTAGTATCTTCAAACATTGGTGAATGTAAGGATTGTTGCTGCTGTTATAGCAAGAATTCCTCTGTAAGTAGATTCTCATTAAACTTATATACAGATTCTAGGGTTTTATCCCCCCCCCCCCTCCCCAAATTCCAGTGACTGCTTAAACTTGTGTAATTGCATGATATTCACCTATTCACCTGGAAATTTTAGAGAAGAAGGGGGAGGGGGAGAGGGAAGAAGAAGGAAAAGTGCTATTGCTTACCCGTTTCATAACTGGCTAGATGATATAAGAATGAGAAGAGAGAAGTGGCAAGGCTGTGGGGGAATGACTCCATGTTGGGATCTGCAAACAAAAACATCAAACAAATATACATGAACAAAATGAATTCACAGAAATTTCAGTTATTCACCAAGTAATTAAATACCCTTTATATTTTAAATGAATGCAGACTGGCAACACAAGGAAATGGCATAGAATAGAGCAGGAAAAAATGGTATTGAATATAACAAAACTGCTAAATCTGCCCACTAATATTTCTTAAAGAGTAGAAATGCAAGGACATGAGAGTGATTCGTAGAAAGAAAATCCATAATATGTTAATAATAAATCTGAAAGACTTACCAATCATGGCTTGTATACACTGCCGGACCATAACAGGTAAGAACCCATGATAAGAGGCAGCACCAGTTGCGTCTATTATGCTAATAAGCCTGCTGAGAAAAGGCATTCATTGGGTATAAACATCAAATATACAAAATGTATAAAATAATAAAGTTTCATAGAATGCTATGTGAGTGAGTTAAATTTCATAAATACAAACGCAATGACATAAAATTCTATTTATATAACAATTGGATAACCTACCACTAAACATAAGAAAAGCCTCATCTGTTGCCATTTTGAAAGTTTGTTGGAGACGAACATGTTCTCAGAAGCCTTTTGAAAGAAATTTGTTTTTGTGTCCATAAAGTAGAACTATTTTTTTCTTCACAACAGTGTATAGAGTATATTTACATAGTAGCTATGCTTTATAAATCGATGTTGTTATTAATATTTATAGAGCACCTTATTCATAGAATATACACCTGTAGGACCAGTGTCTATATGTCATGGAGAAGCATAAAAGTAAGTTTTCAGATACATAACACATATTGGAAATGAACAAGCAGTGTAAATTTTCTCCTAAAAAATCTGTAACAACATATTTCTCTAATACAGTAAGTTGGAAACTTATCTATCTTGGGCACTGAATATTTCCATCAAGTACAAAAGATATCAATATGTTCAATAAATGTCATATTCTATGATTGAAGAAAAGCTCTCTTAGTCCTCAGAAAGCCGACCATAACAGTAGAAGTATATGCTTGTTTACTTACTCTGGATTTCTATCTAGGTGAATGACTGAAGTAAGAGTTCTAAGAGAAGCAGATTTTATATCCTGTAAATTAAAAAAGGAAAATGAATGTAATTGTACAATGTGACAAATAGCAACATTTTTGGGGAAGAAGGGGATTTTTTAACATTGTATCATTTCATAATAACAGTCCGACGCCTTAAACACGTCAGCGGCTAGTATGGGCCAAAGCAAAACATTGGGTTGCTCTTTTGACACTGATCTAGTCAGGGTTAAAACAATGTACACAAAAAACTGGGAGTTCTATTTTCTGTTTACTCTATTTAGAAGTGTTCCCTGACATTTACAAGGAATGAGATCCTTATCAACATACTGCAAAGGTTTGTCATGCTAGTGTATTGCATCATCAAATTCATTCATTTGTAAACACTGATGTTGGAAGACAAGCAAATAGCCATGGGAGTATTGTTTCCTGCAATAACGAAAATTATAAACATGACTTTCATATGGGAAGATACACCTCATGGTATGTTTAGGGACTGTCCCCATTACTCACCACTAACTTCACATCTTCAAGCTGGAGAACATCAACTAATTCCTCTATGAGGCCACTATACAACAAAGAGCTAGAGATTTCTTGGATTGCACTTGAATAGACTGAAACAAAAACAGATGGAAAAGAGCAAATACTTTTAATATTACAGATATTTCATGGGTCTATCTTGATATATAATCATCATTTTTAATTCTCAGGAACGAAGCACTCAAATATTCAGCATTCAAATTCAAGAGTCGTTGTCATTACATGCAAATCAACAAATACTGCCAATCCAACAAAATGTCTTTATTTACATTTTCAATAAAAAAATGTTTTATAATATTTCTCAGTGATGAAATCTTCTTCTGAACCAAGCAATGGAGAACTTGATAAACTCACTTTTGAGGAACAGTCATCTTTCAATGTTTTCACTGTTTTAAAGGCTATCTGTATTAGTTTACAGGAGGGATTAGACCACCTTGCAAGGTCACTGGACAGGTGGTTATCTCATCAAGTCACCTCTCAGTTAAAATTTTAAAAAGAGGATCATGGGGGACCAATGGTCACCGATTAGGCATTGTTTGCTATAAAGAAGGCGCAAGTAGCTATAAGTAGTGCAGTTGGGCTTTACAGGTACTATGTCCCATTTGCAGGCCAAAAAAATGAAAAAGTTAAATTCCAACTGCATTTGAAAGATAATACTAATTTAGAACTTCCCTAAAAAAGGTGGGGCTTGAAAATGTCTTCAAGTGGGAAAATAACGACTATTAGTTGTCAAATCGACTTTAGGGCTATAGAGCCCAAAAGTAATAGTCTTGATTTTCAGACAATTGTACCGAATGGTCATACGTTTTATGCTGCGCAAAGATTCAATCAGTTTAATCTTGGCCATCACAAGAAGTGGGTTATTGATGTAGACAAATGCTCATGTACCCTTTACAACTCTTTTCATGTATGTTATTACCAAAGAAGAAAAAAAGCCAGTCAGTCACTCAATAGTGTCTGACAGTGAAGTCTAGCAAGTAAACGGGTTTCCTTGCATAATTTGAATATGAGGACACTGCTAACGTTTAAATTTCACAGATAGGACATACATGACATATTCATAATTCCTGCAAAGTTCTACAGCATTTGAGGTTGGCTGCAAAAGGGACATAGTACCCGTTAAGTCAAACAAAAAGTCCTTGAATTTCCATGCAACATTGTCACATCATAATCAAAACTATACAAAATGAGGTAAATGGTGGGTACTCCACTACATGGACAGCAAATAACAAGCTTCAAGTTTCACCTTTTTCTTGAAAGTCATTAAACTTACCTAGGACAGAGAGGGCTTGTAGCCTAGCTTGTACACACTGTAATCGCTTCTGATGGTTAGAGAAACAATGTGCTAGTCGTATGTGGGTGAATAGAAGCATCTGTACCAAAACAAAAATAGAACAAATTCAATTAAAATCTACAGGTTTTATCATTCCTTCTTGTCATCATTCTCTTCCCCTCAAGGTTGCTAGATATTGAAGCATATCAGGATGCAAAAGTGATCAATATTTATCCATGAGTGTTTTGCTATACAACTTACTTCACTGTTTAGGGTTACCATACATATCAAAAACAGAGTAGGATTTAAAGACTTTTGTACAGATTTATACATATCTGTGTGATTATTTCACCCGGTTTTAGAGCAAGGTATTTTAAATATACAATTCATGTAAATTATAACTGGGTCTATAGAACATATTTTACAACTAGAATTTTCAATATAGACATGCCTAAAAGGATTATGTATTTGTTGTCATTTTATCATATTTTAAACAATCGTATATATATTTAACTCACCAGTTTGTCTTTGGGAACATTGTGCTGTGACAGCTGATCTTCCATGATGTCTACTGGGTCATGAGCAAGCTGTAAAGACATGCAAAGAAAATTGTATTAACTTCATTGAAACAAAGTGTAAGTGATCCTGTAAACAGAGAGATATTACAAAAAGATGACAGAGTATTCACATTATCATTCATTTAGTATGAAACATAAGACACCTATGGAATAGTTCTTTGTTCAAAATCCTGAAGGCTCATTAAAATGTAACTAATTCACAAATAACTATGGGACTGGGGTCTGATTTCCCTACATGCATATATTTCAATTTAACAAACCTTACAGCTTGTTGCAAGAGCCTAAAAACCATGGAAACCCTTTGCCCCCCAATTTCATAATCTACACACTATGGTTCACTCTTCAGTACTTACTTTGTCTACGTGTTCCAAGTGAAGAACTGTAACTGCCTGGACTGAATGCTACAGACGGGAGATTAGGATACAAAATAAAATTGAAATTAAGACATATCAATTATATTTACAAATACACACCAAACAAAATGTACTATCCATTTTAGGAAGAAGAGTACTTAGTGAAGATTGGAGAGATCAAAATATTCTAATGTTGATCAAATCATCATAAATTATGAAAAGTTTTTGATTTATCACTTTTATTGCCAAGTTCTTTCTTCTCCTATCCTCGTGACCAAGGGACGGGTGTCATGGATTCATACACCGGTGCTCTCCATCGTCTCCTCTCTCTTCCTAGTACCTCATGGGTAATATGCTAGTTTGGCCAGGCGGGATTAGACTTCCCTGCAAGGTCACTGACAGGTGATTATCTCATTAAATCAGCTCTCAATTAACATAAGAAAAAGAGGATCATGGGGGACCAACAGGCACCGATTAGGCATTGTTCGCTATATAGAGGGCGCAAGTAGCTATAAGTAGTGCAGTGGGGCTTTAAGACATCTATGTCAGGACTTTAAAATGTACATGATGTATCCCATTCTATATCCGAACCATCTAGCCATTTGTACTGAAAAATGGTGTACATATATATATTTTACCTTCTTAGATGAAACCTTTTCTTCTGCTGGGTTTTCTGAGTAAAACTCAAAATGGAGAGTTGTGGCACTTGGAGGGATTCCCTGCAGAAAGAAGGAAAACAAAAATTGAAATACACAAAAAATATATATGTCACATCCTTAGCATAATTGCAATACAAGCTGACTGTCTCACAGTTTAGATATCTAAGTAGCAACCACTCTCAGACTTCACGTGACACAATCCTAGTTCATAAAGTAGAAAAGGTTTCTATAGAAGAGCTTGAACATATAAATCAAAGATGTACTCAAGAGGTTAATTTTTCTTTCAACACACTACAACAATAATTTGCCCTGAAACTGTCTTTTTACTGATATCAGACAATGTCAGAAACGTGGAAACAAAACTATGGAGCAAAGTGTGTTGAAGATTCAGAAACAAAGTTGAACTAATATTATTTCTATCTCGAAGAATATGAAGTCATATAGTGCCATGAATTGTTAATTTGGTAATCTTGCTACATGGTAAGAAATTTCAAACTGTTACCTGTTTGGAGGTCTTCTTGCAGCACTCTGCCAAGCCGAAGCCATTTTCTTTGCCACCCCAGCTCTCTGCTAGGTAGGTCAGCCTGCTGAAGAGCTCCTTCCTTTTCTCTGCACCCAGCTTGATCAAGAAGTTGGACCTTTTACTGTATAATGCAAGAGTTAGTGGACACAAATACAGAACAAAAAAATTGCATAATCTCTGTAATTATAAATGTATTCACCTCCAACTGAGCAGTCTAAACTACCATGATCTATTACATTGCAGCTTCTACATTAGTAATAATAATAGTGTTATGATATCATATAAATGTTCCAATTACCATATCAATCATATTGACGTGTTTTACAATACAGATAAAATGTCTCTTACTATACACTAGTTCTTCATTAGATGTACACCAGTTTAACATTGTGTTCTAAAGGGGATTTTCTTACCTGAAAACATACACCAAGTTCAAGACAGCTAATACAGTATTCATGTCACTGGAAGCTAGAAGAGTTGTTAGATGCTGTAAATAAAGTGTATAAAATAAAAGAAAATGGGGAAACACATTTAAAACAAGGCTTCATGCATTGTTTCTATCTGTGAATGTAATATAAAATTAATCATCAGTTACTAATTATTACACATTTCTGATTGAATGAAAGTTTCATACAAGTGTGAATGAGTTGATAAGAAAATGATTACAAATCATATCATTTGTATTTCTAAATACATAAGATTTTCTTTGTTCTTCTTATCTGTAGCATCATACACTAGTACACTGTACATGTTGTACATGCATCTTTAGAAAAGATGTATTCATACAATATCATTCCCTATAAACAGATATTTACAGAATAAAACAGAAAGATATCAATCTATTCTAGATAACATGAGGCTAGATAACATGAGGCATGATCATCCTAGAACGCTACTTTACATTCACATTTATTCTGTAATATCAAGAATCTTTGCTCACCTCAACAGAGCTGTAGAGATGCCTAGAGAAGCTGTGCTCAATGAGCAGAGCTGTGAAGGTAAGCACACTGTGTACAGAGTCCCGAAGGCGGGTATTCTGGGATTGGTCACATGACAGCCGCCATGGCTGGTCAGGTGGTGCCGAGCAACCATCTTCCAGGATGCCATCGAACCTGTCCAAGACATCCACCCAGTGGTACAGCTCACACTTCAAAGGACAACAACAGGTAGAGGAGAGGAGACAAGACACAAAGATAAGAAGAATGGAATAAGGAAGAAAGCAGAAGTACAGGAACAGAGTCAGAATAATTCCTATAATAATGTACACAATCAGATAACCCTTTTCTTTACAAAAAAAAGGCTCCCCTAGCCTCCCCATTAACAGGCACCTGAGACACATGGGTGCTGAATATCTAAGTCCACAAACTCAAGACCCCCCCCCCCTCCAATTTTTTTGTGTAGAATTTTAACACAAGGCTCATGCATAAAGACTTAAAGATTTCAATCTGTTCTCCCTTTTATAGAAACAGTTAGTGTAGAGCCCTGGGCAGCGTTTCACAAAACAGTAATTTGCACAAAACTGCAGACATCCCATTGAAACATGTATGAATAGGACCTTGGCAACTTGTACTGATGACATTTTCGTGAAACTACAGTATACCAACTGTATGAGCACAGTACATGTGCCACTGTAACTTTAAAATACACCCTCTTTTTTGTAGAATACTGCATGTCTCATTCATTTGGCCTGCAGACAATGACTAAATTCAAAACCAATCATCAGTCCATAACATGCAGTGAATAGCCATAACAAAGAATCAGACAAACAACAGATAAGTTACGCTAAATATTACTCATTGCAGATGTACATGTAGTATCAAAGTTATTATTATTTAGGACAACCGCTTCTTTTGCATCAGGTAGTGGAGGAAACACTATGAAAATCGGTATTTTGATGTTTCCCTGCAAGGCAGTAAAAGGATAATATAAAATTGAAAAAAGTGCTAAGCACTTCAAATGTAAAAATCTCACAACATGTATACATGTCATGTTGATATGTACATTTGCACATCAAGTGAATACAGATTCCACTCATAATCGTGCTTATGCACTAATGCCTTAATGTTCCAGTGAAGTCCCTGAAATCTATTATGTCTGTAGGGAGATATGTGATTCAACCTTTTCAAAGTATAAATGAAAGAATTTTAATGAGCTTCAAGTTATGTAACATTCAGACATGTCAAATGACTGATACTCTTCCATTTGAAGACATGTACTAGTAATGATACACATGATTTGCATCATATCATAACAAAACGTTGATGTATGAACTAACACTAATATAGGAAAGTGTCTGTAACAGCTTCAGTTTGTACACACACAGAGCCATGTACAGGTACCTTGCTTGAGTGGTCTATTTATAGACAGTTAATCTCTGTGATCAGTACATCATGGGATGACTCATAGCAAGTGTGTGCAATACTCAGCAGTCAACACAACAACTAATATAGCATGTAAAATGAGTTACTGAAAACCCATAACAAATAAAGTAAGGTAACCCAAATTATACGCAGGAAACACAATGAAATGTATTCCTTCCTATTGCATTGTTTGTTTTATATGATCATAGACATACATGTACATGTATAATGTATACAGAAAAGGAGCACCGAGAAGAAAAAAATTGAAAAAGAATCAGTATGACGTTGGTAAAAGCATCTAGATAATCCATAAATACCAAATTAAGGATTTCTCTTTCTAAACAAAAATAAAATCATTGAAGTTTAGTTACAAATATCAACAAAATGATAATATTCAAATATATACATAAATCAAATTAAAGGGGCAGTCCATCCTGATATTAAGTTGGTTGTGATAGAAGCAGAAAAAGTGAAAGTTTTAGCAAAAACCGATTTTGAATGAGAAAGTTATGAATTTTTGAAAGTGATATCAATGAAACCAAAATTGGCAACTCTGTGACGTATCTTGCGAGCTTCCCTCCCATTTGCCTTGTACGTGTACTACAAATCTTCAAATCGTCGCTGTTTTCATGAAGTGACGGTAGTGAAAAAAAATTGCATTCACTTTGCGTTACGATTTTCCTCACTACCGTCACTTCGTGAAAACAAGGACGAAATATTCACATTTTCCCTTTAAAATAATATCAATCATACATTCACTCTAGACATAATTATTGCAAATAGGTATTTCTACAACCCCTGTATGAAACAAATTTATTTTGTCATCCATAACTAAAAAAAATAAAAGTTGATGAAATTTTCTGTACAGAGCAAATTGGATAGGACCTTGCAAGATAAATCTCAGAGTTGCCGATTTATCGTAACTTCAAAAATTCATAACTTTCTTATTTTATTTTAGTGCATTTCTGTAGTAACACTTCCATGTAAAAACAAAACAAACAAAAACACATCCAGATGCACAATAACTACACTGCTTAAACTAACTTTTAAAGTTTTTATGTATAATTCACTTCTTAATGAAAATTCAATTTTGTATAATCATTTGTTAATATTCAGTAGTGTAGGCCCTAAGGTTATACAAAGTACTGAACTTGAATGGCAGTATATATTACAGCTTCAAGGTATTTTCAATCATTTGCAACCGAATACACATCATCATCATCATCATCAATTCAATATTCATCAACAATTATTTTAGCATGATAATATATTAGTTAATCTGTAGGCAATGTAGTAGATAAATTGGCTTACCTTGCCATAGTTCCATGATTTGATTCCTTGTAGCTCTGACAGGAGATCATTGCTGGTTTTCAGTCTCTCTATCAAAGCCTGACAGTCAAAGGGCTGAAATTATGATAAAGATATGTACATTGTTATACTTTTCTTAACATATTCCAAAGACATTGTAAATGATTAATCTCCGCATGGTGAACATTTAGGAATTAAGATATGTTTCATCATAAATTCATAACATTCTACATGTAATGCCCGATTCAAAATGGTGATTATGCTATTTGGAATTAGTTAGACATTGTATGCTGTATAATCATGATTTGTACTTAACAAATTTTTTATGGTCATCTCATATACAAACAAATAAATTAATTCAGATGTAAAATCTCAAAATATTTCAATACAGCAGCACTCATTCAATTCCAAAGCATGAGCCTTTGAAAGCAGTATGATCCCTCCTGATTTTTAAAAGAATTTCTAACTCAATTTTCAATCACATGCAGAATTCATTTAAACATTGATTGATAAATGTCAAAAGCATGAAGAGAATTCATCATTTTGGAGGAATATTAAATATAACCAATAACGTACAGGAGGCAGAGTAAAGGTCAAATTGTACAACATACATTTCAACAATGACTTACCACTTCAGAAGTGCTCTTTTTCAATTTACTCCTGTCAATCTTCATGATGAATATTTCTTGTCAAACACATTCAGGAGACTAAAGGGAGAGAAAATCAAATCAAATTTATAAACATGTAAGAAACACAAGAGCATGAAATGATAAGTAAGCATTTATATTATATTCTCTTGCGCAATCTTAAAGACGTTTCTTGGATTAATTTGATAAGTGAATGAATTAAGAAACATTGTAGAGGATCTCTAACTATTTGAAGAATAACTAGAGGTCATATTTGTCCTCACAAGTACTGTATATTTACATGTTGGTTATTGCCTTTGCTGAATACAGCCAAAGGTAGAGCTTAGGTAAATCCAACCTTGATAGCAAACTGCTCAAAAAAATCAGGCAAAAAATTAGAAAATTAAGAATTTGTAAAAGATGTAGTCACTATAAATGTACATTGTAGGTATGAGCTCTTCAAATTGGCAATGTCTCTGTGATGAAGTGGCGGCTACTTTCTCATTTGTTTCAAATTACAAAATGCATACAATTACAAATTGTTAAAAAAATGTATGACCCAGGAGGGTCTTTTCTCACTCTCTCACAAATGAAAATCATTGTCCCCCTGTTTTTATTGTGTACATACTTAAAATCACGTTGAAGGAATTCATAAGATTGGACTATGCTACACTTTGCAAGAAGCCACTTCTTTTCCAAATTGTTGCCCATTGTTGTGGTGTACTACCCAGTAGGGATTGCACATCAATAAATGAAGATGATACTTCAATAAGAGAAATGTTCTCAAAAACTGACAAAAACATAAAAGCTCTGATAGCATCTTGTAAAACAATTGTTGTATAGTTTTCTGACATTTCTTTTTCACAAGAGTGCTAGGTCTAGGTATACAAAAAGATCATTCAAAAACATCATTTAAAAAATTCTTTGGCAGAAATGTAGAATTAGGTTTTATCATCTTAGTTCATTGTATCTCCTTTAATCAATAGTAATTTTACAAAAAATAGTAGCTGATAATTAACTTAATATTACAGTCAAGATCTACATGTATACATACATGTAGATACTAGCTAGTAGATACAATGACTAGTTTTAAGTCTACATTTATATATCAGGGTCACACAGGTTTCTGAAATGTGTGTCTGAACACTTGTAAACATCACAGCAGTCATGTATAGTATAGCACTCATCATCATAGATATTTGTCTTTTATAATATTATTCAACATACTGTATTCTTAAAACATTAATGGAATATGTCAGCTTCAAATTACTGAATAAAATTAACTGTGTGGATAACCAACCTGTCGTGTATACCCACAACTATTGTATATGTACTCAGATGTCGTGTGTCTAGACAGATGATTCAAAACATTAATTTATAGATGTTTCATACATCTTTTAAGTTTACATAAAACAATAATCATAAAGGACCTTTGATAGTTATTGCTATTTGATACATTACGTTATAATTAGGCTTGAGTCGGTACGGTCGATCACACCGGGACCCGACCGTTGCCGTCGGGTCCCGGTTTCTTTTTTTGAGAACCGACGCTCCGAAAAAAATAATGAAATATGTAAGAAATTGCAGTTTTGCACACCACTAAAATCATTCCACCTTAAAACTTAAGTATTTAATTGTTACCAATCATATTCTAGCTCATCCTGAATCAATCCGAACTGCTGATATAAATATGGGTTGCAAAGCAGTTCGCCCCATGGGGTTGTTGTTGCCAGCTGCTAGCTAGCTACTGTACTGGCCGGGTCTCTCGGCAGGATTAATAATAATAATCAGGTTGAAAGAAACATTAATATTTGAATAATAAAACGGTTTTCTAAAAAGTACTTCTTTACAACATACCGATCGAATAATTTTTAAAAGACAAAATGGATATTATTTCTTTGATTTTGAACACTGCATGCTTCTTTTAAAAGCTGAAAATTACTTGGTAATCACAAGAAGTTTCGATACGGATAGCTGTTGCAAGGCAAGTTCAGACTCGTCTCGGAAAAATGCGCAGTGCTCCTCGTAGTTAGCTGTAATCCGTGCCAGAACGAACCCAAACAAAGACGTGATCGTAACGAGAAAAAATCATTAAAAACTACGAGAGCACAATTGGAAAGACAACTACTCAAAATTATCGTAAGCAGATACATAACTTGGAGGAATAATACAGTTGTCTGTCCAAGAAAAGCCACAGAAATAGTGATATTTAAGGAGTTACTATAGGTACAATCATCGGAATGGGCCTGCTGATATGTCCGAATTACACGTTATTTGGTTTCTAGCCTCGTGTTTTAACACGAGGCTAGAAACCAAATAACGCCCTCTACGGTAAAAAGCAGTATAACAAGGGATTCAAGTATTTGCAGCAAGCCCCTTGCGATAAAAATGTACCCAGTTACTCCTCGATTATCACAATTTCTTTGGCATTTCTTGGGCGATTATTGAATTCTTTGTACAAGTTATTTATCTGATTATCGTAATTTTGAGCAGTAGTTGTCTTTTCAATTGTGCTCTCGTAGTTTTTAATGATTTTTTTCTCGTTACGATCACGTCTTTGTTTGGGTTCGTTCTGGCACGCATTACAGCTAACAAGGAGCACTGCGCATTTTTCCGAGACTAGTCTGAACTTGCCTTGCAACAGCTATCCGTGTCGAAACTTCTTGTGATTACCAAGTAATTTTCAGCTTTTAAAAGAAGCATGCCGTGTTCAAAATCAAAGAAAAAATATCTATTTTGTTTTTAAAAATTATTCGATCGGTATGTTGTAAAGGAGTACTTTTTAGAAAGCCGTTTTATTATTCAAACATTAATGTTTTTTGACCCGATTTATTCAACCTGCATGAATAAAAATGGCGGCTCGATCGTTGTCTTTCTATTTTTGCTCCAGTTTTTTTACTTTTAGAGGCATGATAATGGCACTAAACATCGCCAATCATGGATAAAAATAATGTCAAATGGAAGAATATACCGATCTGTGCCGAGGTATGCATGTGTTGATTTATTTGACTGATAAAAAAGGTCACTTTTAAGGGACATACTGATGATATGCGCTTTTTATAGAGGCAAGTGACAAATCCTGCGAGCTGATTTCGGGACACCGGGTCCCGATCGGTGCAAAGCCGTCGGGACCCGGTTTATGAAAATCCCGACATGACTCAGGCCTAGTTATAATCCAAAGGCTAAAGTGTACGGAACTTAACAAACGTTAACAGTCCGTACACTCAACCCCATCATTCATGTACATGTAGATGGAAGAGAGCCATACAAGTTTATACAAATAAATACTTAATTTACTCATATTATTCTTGGTAAAAATATGCTATAAAATTTTTGTCCAATGTTTTGAGCAGTGTATCGTCATTTTGCGCCGAGCGATCTCGACTTGGCAAAAGGATAATGTACGCACAAGGGCTTACGTACGTATTATATTAGAAGGTTTCTATGACGAGCGCATACGCGGAAGGATGATGAACATGATGTAAACACCAACAACTATCACAAAGTTAGCCTGGATGTGTCTGAAGAGGACATTTTGCTGACCAAACCTTACATAACACGCAAGCTTGCAGCGGTGCACAGATATTATCGGAGCTAGCCAGCCATTGCCAACCCAGCTGCCCCAGCCGGGACAGGGTGCTCACCTACCGCTATGGCTGTGCAAGCGTAGGATCATTGTAAGCACGCTCTGAGGCCTGTGAGTCATTTCTAATTTCAGCTAAAGTATTTTATAGATGTGCCTTGGCATTTGTGAAGTAATATGTTTAGGTTTATATTGCTGGGGGGTTCATTAGTTGCCAGTCGGGCAGCCAACTTTTTAAGTTTTAGATGAGCCCTGAATAGGCTGATAATAATTCAGACTATGGCTTGTCTGCCGTGGCAGTTTAGCCATCCTTTCAAGGATTTTACAATGTGGAAATAAACAAGTATTGAAATCAGCCTAGATCTAGATCTAGACCTCCTACTCCTAGGCCTAGTTAAGTAGAAAAAAACTCAAGTATAAACATGGCATATTTTCATATAACATTTTCAATTACAAAACAAGGATTAGATCTACTCCCTGTTTAAAGGGAAAGTTGAGTTCTGGGGAGAGGTGAAAAATAATTTGTGAGCATTATCATTGTTATCACAATCTAGACCGAATTTTTCCGTCTCTTTCGTTCGTTAGCCTCTGATTTGGGTAGGGTCGGCTCAAAGACAGAGCCGACCCTACCCAAATCAGAGGCTTACGAACGAAAGAGACAGAAAAATTTGGTCTTATCACAATCATGCAGGTGTGGAAGGTCAATCATAAATAAATCTTCCCTGAAATTGAAATGAAAAGCATGGCTCTTCAAACGGATTGTTCTGCAAGTGGTGCTTAACTTATATCTACAGTTTGGTGTACATTCATTTTAATCATAATTAAGTACCCGACATACACCCATACAGGGGGGATATGACATTTCACCCAATTTCTCTCATTCAGCCACACGGTGATTTCGATTTCCATTCATCACTCACACTCCATACTCATTACTTCAAATAGCATGCAGTTTCTACCCAGATACATTCGCACAGACACAGCCATCAACCGACGGGATATCGCCGTACTACTAGGTAATTGCTAGCGAAATGATACATATAAAGGCACATTAAACCCGATTAACTTATTAATAAAATGCTAAACTAATTATTCGAACAATGAAAGATAACAAACAACCTCTTAATAGCCTGAAAATAAAGAAAAAACAGAAATGACGACTCACATGTACTCGCCGCCATATTGATCTCATACATTACATCCCAGATATCCCGGATGTTCACTCGCGATGTTCTAGTTTGATCTGCGCTAGCCTGCAATGTTTTTTGCGTCGCGCCGCCGCGCCAGGCCAGCCAGCTAGCTCGCGCTGGCCCAGTCGATTCCAGTGTGTGACATGCGGATAACCCCTGCCCCTATTTTCAGCGAGACAACGGAAAACGTTTTTGGTTTTGAGCCCCCATGTTTTTAAAAGTGGCTGCAAATTCGAATGTCATGCCCGATTAAAAACAATTTATCGAATAATAACACTTTGTGGCAAATGCAGTTGTAGGAGACTATTTTTTTCTCCTGGGCCTGGGGGGGGGGGGGGGGGGGGGGGGGAGATGTCATGAACGTGAGGGACATAACATGGCATTCGGAGACTCGTACGCAACCAAGCGATGTTCCTCACTGCATCCGGGGGGGGGGGGTACTCACATATGCATACGGGGGTGTGCCGCTCTACCGGGTCTCTTTTTCACACAAAAAAAATCCCTAAACATAGGTCCCATTTCTAACAAAAATATCCCTAAACATATGGTCAGCGGCACCACCCCCCCCCCTTCCGTACATCCAAACCAAATATGATTAAACCCCCCCCTCCCCCGCCGGCCCCCACTAAGGTGATTTTTGACTATCACGCTACATTTCATAACGTTGCGATGAAGAATAGCGACTGAGGGAGAAAACAAAATTGTATTTCATATGAGACATTAGCCTACTTTCTTCCCCGTCCCTTTATTCACAAATTTAAATTAAGCCACCCCTACATGAGTATTCTGTCGGGTATTAGTATTTGTCCACCTTAGAATTTTCTTTTTCATTCAGAGTCGTTAATGGATTGGGCCGATGCAGTGGACCTGCATCCCGACCTGCATGGTGGTACCCCTTGATAATCATGGACTCCTTATTTTCGATAACTTTCGTATACGTTTGTATATCCCCGTATACTATAGAGGGGGAGGAGTTCCTCCACCTTTTCAAGTACCCCAAAAGTGCCCCTTTTTACATAGGAAGAGGGCCCCTTTTCCTTCGACAAGTTCCCGTTTCCTTTGCAAGTGTCCATTTTCCTTTCTCATAAGTCCCGGATAAGGCGCGGATCCAGGATTTCTTAGGGGGGCGGGGGGCCCAAATTTGAAATTATGCGAGCCAAATATTGGTACGTAATGGTGACCAGCAGTGACGTAATTGGGGGGGGGGGTGGGTGCAGGGAGGGGCGAGTTTCCCCCTCCCTCCTCCGCGAAGCGCGATAGCTTTGACATTTCAATAAATTATTAGAGAAAGAAGATGATTCGTTGTACTGTTCCCAAAAATAATCCTCGTCTGAATTATGTTACCCCCCCCCCTCCCGCGCGAAGCGCGGAAGCTTTTACGTTTCAAATCATTAGAGAAAGGAGACGATTCGTTGTACCGTTCTCGACTCTTAATCCTTGTCTTAATTCAATTCCCCCCCCCCCCCCCTCCCGCGCGAAGCCCGGAAGCTTCGACGTTTTATTAAATTATTATAGAAAGAAGACGATTCGTTGTACCGCTCTCGAAAATAATCCTCGTCTGAATTTAGTTTTCCCCCTCCGGAAGCTCAAGGGTTGTAGGCACTCAAGTATGGTAAGATGAGTATCAAGGGGCCCGCCTAAGGGCTCTTGGTTGGGTTCAATAGGGCAGAGCCCCGAAGCTCAGGGTTTTAGGCGTTTAATTATGGTCAGATGAGCATTTTTTGATACCTTATTATTTTGTGACACTGGCAGGACACTATTTGGCGTGGGGTCCAGGGGGCAGAGCCCCCAGAAATCAGGGATTTAGGCATTAAATTACCGTCAGATGAGCAGCTAAGGGCCCGCCTTAGGGCCCTAGGTGGAATCCAGGGGGGCAGAGCCCTCGGGGTTTTAGGCATTTAATCATGGTCAGATGAGCATATTTTGATACCTCATTATAATGTGACACTGGCAGTTTTTTTCTTTCTTGCTCTCTTTCTTTTTATTTCTCTTTAATATACTTTTTCAAAAAAAGTGGGGGGGGGGGGGGGGGCTCGAGGATCCCGATCATGACATGAAGGCATCTCAAGAAGCATTTTCTTGCCTGGCTGTAAATAATTTGTCATTTTCCAACAAACGCATAAAAAAGTATAATTTACTTAAAAGTAAGGAAAAATCTCGGAAAATCATGTCATTTCAGCATTAGTTGTAAACCACCGTTATGGAATTAGATATAAACCACGTTTGAATTTTATTTCCCCAAAGGCCCCCCCCCCCCCCCCCGTCTTGTTCGCGGGAAAATTGCAACTGATCCCTTACCTCCCTTAATTCTCTTTTTTTCTTCCCCTTTCTCTCCTCTTTCCCTTTCCTTCCTTCTCTCTCTTTTAGGTTTGCTTGGGGGGGGGGCAAGGTCATTTTGGACCCCACCCCGCTCCACACATTGTTGGCGGGATTAACCGCAACTGATCTCCCCTTCCCATCTCCCTTTTCTTTTCTTCTTCCTCTTTTTTGTTCCCCTTTTGCTCTTTTCCTTCCTTCTCTCTTTTTTTTTTAGCGCGGACGGGGGGGGGGCAAGGGCCTTTTGCCCCCCGATCTCCTACTTCCCTCTTTTCATTTCTTCTTCCTCTTCTTTTTCCCCTTTCTCTGCTCTTTCCCTTTCCCTTCTTTTCCTTCTCTTCTCTCTCTAGGACACTACTCGTACCCTTCGATTCCCTCTCCCGTGAACCTTGTTGTTGTGTCCATTCTTTAATTTGACACCAACAAAACCCTACCAAAAATATTTTCGATTTAAACGCAACACCGATAAAAAAAAAGGGGGGCAGGCGTTGTAAACTAAGGATATCCATCACAACACTATCTTATCATCATTCTATTTGTTATCATGTTTATAATTCCTGCTTAATATCTCCATTGGCAATATGGCCATTAAATTGATACGAGGTGGGATCCTTGAAAATGTAGGGAAAATGTGTAGTTGTCGGAGATGCGTTTTCTGAAAAATGATTCCCTTTCTCAGTAAAAAATAGCGCATTTTAACGAGTCTTGTTTGGATTTTTGGACCATGAATCATTAATTTGTATTGGGTACAGGTTGCCATGAATAGTAAGGTTGTCCTACATTCCTACAATATACTAAAAAATAACATCATATCGTCGTTGTGGAATATCAAACAAAATTGAGGAAATTTGGCACTTCCTGCGCTCGATTAAAAATCCAATTCACAATCGGGTTGAAAGCGGAAAATAAGCTGACTGATAATTAATGAATAACATTAAAGAGCAGGTTTTAATGACAAGGTTCTGATGTACTCAATAAAGAAAAGAACAAGTAAAAAACGGCATCGGAAAAAGATCGCATCGGGAGAAAATCGCTTTATCAACCCAAGACCTTCTAATATTGGTCGCATTTCAAGGCTGTCGCTTCGGATCTACAACCATTTAGTTATAAGGATTGGCACATCATGGCAAAGTGAAATAAAGAGGCTTACTAAAATATAATGGAGGAACATAAGAGATATCAATGACTGAACCAGTTTATCTTAAGATGTAATACATGTATGTCGTCTTTACCTAATCTTGCTTTCAATCATTTTAGGGAATCGGTCCGTTCTGCCCCCTCCCCCCCTCCCTCGTTTCTCCGCTTGGAAAAAAACAGGGGGATAATGGGGTACGTGGGAGAACATTAGCCCACCCCTCCATGATTGGCAGCCTATAGCTACAATTTGGAATGATTTTTTTTCTGGTGGGATTGAACAAAAAACAAGTCCACTCCAAAAATAACTTACTCTCAATAGAAGCAGAAAAAATCAGACGAACTGATCAAAAAAGGTTTGAGCAAAATCCGATAACTAAAAAGAAAGTTATGAATTTAAGTTATGAATTTTTGATGACATGAAAAACTTTGAAAAGCAAAAGACAAATTGGCAACTCACTCATGAGTTTGTGACGTCATTGCCTCACTAATTGTTTTCTTTATATTGATAATATAAATTCCTTATTTTCCCCCTAAGAATCTTATTTCTTCACACCATGCAGCATCCAAGTTAGATTGATAGTAATATGTTTTTGTGTGGATGCACTAATATAGAGTTTTTTTTTTCTTCAGTTAAATCTTAAAAAATGTGTATTTTGATAAACTATTTATATAAAAATCAATAATTATGAATATACAATATTCACAAAATAGTATAAATTCTTCAAAGTTCATAAAAGATTTTGTAAAATGTCATGTACGCAATATGATACGAATCATATAACCCGAGCAAAGGCATGGGGAATCCAAGTTTTGGGGATAGAAAGGGATAGTAATGGGATTAAAATATATAAAGCAATAAATAGTGAGGACATGACGTCACAAACTGATAACCAATTTGGCAACTTGTGTAGTGATTTCTATTTCTTATTAATAGTTATCAGATTTTGTTCAAACCTTTTTTGATTGGATTGTCAGATTTTTCTGCTTTTCGCAATTTATAAACATTACATTCAATGAACTGAAACAACAACTTTGAGAGAAATTTGTCAAAAGTTTTTTGTTTTTTTAATCCTTGAACAAAAAATTCTGAGAAAGTGAAGGCCCATACAGCAAAATTGCACTAAACCTTCTTGTGAATCATAAGTCAGACAAGTGAATCTTCCAAATGCAAAGTTGGACCTTCGGTCTAGCCATGGACCTAACACAAACCATGGTCTTGTGGACCTTTGGTGGTGTCTTTTTGGTTTTGGGAAATGATTAAGTGGGAGGTTCCAGTAATATATATATATATATATGATTGTGGTGTTAAAATTCAACAAATTTAAAACACATATGCCTAAAGGAATGCTAGATTTTACAATAATGGTTTTAGATTGTACATCTATTACCTTTATTTACTGTCACATTACATTATTACAGTCAATTAAATAAAACCATCACATCGAGATCACTCACCAATCATAAACATAATTATTGCATGAATTTCCTGTTTTTTGACTGTACATGTATCAGAAATTCAAAATATACACATCAATGTTATAAAAATATATAACAAAACCCCCAAACCATCTCTCCACACAACTAACAGGCAACAAATATGCCTACATGTACATGTAGTAAAAACAAAAAGGAGAGGAGGAGGCGGCTTCCTATCAAAGGTCGATGGTGCAGCGTTACTTATTTTGTATATCTACATGTATTTTGAACATCAAGACATTACTCATTCACTTCCCATATAATCTAAATTCTCTACAATTTTCAAATAGATACAAAGGTAACAAGTAACAACAGATTTTAAAACTGTAAAATGTAACAAAAATGTAAAAACTGGAGTAGTTCACTGGCCTAGTTTGTTAATATCATTTCAATCACAATGTTCAATGAAATATTTTGAAAAGAATTCATGACCAGCATGAACAAAAAGCAGCACTGGACATTGATTTTAAAATAATTTCTGCACAGTTACTGCTTTTACTTTTTCTATTTAGCAGTGTTCATGAAAGTATGCAATCTCAGCCTATTTAACATTCTTTTACTATTTGTTCAAGGCATATATTTATTTATGGTCATGGTCAACTTCCATTGCTGGTGTAGCATTTATTGGATTGTCATGTACATTGTAAGTGCAAAATCTAATTAACTTTCTTCATCTGTTCTTTGGTACTTAATTTTCATCAGAGAATATACAGCACAAAGAACACACACTATCATTAGAATAAATCGTACCACATTAACATTGGACAACATAAGGTATAATTGTGGATCTTCGACTTTTAAGTAATGGATTGTCAAGGGGCTCTTGGTGACATCTCATCAGTTCTCTAATGAATAATATGTTACATGATTGTACTTACATGTATATACATAATACATGTACATTATATTCCAAAGAATTTAAATATATTACAGTTAACTGAAATGTTGCTCTTTTCCATTAAAACAGTTTCTGAAATACATGTATTTGAAAAAATATTCCTTGCCACTTTAAACACTAGGTAAAAAAGAAATTTGACTCTCCTTCATCAATGAATGACTCAGAAGTAAGAACTCATATGAAACTGAAGTTTGTAAAGCTGAAGCCTAAAGGTGATAAATACATGTTTACATGTATTTGTAATTTTGTACTTAATTTAAAACATTTTGAATTGTCAAAGCTAAATATGTCTTAATCAATAGTCAAATTATAACACACAACCCAAAAGTACTTTGAATCTAAGTGCTATACCTGAACACCTTTTGTAACTCAGTCTTGATTGATAAACTTTAGAACCTGTGTGGAATGGCACGCGCAATGCACAAAAGCATAGAATTGTAGATGTGTTCTGATTTGATTACTGACACACACCCATTTATGGTCCTAATTTTGATACAAAGTGAAAGGCTATTGTGGATTATAAATCATCATTTGGACAAGAATAAAACTCATTTACATAAAAAGACAACATTTCACTTGAGAGTAAGACTGAGTAACCTATGATGATTGTAGTGTGTGTGGTTTGCAGTGTGCTCCATATATGAGATTCTGAATTTGATGCTTTACCAGTCTCTTAGTATCACCGCTTGGTAGTTGTCTCAGCTCAGTGGCAATATACTTTGCAAAGATCATGTCATCATCGTCATCACCATCACACCTTCTGCAGTATCTAGTGTTCCCTCCTGCCTTCTCAAAGCAGGACAGTGCCTTTTGGATATGTGATGAGGCTCTCTGCATCACTGCACTCTGTGAGGGGTCGATGCACTCTCTGCCTGAAGAGTGTGTGTTCTCAAGTACTTGATGCTGATGTCTCTCAGGTGCAGTGGAGTTTGGAAATTGCCGTCTTTCAGACAATTCCTGATGCGGAGCGTTAAAATCTTGTCGCACTCTCTTAGCGCCTCTTTCTTGCATTGGAGACTGTCTATGGAAATCATAGTTGTTGGTATGTGCATTATGCAGCTCATGCTGAGGACTTTCGCCGGCAGTTAAATCTATCGTTCTTTCATTTGTATTGTCTTCTAGCCCTACTTTGTATTCATCCACATCAAGGCCATCATACTCCACATCGTCTTCAAAGCTTTCATCAAAGTCACCGAATCCATTCTAAATAGAAAAGGAGAATAAAGATTACAAAGTTATAATAAAAAATAGATGCTATCAAAGTGTCATTTCATAATGGCATGTACATTATATGCGGTAAAACATTCCTTGTCACTGAACCAGTGTGCATTATAATTGGGTACCGTTCCATCATGTACTTAAAATAACATTGCTTATCCCAGTCAGACTCAAGCCTATTTTTTCACGGCTGTGAGCCACATGGGCATATTACTGCATTCAAAATCGATGTTGACCATGTGTGAAATTCAACGGTTAAATCAACTGCTCCAGTTTATAATACATCAGCATAAAAATCCATCATAATCAAATCAGGGGGCAAGAGATATTGCCCAATTACTATAAACAAAACATTAAATATAAGAAAAATAATGCCATTTGCCAGTTTTTCTTCAAAATCAGAATACAGAGAATTGAGAGATGAGATCACTTTCCATCACTAATAGTGCACTATCATAACATTGAAAATGCTAAGGTTTCAACAGGGTAACTCTCTTTTTTCGGGGAGAGAGAGAGAGAGACCAAGAGAAAATCTTCACAGACAATTTGTTTTCTTCACAATCAATTCTTGATGTTCTTGTGTTGCATGGCCACTTCCACTACATGGCTTGAATAACTTCTTTCACATTTCTGCCTCTCAGGTATCTTAGATTTATGATACACTGTAGTTTGATAGGACTTGGGGAACTGTACTGTCACATTTAATCCTAATACTAACGCCATCAACATTTATGTTCATTTCAGAAAAATAAATGGGGGAATGCTTTACAAATATCCTTCTCTGATTTTTGTTTAAGTTATTCTCTCATAGACACATACATTTTTACACAATGTTCCAATTTCTATAACTATAAAACAAACAAAATAGATTGAATTACTGTTGGGCTGTATTGCACGCAGTCAGTCCTAGGGTTTCTCAGGGTCACAAAATCATCAAGAAACTTGAGTTGTTTGTAGTGTATCCATTTGATTTGAGAGGCTGCATCCTGTGCATTTCCCTCGCTTGCAAACTTGACTTCACGATGCTTTTCTCGCCTGAACTGGGAGCGCAGGTTGACAATCTTCCTGTACACATCATCGTCTATAAAAACACAGATCAGAATAAAAAACATGAGATCAACTTTAATATCAAATGAAACAATCGAGTTTCTTTGTTAGAGTGTTAGATTATGGCACTTGTATGGACACTAGGCAACTTAGATTATGATAGCCGTGAAGTTGTACTAACTACAATTTATGTCATCTGGGTATTCTTGAGTCTACTGAACTGGAAGCGTAGAATTAGAATAGCACTACAATTCATGGGTGAGTCATGCTCATAGTCCTTAGATGAGGAAAGAGCAAAGAAAATCTAGTCTAGTCACTTAGAGTACTAAATGTAGACTAGCTTTAAAAAATAGATTATCCAGATATACTGAAATATCTATTTAGTTTGGGAATGATTATGTTTCGAGCCTAGACTACGACTGTCTATGACCGAGTATGAGTCTGACTTACTATGACGCTAGTAGAAGTATGAGCATTATGAAGTGAATGACTTTGTCATGAGTGACAATTCTAGACAAGTAGTAATACAAATCAAAGTCAAACAAAATTTCCTGTTTCATTGATACGTTTCATTAACACATTTTCATGAATGCAATTTAAAATGAATATCTTTTATGAAAGGCGCACATGACATGCAGCTTGACTTCTTGGCTCTTGTTCGCAACTGTGACCATACTTTGGACCTGCGACACCGGCGTGGAGATAGCTTACTAACATACCCAGAAAATCGTTATCTTTCTTATCTATCTGTTTCGTGTCAATTATTTTTTTGGAGTATTTATCCTTAAAAAAGAATACATTAGTAGATCTATACACTTTCTCACAGGTTTCACAGCAAACCTCTGCACAATACAAGTGCATACCGATGGTGGGTTTCAGGCAGGCGCGCAATTGCAAGCCTGCGTGAAGTAAGCGACCGTATAATGATCATCGTCAATTTAATCAGATAGGCCTAGAGTGACTTAGACTCTAGTCTCATGTGAATTATTTGCATGAATTTAATGAGGATCTGAGATTACAGTCGCTAACTTCACGCACGCACCCAATTGACTGATTGCTATTACAACAACAACAAAAAACAACAACATAGCAGTCATTAAGAAATTATCATGATTATAGAGTAGCTCAGTTCAGCTAGCTCAGCTCAGTGCTGTGCAGCATGCAGTCGCTAGTCAACTCCTCCAAACTATTGTGTTCTCGATCCCCATGCGATATGCACGGGCAATGAAGGAGTTCGTTTCTCCCTGGTTTCTCGAAGCTGACCGTATCATACTCACATGAAATTTGCATTTCATCGGCGATCGTTCTAAAAGCTTCAAGTCGTAAAGCCTTATCATTATAGGCTCTAGTTTTCCTGTCATACAAACATGGGTTTGCTTTAAAATGAGCAATCAGATCGTCAACTTTTCCTGTGCTCCAAAGGACTCTCGCATTGTTAGAGAGAGCCATTTCTAATTTTCCTCGTACATTTTCATATGCATAGACTACACATCTAATATCTACACAATATCGGCCTTCAATGATTTCGGATCTAAAAGAGTCGGTATTCCTCTTGAGGCATGATTGAAAATTATTTCTCAAAAGTTACTTACAAAATTATCATATATTGTTTTTATTATAATTGTTATTATCAATATCATCATCATCACCATTATAATTATCATGATTAATATTAATATTATTATATCAATATTATTATCAGTATTTTATTATTATTTAAATATTATCATTATCATTATCATTATTTGGCATTATTCACTCGTGTGTGAATCATTTGTCAAATATATCAATGTACCTTGAAGTGACTAAAAAAAAAGAAGAAGATAATTTCAATACAAAACGGTAGCAGCTAGTATAGTACTGTAGTAGTAGTTGTGGCTATGTCACCAGTAGTGTATGTCACTCATCATCATCATCATCATCAGAATCACCATCATGTCATCATGCGCTAAAGTTGAAACAGGAAAAAAAGAAGAAGCAAAGAACGGCTTGTGAGCAAAAATGGGGGAGGGGGTGTTTGTAATTATTCTGCAAATGGAGGATCGTCCATCGGCTAATATTCAGAGTAGCGATCTTCAATGTCTTTCATTTTATTTCATATTGGCGAAATTGCACCAAATTCCTAAACGCGACAAATTGATAAGGGCCTATATCGGGGGCCTATGCAGATCATCTCCTAATCATCGTATACCGTAAGTGTCAAACAATTGACCATTCCCTTAATTCTAAAGCGCGCTCGCAGAATATTTGGGGAAATCCCCTCGCAAATCTCTTCGAAGAGGATGCAGGGCGCGCCGCGCCTGTGGGGGGTGGGGGGGGGGGGTCGGGAGCTATGGGTCACACACTGAACTGTATTAACAGCATGAAATTGCATGGTTCACTGTGAGGAAAAAGCCTAAACGCGACAAATTGATAAGGGCCTATATCGGGGGCCTACGCAGATCATCTCCTAATCATCGTATACCGTAAGTGTCAAACAATTGACCATTCCCTTAATTCTAAAGCGCGCTCGCAGAATATTTGGGGAAATCCCCTCGCAAATCTCTTCGAAGAGGATGCAGGGCGCGCCGCGCCTGTGGGGGGGGGGGGGGGGGGGGGGGGGGGGGGGTCGGGAGCTATGGGTCACACACTGAACTGTATTAACAGCATGAAATTGCATGGTTCACTGTGAGGAAAAAGCCTAACACTATGATCTTGTAATCTTGTGGCAATAGCTAGGCTAGCTATACTCGAACAATCAATGGGCCACACCACGAGAATAAATCACATTTTATTACAACAAAACAAAAACAAAGTATGAATTACAAAACAAAGAAATCATCCCAAAACGTAATGGTCTCATCTAGGCCTATTAAGCCTCTTTATAGTATTTCCACTGAGGCATTTTTGCCGTGGCCGGGGAGAGAGAAAGAGAGAGAGAGAGAGAGAGAGAGAGAGAGAGGGGGGGGGGGGGGGGGAGGGGGCAGCGGCGGATCGATCCAGCGGAGCGGCGAGGGAGGGGGCCCAATTCGTGAGAAAACAGAGGCGACTCACGACTCAGCCGAGCGGCTGAATAAGCGGGGGTGGAGGGGGGGGGGGGAGGGTATGGAGCTCTATTCTGTTTACTTAACACCCCCCCCCCCCCCATTTTTTGCCAATAGGGGGAGGGGCCGTCTTCTTTTTGTTTTTATTAAAGGTAAAATTAACGTTACCATATTTTTAAAAAATCTATTTTGTAGGGCCAGGGGAGGATCCGCCATTGGGGGAGGGGCACGTCCTAGGGCTAGCTTCCACGGATCTGCAAGTTGAGCTTCTTCCTCTCAGTCTGATTTTCATTTTTTTTGTGCTTGGCTTTCATTTTCTACTCTTCCCGGCTTTGTTAGGGGTATGTTGATTATTTCTGAGGCTAGAGTACTTTGCATCTACCGACTATAACAAACACACTTTGAGCGATGAGATGATAACTTGATTTCAAACCTATTATCCAGGGGCGGTGGAGCGTCTTACAAAGTGGAGGAGGGGGCACCAATAAAAAGAGGCACTTCCTGGAAAAGAGACACCTACTATAAGGAAAACCGCCATATTTAGACATTGGTATAATATACCCCTACGTTGTAAATTGTAATTACATTATCAGGGATGATTGCAATGTTTGTTTTTCTCTTTACATGGTCCAAGATAAACAAATTAAAAAAGATTTTTGAGGTGGCAGTGCGAAAAGCTACATCTTATAAAGAGGGAAAAACAATTCTAATGAGGTATTCAATCCAATCTAATTATGAAAGACTAAAAACACATTTTAAAAAGAAACACTTATTTCAAATTATGGGCGAAATTAATGGGAAAATTGCTGTTGATTGATTTAAATTATGAGCATATTTTATGGTGAAAGAAAAAAAGGGCACATATCCAAAGGGAAAATGACACTTATTAGAAAAGAAAATTAGGAGCACGTGTCAAAATAAAAAGGGGAATTATCAGAGGTTAAAAGGGAGCACTTCTCGCAACCTGATAAGGGGCACTCACCAGAGATGAAAAGGAACACTTATGAAAACGAAAAAGGGGCACTCGATCATTACATGAAGGAGAATTAGGAGCAATTATCAGAAGGAAAATGGCACTTATTAGAAAAGATGAAAATTCATTATGGCGTACGTGTGTCGAAATAGCAGGGGCACTTATCAGAGATGAAAAGGGGCACTTAAGCCGGGCGATTTAGGGCATTCACCGGAGATAATCGAATCACGGGGGCAGATATAAAAGAGCTGAGGCACTTGTCAAAATATAAGGGACATATCTCAGATTTGAAAAGAGGCAATTATAAGAAGTAAATGGGTAGGCCTACGAGGTGGTAAGCTTCTTGTTTTTAAAAAAGGGCACTCACCTAAAGTAAAAGGGGGCACTTTAGTTTTTTTTTGCCCTTACTATACATACATAATTCGGAATTTGTCATTTTCCAACAAACGCATAAACCGTAGATTTACAAAAAAGTGGGACCCCCCCCCCCTCGGGAAAATCATGTTTTTTCAGTAACATTTTTAAATTCCTTTCCAAAAAGGGTGCCCACTGTCGAGTGACTGAAAAAAAAGGATGAAACGCTGATATATCCCCCCACCCCCCCCCCCCCCACCCCCCTCCTTTTTTCAATTACAATCACAACTGTGTTAGTGATCACCGGTAGGCCACCTGCATTTAGTGGCTACCCATATTTTATCTACCCAGAAGAAAATATGTGTTGAAAAAACTGAAGAAAAGACCATCTGTCTAATACTTGACAGTCAGAGAAGAGAAGTGAATGACATGTTATATGATTGAAATTGTTATTCTTCTGTCGGTTCATACTTTTTCATGTTGTATATACTTATGTTTTCGTACGTTATAGAAATTCTACAAATTCATCATTATTTTCCTCTTCTTCCTTCTCCTCTTTTTCTTCTTCTCCTTCTTCTTTTTCTTCTTGTACTTAATATCATTTCTATCATCAGTTTAATGTTGTTATTATTATCTTTAATAAGTAGTTCTTTTAATTTTCTTATCTGTCTGTAAATATTACTATTTTAATTTATTAATTGTATACATGTCTGTAAGGGACCCCACTGGAAATAAGCTCTCGAGCTTTCGTGGGTTATCCTGTTCAAGCTGACTTATTTTTGATCTGTTATTATTGTATATTGTTGTATATTGGAAGCTTGTCGAATAAAAATCAATCAATCAATCAGTCTATTCTAGCATGCATTGTGAACTCCAACTCCATGCAGCGCTTTGCGTTCTCTCAGCGCTCGCGCTAAAACTGTGCCCATACCCGCGCTGCACTGCACTGCATGCATGCACTGTATCCTGTGCACTCATGAGCTGAGCTTGCGTCGGTTCCAGAATCCCTAGGCAGAGCGAACGTGACCGAGGTAAAAATATTCGCTTTTGTTAGCATGAAATGAAAATTAAAAGGTTGTGATTCAATAGATTTAGATATTACCGATATATTAGATCATATGGTTATAAACGAAATAGGTGTCCAATTGCCATTTTACACAAGTTGATTATTTGACATTATAATTTATATTTTATAAATTTAGACTCTAAGTCTAACAAGTTAGGTGCATGTGGGACTACCAGGATCTACTCCAATTCAACTGCATCAGATCGGGGGGGGGGGGGGGGGGGGGGAATGATCAAAGGGTGTTTGTATGTCAACTCACTTTACAAATTAATTGGTCCATACTGAGGGCGATGACTAGAAAGATCAAACAATGAGTTGCATGTAGACCTAACTTGTTATAGGTCTAGACCTAAATAACTAAATTAGAATGAGTGCAAGAACTGAAGAAGATTCAAGATAGACCATTGAATATTGATTGAAGAAGATAGACCTAGACTCTGGATGCTGGAAGCTCAAATGCTGTCTTATAACATTCTTCCCGTATTTGCGGTAAAGGTAGGATGTAGGGTAAAACTGTTGGCTAGAGCAGTTGTGTACGGGTAGTCGGGTACCTTAAATTGACGGTTTCATTTGATATTTTCATGAAATAGAATGAGAAATTTTTTATGTATTAGATTTGATCAAACCAACATTACAACATGGGGTAGACATGGCAAGAATACCATCAGTTCCTTATCTTTTTTTTTGTATTTCATTCAATTACACACAGGCAACGTCTTTCCTAGAGGCTCAAGGTTCTGTGAGTGTGATCGTGCAACTAAAATGGACTATCAGCACAATAATAAATTTGCAGCATCTGCGTCAAGCTTGTTTGACAGTCAGCCGCAGCACGTTAAAGATATATTAAAGGACTTACATAAAGGAAGCATTACACCGTTTGACCAGAGCGCAGAGCCAACATTGCATCAGAAGCCAAATATGGCCCAGTGGCACTATCATGAAGAGTTACCGACATCTCTGGAAAAAAGTAACCTTGATGAATATAGCTCTACCGGGACTTCAGCAGACAGTATGTACGGCAGTAAGACCTCAGGAGACAGTATGTATGGCAGTAAGACTTCAGGAGGCAGTATGTATGGTAATACGACGTACAGTCAACCAGATCTTCGTAATGCACCCTTTGAGGATAGAGGTAGAGAGCATAGGGATCAAGGTTACAAAGAAAGCAGCAATGAAATAGGATGGACTCCACCAGGTCAGAAGTACTATGATGGAGCCAGTTTTCAAGGAAGAGATAGAGAGATGGATGACCAACGTTATTATGATGATAGCATGCTTGGAAGAGGTAGTGGGATGAGTGGTCAGGGTTATGATGATAGCAATGTAAGGGGAATGCGTCAAGGGAGCATGGGCCAACCTACTAATGGTAACACAGGAGGGAGAGGTCGAGGAGGAAGGGGTCGTGGACGTGGTGGTGACGCTGCCCTTGGAAGAGGATCAGCAAAGAGGGGAATGTTGCATGGAGGTGGTGGATATGGACCTGCAGCCAAGAAACCAAAATGGCAACAAGGGGAAACAGGCAGTCATGAACAGACATTTGGTGCAGAGCAAAGATGGGGTGGCGGAGGTAGTGGAAGTAGAGACTCTGATAACAGTGCGCGGGAAAGAGGTCGAGGTTCGAGAGGGAGAGGATTCGATGGGAACTTGTGGGGCAGAGGTCGTGGAACAGGGGGTCAAGGATCAGTTAGTAGTACACAAGGAAGAGGAAGAGGAACAATGGGTCGTGGACGTGGTGGTGATATTGCCCGTGGAAGAGGGTCGGCAAAGAGGGGAATGCTACAAGGAGGTAGTGGATTTGAACCTGCAGCCAATAAACCAAAATGGCAAAAAGAGCAACAGGGGAAAACGGGGAGTAGTGAACAGAGATGGGGTGCAGAGCAAGGATGGGGCCGAGAAAGGATATGGGGCCGGGGAAGAGGCAAGGACCAAGGTGTACGTGGAAGAGGTTCAAGAGGGCGACAAGGGGGACCTCCACAGAGAAACAACCCTGGTCGTTCAAATCAAGAAGTTAATGACGGCGCTGTAGAATATGGTTTTGATGGGAAACCTGTTGGACCCGAAAGACTTGCTAGTACACTTGGAGATTTCAAATACTGCAAGGTCTGTGATATACATATCAACTCTATGAAGTCTGCTAAGGCTCACTATTCTGGCAAAATTCACCTGAAAAGGCTCAATAGTATTCTGCAGAAAGAAGGTAGGCTTTTGACATAAGGTATTGAAATTGTACTTTTTCATTATATTTTCTGTGACATTGTTTTATTTCTGTATCATGATTGAATATATTTAATTAGTGAAGAAGAAAAAAAAATTGAAATTAAAATTAACATGTGATCATGATGTACAAATGTATATACAGGTGCAAATATGTTTCAAATAAAAAATTTGTCTTGCTTTGGGCATCAGTTTTTAATTGTTCAGCAACTTTAAAGGTTAGGGATAAAGAAAATACATTATGTTCTGATGTCTCAGAGAGACGGAGACCCCAAGGATTTCTTTGTTTTCAAATTCTAACCAAGTCGGGCCATGGTCATCATGAACAGCTTCGTCAACGACATCTTCGAGCTTGCAGCGAGGAGCCATTGCGGTCCTTCAACTATAAAATCAAATTCATTTACTTGTGAGAAGTTTGGGAGCTACATTCAGCAAAAAAGAGAGAATTTGATTAATTTATGTTTATTTTGATCATAGATTAAAGATAAATTTATAGTAAATATTTATTTGAAAATCTTGAACTATGATGAAAAGTCACACTATATGAAATTCGCTTTGTCAATGAAGGATTGCTATTACCTCTTTTTCTTTCTTCAGAATTGATGAAAACTCTTGACGTAACTACAGACAATTGTGAGGTATGCAATGTCGTATATACTTCCCCTTTACAAGTCAAATCACATCTTGACGGAAACAGGCATAAGAAAAATGTTGAAGAAGGTTAGTGTTTACCGGTATTTGAAGATACCTTTGTGTTTTGTAAAGTGTCGGCAGATATGCTGTTAGGCAGGAGGGCATCTGGACGATCTGGGCGTCAAAAAGACACCCATTTCTTGTGGAAGACGCCCTACAATTTTCTTTAAATGCATTTCATTTGATGTTTAGCCTTTTTTATTTCCCTTTAAAAAAAATAAGAACATCAAACGTTGTATATCCAGGCTAAGAGTCCTGTGTTAAATGCCTTATCAGGCTATAAGATTTCATATTAAAAGTGATGATCTTATCACTTTATTTCAACGGTTCTGTTTCTCCGTAATATGTTCCTCATATGAAGAGCCTCACTATGAAAATAATCTGAGAAAGAATGTGAATATGAAGATATTTGGAAATTTGATATTTAGATTCCCTTTAAAAAAGAAATATGATAACAATATGCGATGATGTCTTTTTAGCTAAAGCTAAAGCTGAGGGACGTCCAATTCCATCAGAATCTACCAATCAGAAGAAAGGAGAGGTTGACAAGGAGACTGTTGCTGATGCCAGTAGAGAGAAGGCATCATCTGGACCATCGGATGAACGTTTGAGTAAGGAAGAAAGTTCTCCTCATTGAAATTTAAATTATCTGTGCACTCCACTGCATGGATTATTCTGGTGTTAAAACTCTAATAGGATGTCTGTTCATAAAAGTGATGTAGTCACTTCTCATTTGTGTTGCAGTGATGTATTTTTAAGTGTATTTAAAGTATTTCTCTAAAAAGGGGCAAGAAAAGGGAGCCCCAAAAATTTGATGGCGAAATTCCACTTAAATTGAATCACAACGTGAAAGAGAATGTCATTTAAGACACATTTCTGCAAGGATTTTCAAAACAAATGTGTAAAAGTCGAATATTGATGAAAGAATACAAAATTGAGGTTTTCTGCATACAACAGAAAACCTAAATTATGTATTCTTTTATCAATCTTTGTCTTCAAACACATTTTTGAGGGTTACTTTGCAGAATTGTATCTTAAATGACATCCTCTTTCAATTTCCATCAACATTTTGGTTAATTTGTGGCTCCCAACACTTCCACAGTAGCTATTCTAAAATGAATCAAGTTGGACACATCTTTTGTTTCTGAAAATCGTTTTGTAGTTATAAAGGGACTGGATAGTTTACAGATTATATGTGTGAAAGGTTCTATTAAGAATAAGATGCTGTTGTATTCTAGTCATGTTTGTTTATTTTCTGATACCATTACATTTAACAAATCTTAAATTGCCTTCCAGCAAAGTCCTAGAGTTTCTCAAACATTTACTTTTTATTTTATGAATTACCCTGCAGTGCTGGAACGTAATGAAAAGTTTGTTGAACCCAAGATGAAGGACAGTGGTGAGATGCCTCGCCCAGATTCCCAATCTCATACCCAATCTCGTGTCGCACCAAAAACATTCCCAGAAGGGGCTCCGCACACGCCGAATGACAGAGAAGGTATTACCCGTTTGTGGAAATGAGACTAATGCCTCATTCCCAACTTAATCCATTAAAAAATCTATGGAAAAAAACAGAAAGCACTTCAAATATCTGTGTCTAATGATGCACAGGAAAGTGATTATGCTTAAGGGCCCTTTGTTATGTGCCAAAAGTTTTTCTCAACCCCACTCGCTGTTCATTTTTACATCGGAAAAAAAATGCTCCAGTTTACCATGTTTTATATGAACAAGCCTTGAAGAATTCAAATGTAATAAGGGACCCATTACACAAGGCCTTGTTTTAAAGACAAATGACAAAAATCAGTGACAAATCTGCTGATAACCAATTAGAACTTAGAAGCAAGGATTTCACTAGCTTAAAATAAAAATTGTCATTTGTAAAGCGCTTAGAGACATTTGTATTAAGCGCTATATAAAAATTAAATATTATTATTATTATTATTTGACACTAATGACAAGTTTTGTGAAATGGGGCCCTGCTTTTTGTCCACATGTTGCCCAGCCATCCTCTTGTTCCTCCAATAGACAGATGTCAATTTGAACAGGCCATTTTTTTCTTATGCAAAATAATTGTGCATCATAATTGCTATGATTTCAGCTAAACATGGTTCCCTTGGAACGCAATTGGAAACGTGATGTTTTTTTTTACTTTTAAGGGGCAATTCCCAAGGTTATTGGTCAGTGGAGGTCTACCTGTTCAGAAAAAAAACATTATTGGTTAGTAGTAAATGCTGGTACAATTAAAGGACCTGCATGATTCTGTTTAGGTCATTTGGTGATGTAAAACATCATAGAAGCCCAATGTGCACTTTGTTATCTATGATAATTTGTGGTGATAATCTTATCAGTCAAAGGACTTGCAAATGACGAGTACATTTCTGTTTATGGTAGCCTGTCTACCTTGTCATAGTATTTTAAACAGACTCTGAGTTTAGTCTTGTAGAAATCAGCTGCAAAGAATGATTCGATAAATGGAATTGATTATGTGTTACTCTCATCTATTGCAAACTCTAGAACAAAAAAATGTCCAGTCACAAAAGGGGAAAGGTATGCTACAGCTGCTGCAAGAGAGCCAGAGGAAAGGACGGCTACTTTTGCTGGAAGAGAGCCAGGAGAAAGACGCAAAAACCGCTTCTATTGTGACCTTTGTGGCGTTAGCACAACATCTCCTGATCTCCTTGCAGATCATTTCCTTGGTAAGTTATCATTTTCCAAATGCAGGGACCAATTATTTTTGTAATCATCTTTAATAGCAAAACCACTTTTCATTCAAAGTTGTCAGTGTTTCATTGCTTTCTTTGCAAGACCTGTGCTGCTATGATAATCATTTTGTTGAAAGAATTCAGAAATTGTTTAAAATTTTTTGATAAAACCCAGAGATTATCCCTGAATTCTACGTATTGAATACCGGTAAACACAACTGTGTGATATATATCTGAAATAAACAAGTAATAATCAGTTGTGAGAGTATGAAGCTGTTGGTGCTACAGGAGTTTCAAGAATTTTTTGATGTCATAAGATCAAAGTCATTACTCTAGCTTATTACCAATTCAATTTTGAATTTTTTTTTGTTGATTTTTTTGTTGATTTTTTTTTGTGGATTTTTTTCTTTAAATTGTACATAAGATGTTTCTGAGAGGGTGGTCAATTTTCTTCGTTTTTTTTAAATATGCAATTTAAGTCTTAAATATTTAATCTTTATTTAACATCTTTTATAAGGCTCTGCTTCTGTAACATTTGCATTCATGGATTACTCATTTCTCTTATGACTACAGGCAGAAAGCACAAGCACACAATGTTACTTATTAAGAAGAAAAAGAGTGCGCCCACTTCTGCTCATGGAAGTGTGTTTTCGTGCAAGCTATGCCGCATTTCAACTCACGACGCTTACAATCTCAACCTGCATATGACTGGTGAGTTGTGTATCTAATTCTACAGGCTCATGTGGAGAGAACATTGAAAAAATATATAGTTGTTCATCCGTTGTATAAACTAGCAAAACTATTGCTGTGCCAAAGCCTGTGTGGACCACTGGACGGGACTTGTGTAGTGACGCGATAAGAAGAAGAACTATTCATTTTGGAAAAATTTATGTATCTTCAGATACAATCATGATTATATAACTGTTTTTGCTTCGTGTGGGCTTGATTTGGATGGGGGCCTGTGTTTAATCCCAAATTTGAATATTTGTATCATTTGGAGATAAATGATGAGTTGGCTCAGTCAGTAGAGCGTCCGCCTCACAACCAGGAGGTCGTGGGTTCGAACCCAGGCCGCATCATACCAAAAGACGTTAAAAGACGGGAGTTGCTGCTACCTTGTTTGGCATTCAACATTAAGGGATAGAGCAACGTCGATCTGGCGCTGCTTAGTGGCTGCTGGGCTCCCGATCAATTGGGCAAAAAGAATTTCCATTTTTGGTTTAACTTGATAAAATTTGGAGTGGACTTTAAAAAAGATTATTAACTGACTGACTAGAGACAAGTGAAGAGATGCTGGGTACAACAGAATCAAGGAATATCAGTGAATATAAGATGGACTAAAGCTTTTTGTCTTGCACTAATCAGAGTAAACTGCAAGAATGAACAGACAGCTGGAATTCCACATTATCTTCTTTAACCCTTACTGTACTGGGCTATTTTGAGCACCTCGTGACTGGGGGGATCTCGGCCGAAAGTCTGATGAACGCGAAAATTTACATGTTTGTAGATATTTACGTAACGAACAAGATGGTATAATTAGTTTTTTCCTAATATGCAAATTTTTGTCATTATAGCCTAATTAATTATGCAAAATGCTAATTTTATGCATTTTACAGAAAACTCTTCATATTTGTCTGTAGACTTGTGAAGAATGTTGAAAATGTATTGAATAAATGTTTCCTTCATCTCAAATTCATGAGGTTACATTATTTTTATGATATTTGAAAATGCATAGGTTAATTTGCATAAATTATGAATACGCATTCATGAATATCAAATCTTGAAATATACAGGGAACTAGAATCATTACAAAAATTGTCAGACTCCACTTTTTGAACGTGTTAATTGAAACCCATTATTCATATGAAACTTCTTTTCTAACACAAAATAGTTATTTTGATGTAATTAATAATGATAATTTATGCAAATTTGATGCGATTTTCTAATTTTTATTTTCTTTTGTATTTTATTGTTTTGTATTTCTTATTATATCTATTATTTTATTTCTAATGTATTCTTTTGTTCTGGAATACATCAAGTTACTTTGAGAAACATATAAAAGCAATTTGATATCAATTCACATTTCTGCTTGTACATGAATATATGCAATTATAGCATATTTTTGATGACATGCGCATACTAATTGTTATGTAACACCTTACAGGTATATCCGATTTTGACGAAAATGGTGTCAAAATGTGCGTAAGACTTGAAGGAAATAAGTCATGAAACAACAATTCAAAATTCCAAGCGGTTGCGGCGCAATCTCCGAAAATGTCGAGGGGGGGGGGGGCCTGGGAGGCCCCTCCCCCCCAGTACAGTAAGGGTTAAAACAGCTTTAATACTGACAAGTTTGATAAAGTTATCCCCCACAGGAGGTCTCCATTCTTTGTACTTGGTGTTGTGAATTCTGTGTTGTAATATGTTCTTTCTCATTGCTCACGTAATCAGGGAAAAGGCACTTGAAAAATCTGGAACTGTCCATGGCTGCTGATAAACCTAAACCATTGATGGAGTCAAAGTCATGTCCCGCTAGTCAACAAGAACCAAAGGCGTCAGACCAAGTCAACGAGCCACCATTACATCCACCAGATGAAGAGGTAATTACCATATAAAACTCTTGTAACTCATTGAATACTGAGCCTGAGATGGTTTAGTCTAGTGTCTTTGGAAACAAGTGCTATCACCAATACCCCCAAAATGCTGGGATGTGCGCCTCTTGGATGCATTTTGAGCCAAACAGGACTAACATACTTCCGGTGTTACTAGGTAAATTTCATGCCAAATGTATATATGTACAAAGCTGTAATAGTGATCCTGTTGTAGTAGGCCATAGAGTAAATCCAGGTTTTTTTTTAGGCTGGTCCACCGTATGCATTGCAAAGTCATCTTGAAATGCACAGCATCATAGCATATCATATCACAAACATTCAGTACATTTCAAAGTGACACAAGAACAGCAGAAGCTTTGAAAAAAGTATCAATAAATTATAACAATATTACTGGCGGTCCTGTTCCTAAAATTTGAAAATGCACATCTCTTACCAGTTACGTGTGTCCGTAAGACAACATGTTTCCCAAAACTGGGCTGTATTTCAAGAAATTTTCTGTTTTAGATCAGGATTTTTGTGATTTGCAAGCTTAAATGTGTCTCATTGCATGTACCAGTCTCTATAAGTCCATAGCTCCGCATGCATTGCTACGCCTTTTTTTTAAATTACAGAGGTGGAATTCAGCTGCTGGCTTTTTGATCAGCACACAAGCAATACTCTTGACTTAGAACATGTGGCTAAAAATCCCAGCTACCACTTCTGAAATAAAAATTGATATTGCCATGGCATCTCTTTATTTATTTTCAGGATTTTAAAAATAAATTGAACAGTAACAAAATGTTCTACCATGGTTTAAATAAGAAATTAAAATAAGTCAGGAATAAAGAGTAGCAAAATAGGATTTTGTCGTAAGCAGCTGCAAACCTCCCCTTATTCTATTTCAAGTTAATCCATTAAATACTACTCCCTTGAACTGGACATGTGGCTAAACCTAAGGAAAGCCCTTTGGTCACTTTATACAGGTTTTTCTTTCATGTTTTTAATACACAAGTATTTTGTAACTGTCTTTATTTACAGCTCTTTGAATTAGAAGAACAGCATCCACCACAAGAGAATGCTGAGTCTCAAGAAAACCAGGATGATATCGATTCAGCTATAGTTAAAAGCCTACAAGAAACTACAAAAGACATGCCAGAGCTCAAATTATAAATAGTGGGTGGAGAAACCAGATATCTTGGACCTCAATTATGCTGTACTGATACAGTGCTTTGGAAGTCTTTGCTGCTTTTTATATCACTTGAACATTTTTTCTGGGCAGGTAAAAGGATGCTCAAGTTCATTAAATTGTTTTTATAAACTGCACTGTACTGTACATGCATGGGTTCTCTTTATGTGTGATATATCACCTAAAAAACTGAATACAGTTGGAGCTTGTTGCACCACTGAAAATACAAGTAGTAAAACTGCAGTATTGGGGATCTGGAATACCCATGTGTCATTTGTCACCATAGTGGCATTTGGTCAGTTCAACATGAGGGATGTTCACATTTGGAGAGGCTTTGGTTATCGCGAAGCAGGATCCAAGGTGTTAAATGGGTACCTGGTGGTGGTAGGATGCGACCATCAATGTTGGTTGAATAATTTTTGAGCGCTAAGTAACGCCTGGCTGGAATGCTCCCCAGGGAGTGGAGATTGTGCACACAGTGAGTGCGGGCAAGTATTCAATCCAATGACCGGGGTAAAAGTATATATGTAAAGCGCTTTATCGTAGATGTATTAAAGGCAGGCTTTACTACTTCAGCTAGAAGGGATTTAAATAAGACCACCCAGCGAGCCAGCGAGGTTACTGTGACAGGTGGCTATCTCATCAACTCGGCTCTCATTTAACATAAGAAAAAGAAGATCATGGGGGACCAACAGGCACCGATTGAGCAAGTAGCTACAAGTAGGACAGTGTGCCTTTAAGCGCTATATAAACACAGAATATTATTATTTTATTATTTATATTATTTTCCATTTTGCATGTTCAAATTAATGAGAATTTTGGCTTTATCTTAAATACATTTAAAGTAGACATATGCTATTGCACTGTAGCATTGAATAATGATTAATAAATTAATTAATGGGCACTTGATCTTGAAGGTGTGCCAAATGGTATACATGTAGTAATCTTGGTTCTCTGTCGATCTTGCAATTTAAGTCACATATTTGCAAAATCTATGTTGAAAAAGTAATAGTCAAATTAATTTCACAGCTTCATAATGTACATAGAACCTTTGTGTAGTGGAGGGATGCATTGCTATGTTCTGATACTTCTCAGTGACCCATGTCATGACCTATGACATATTTTTATATCAACATCCTTGTACATCTGTAGATATATTTTGTGTAATTTTGAAAATGGGGTTCATTTAGTTATGGACCAATAAAGTGATGTTTTCTATGAAAATAATTCAACCAAGATGGACAGGACACGAAAACCAGTTTACAATTTTCAGATGTTCATCCAAATTACGAGGCACTTTCTTAAATACTTTTTGCCAAATGCTGCCCAAACTGATTTGCAAGTTGTTCCGAAAAGTAAAAGTTGAGAAAACCTGAAAATGATATCAATATCTCTTATACGTAAAATTGTGTTCAATTCTTGCGATTTTTATTTTGCCCTTGTTATTTCTGCTCTAGACTTCCTTTGCAGAGAGTGATGTTCCTTAGTACTACATATCACTATGATTTTGAAATTGAATCTAAGAATTGTGTCTTGTTTTTTACAGATTTTTAGTACAGATTTCATGTAAGGATGACCCATAATGGACCCAATTTTGCTTTGTAAGATTTGATTAAACACATGTACATGTTGAAAGGTTTATGAATTGCAGCTTAACTTTAATTCCCTTTCAGATAGCACTTCAAAGAAAGGGTAATTACCACGTCAGTATGTTACAACTTAACTCTCTTGTACAGTCAAACCTGCTTTAGTGACCAGTTGTCTACAAAGGCCACATTTGTTGTTTCCCTTGAAAATGGTTTCTCATTGAAACATGTACTAAAGCAACCTGTTTACAAAGACCACCTGTCTACAAAGGCCACTATTTGTGTTTCCCTTGGGCGGTTGCTATAAACAGGTTTGACTGTATATATACATGTTTATATACCTCACTTAAGTAATCCAGCCATCTGATTGGTCGAAATTGCATTCATAAACTTCAACTGTTCTTGTAAAATTCCCGGTAACCATGCATAAAACATTTAATATTTTTAATAACCATGGTTATTAAAAAAATAGGTCAGCCTCCATGGTTACCCCATAGGTTTACATGTTAAAAAATGGTTTGAGCGATCGAGGATACCGTATGTGTGCGAAGGATTGGTCGGTAATTTCAATACAATTGAATCTCGATCGATCTTACCGACAATTTTATCTTGCATTGTTGACATGAAGACGAAAATAAACTTCCAAAAACAAAAAAACAACATCTGCCGATAGATCTTGATCTAAGTTCGTGCCAATATGCATTGCAAAAGTAAAAGAAGGGTCCGTTTAATGGAGCTTTTGCGAAGCATTCATCACGCCGAAGCCGGTTTCAATCCATTTTAATGTATATATTGTACAAAACTGCCAAGCACGTGAACAGCGCGCGATGGACGAGTGGTGTAAGGCGTTGGTGAAAACTTCATCACTCATTGTACGCAAGGGTTCGACTCTCACCTTCGCCAAAAAAAAAAAAGTATTTTTTATTTTTTATTTTTTAGTCTATTTTTTTTCGGCATATAAAAGTATTAATGACTGCTTTAATATTCGAGAAATAGTTTTTTTATACGCTCTCGGGAAGGTTACAATTGGGCTATTCCCCTCGGCACGCCTCGGGTAATAGCACAATTCTAACCTTCCCTTGAGCTTATAAAAACAACTATTTCTCTCAAAGCAGTCATTAATACTATAATGTCCATCACTTGATACTTCAGGATCAATAAAAATAAAAATCTTTTTATGGCCATGCCTCTTTTCTGATTTTTCATTTTCATTTCTTTTGATAATGATTCATTAACATATGCCAGGAAATGCCATAGAGCTTGCAGTTTTGTGTGTGAATCTGTTGTGTATTTTAATATTATTACATTACATTATGGCTGTATGAACAAACATAAAATCAAAAAGAGGCAAAATACTTCATGCATATTTGATTTAAACCTTGTTGGTCTTGGGTTTTTCTAAGTCATCTGTTTAGAGCCAGATGTGCATTACCGTGAGCCCTTTTAGCTCTGTTAAAGCAGATGATATTGTCTAATGATATGTTGCTTTTATTTATATAAGTTTGCTTTTTTATCTGGTAATTTTGGTAGCCCTGATATGTTATGCAAGTGGATTTGTAGCACATTGTTATATCTCTATAATGTTCTGGCACCAATATCTCGCAAAGAAAGACATGTAAAAACAGCTTTATATATTACAATTGTATTCACAAACAATTCAAATACAGAATACATTTGGTTTCAGTAGTCCTATAATACAGCATTTCAAGTTCACAGTACAATACATATACTAGGGAGATATTTCTCATTGTACTTGCAAAAGTATATTTACAATTTAAAAATCAGTACTTATCTAAATACCCAATGGCACTAGTAAAAACAAATGTCATACATTTAAAAAAAAATTCCCTAAAAGCATATGACAAAGGTGGTTTGCATATACATGTACTACATGCATTACATCTATTTTCTGCCGGAAGGCCCTACTTAAAAACTTCAATAAACAAAGGTTTGTAAGTAGGACTTAATCCTATAAAAACACAATTAAATTAACAACTACGGACCTACCGGGTACTTTTTGTGTGCATTCAAATGAGGAAAAGATGAAGGGGGTAGGGCCAATATTTATAAAGGTTTCAAGATGGAGAGTGGTCCTAAATTTACCAAACTATCCATGAAATTCCCTGGAATATGTCTCCTTTGCATGGAAGAGGAGAGAGACGATTTTATTCACATTAAAAATACAATGTATTGATGTAAAACGGTAAAATTTAACAGAAGTAGTACTGATTGAAACGTGGCACTATCCAGGACCAGCCTGCAGTGCTGAGAAGAGACAAACATTGCAATGATTTGAGGGTTGAGGGGGGGGGGGGGTCAAAAAAAGGACTCATTACTTTCAAATGAGAATATAAAAAGTACTTGCATTATATTAAGCTATTCTTTTCCCCATTAGGAATAATGCCTTAATGAGACGGACAGAAAAGTCATCTTGTATCCTTCCACACATCAACTAAAGAACAGTGATTAAAACAATAAATCATTTTACATGATGACAGCACCCCAACATCTACCAACATCTACCAAATTCTCATTAACACCAATCGATAACGTCAACTAGTGTTCATTATTTCCTTTCTCATCTGATTGCCATCGAGAAGATTCTCCCTATTATGGGTCGGGGTATAATAACATCCTCTTTGTTCTTAATGTCTTCTACTATGCCCTTGATCTCCTGCATGTCAGAACAAGTTTCACATCAAAAATCAAATTTTAAATTTCCTCTTAAAAAAACAAAAGAGTCCTCTGCACTCTTTGGCCTGTATTCTCCTAAACTGATAGCTCACGCTTGGCCTAAGCTTTTATCAAGAATCGGGTTTAACAAAGGAAGTTGGTATGAGGTCTTAAAGCCCCACTGTACTACTTGTAGCTACTTGCTCCCTCTATATAGAAGACTTCCCCAATCGGTGCCTGATGGTCCCCCATTTCTTATGTTATTTGAGAGCTGAGTTGATGAGATAGCCACCTGTCAGTGACTAGTACAGTACTGGCCAAACTAATACAGATGAGCTTTAAGTTTTCCTTTGTTAAACATGATCTTAGACCCACAATCTGATTTAAATGAATAAGATTCAAATATCTGTAATGGTCTTCCTACTTTAATACACAAAACAAAACGTCTAGAAAGGAACCTTATTTCAACACTAACAAGGTGATAGAATGATTTGTACAGCAAATGAATACTAATGAACATATGTAAAACATAATAACATAATGATACAAAAAATAATGCTAAAAATGACATAAAAGGATATACAAGTAATACTACAAACACAATATGGCAGTGTAAAGTTTTAAAAATGATGATAAAAGGTGGACAATCAGCTGAACGGTTTGGCAAATAAAAATGATGTCTGTTTTGCTCTAGAAAATGGGATAATAATAACTGAATACAGAAGGCTTTCCAAGATAAATTGACTTTTATCCCACTTTGAAAGCTGAAAGAAATAATCCAAAACTTAGCGAAAACCGCTAGCCAGGCCTAACAATATTCCTGGCTTTCAATTAAAAAGATATGCTGTACCTTATTAAACACAATAGTATGATTTTTCTGAGCACATACAGTGTACATCACAATGCAGACTGCAGCAGAAAATAAATTACTGATCTCCATTAGATGTAAATGAAAAAAAAAGATTGTTTCAAATCTGGGACAAGTTGTACATTCATCCACAAGCAGATGAAGAGGATTGTATAATCACATTTTATACAAAATAAATGGTGAGCAGCACAAAATATTTCAGAAAGGACATTCCCAGTAATTACACACTGAGGGCCAGGAGGGTCATACAAATCGGAGACATACCAAGAGCAGCATCTCAAACTCCTCATCCAACATCAGTTAGTAAACATATGAATCTGAGGACATAGAATTTGTCCTTTATACACAAACTTTCAGTATTTTTCAAACTTTTCAGGTTTTAAGGAGCAAAGAAGTATGAAGTATTAAACTTTAAAGGGAAAAATATCTCCATACAAGATGGTCTTTAACTTGCCAATGGCTTTGACAGAATGCTTAATTTTTGGTAACGTTAACATACCAGTACCCAAGTTTCAGACAAAATGTATGATTAAGGTAAATAACATCTGTTATCCAAATCTTTGCATATGAGGTCAACAGTACCATTAAATGATGCATAAGCTATTTCAAAAGAGTATGTCAAATTGTCAATTGCAATGTATTTGAAGTATACTACTTTTGGATCTAGTACATGATTATGATATTAATAGAAAAAAGTACATTTCAAATGATTCTTACTTTGGCATTACTCTACAGTTGATCAAATATGTACACAGTAAAATTACTCTCGAAAATTTACAAAGTTAAAAAACATGAAGAAGACGCAACTGGCTGATATCACTATGCTATTCATAGAACTACAATGGTTGTCAATCACAAATGAAAAGAGCTACAAAAAGATAAGACATTTTCTGAAATGATGCGAGGATTTGTGTCCCTGCTTTTGAAGTCCTATGCCTACTTCTGTTAGGTAGTACCATTAACGACATATGCTGCCTTTTATTCCTTTTCTCTTAGAAAAGATGTTGCATTAAAATTACTCTCAACTTTTTAAAAGAGAACGAGAATTCACTATAAGATACAATATAATTTAATAAAGAAGGGTGTGGTGTCTCGGTTTTATGCTTTCACAAGCATCTTGCTCATGCTCAAAATTGTAATTTTCAGCATTAATGTATAATGGTTATAAAATCATGATAATTTGCTTTCATAAAATACACATATGAATTTAGACCAAATGTTATGATTTGCATCAAACTAAACACTTCAGCAAAATACCCTGTTTTTAAAAGCATTTTATAACAACTTGATATTCAAAATTTTATGGCATTAATTAAATTAATGTATGCTCCATTCACTTTTAATTTAGTAATTTATTCATGTAAATGAATTGTTTAATTGACAAAATCAAATATATTAATATGCACATGTTTATGTATGGTGAGGCACTGTTGAGGTCAGGACAGAGGGTCGCCTGATGAACCATCCAACCAATCATTCATTAATCCATCGCTTGAAGAGGTACATTTTGTGAGTGACTCCAGGTCCAGTGTTCAGTTCCCTTCAAATCATCACAGCCTACGGATTACCTTTCTTAAAGATGCGATCCAGGTCTTTGACCACCCGTTTCAGTCCACAGTCCCCTAGACCTTCCCTCAGTCTGTCCTTCACGTCGTCGTCACACCGGCATCCATTCTCCTCCCTCCACCAGCGAAGGAGCACTGCCATGGCTTTATCCTGAGCAGATCCACTGCATGATTCCAGGGAGCTGAGCTCCTTCTCCAGGGAGGGGCTCCTGGAGACAGGGAGCATCCTGGCAAACCTCTTCCAGTTGATGGCTACTGAGATGGCCTTGGATGATGCTTCAAATGCTGCCTTCAGATCTTCATCTATCAAAGGATACAAATTGGTTTTCATTTTATGAATTCATAAAGCCCCACTGCACTACCTATAGCTACTTGCATCCTTTATACAGCCAACAATGCCTTAGCGATACCCATTGACCCCCCCCCCACAATGCCCTTCTTCTTATGTCAATTGAGAGCTGATTTGATGAGATAACCACCTGCCAGTGACCTTTCAGGGAGGTCTAATCCCCCATGCGAAACAAGTGCAAAGGGGCTTTCAATAAAGGTATTAGTTTTACAGTGTATCAACTAAATTAGTAAACTTTAAATATATATCATCTGTTTGGAGCTAGAAGGGCATTAATTCATTTCATTTTACACAGAGTTAATGCCTTTTTAGCTCCACATAGATGATACATAGGCCTATTTCTCAGGCTTGAAATCATAATAATCTCAGGAATGTTTTCTTATCCTTTTATAAAAGTACCAATACATTTGTATTTGTCAAACAACAGTGCTCAACAAATGAAGATGGCAAAACTCATGGTAACAATACACTTTTCTCCATCAAGCTAAATTTGTTTGGTTAGAGGTGTTGTGGTCTAGTGGATAAGTCGTTGGACTGTAGATCACAGGGTTCGCGGTTCGATTCCCGCCACGGCACTAGTGTCCTGTGGCAAGATATTAATCTACATTTGCCACTCTCCACCCAGGTGTTAAATGGGTACCTGTATGAAGCAATTCCTTGAATGCTGTGAGCACCAAAATTGGCTGCCTAGCAGAGCCGGGGTAATAGTTGGAGCACCTTGAGCACCATGCATGGTATCCAATATTATTATTATTATTATTAAAAGTGCTTGATGTTAAGAATTGTAATGACGTGTCTTACCCTGGACCTGATGGATGTTCATCCCAGCCCACTCCACTGGATGCTGCTTGGGAGGACCTCCTGATGATGAGCCTTGGGGCTGGTAAACTAGAAGAAAGAAAATTAGTAATTATATTTAAGCCCCACTGTGCTACTTATACTTATATCATTGGTCCCCCATGATCCTCTTTTTCTAATGTTAATTGAGAGCTGATTTGATGAGATAACCACCTGTCAGTGACCTTGCAGGGAGGTCTAATCATCCTTGGCCAAACTAGTGTAGAGGGGCTTTAAAGACTGCTAATAATAATGATGATGATGGTGACAAAATATAATACAGGTGATGGATGAAAACTAATAATGAAGTAAAGAGAGAAAGGGAAAGGGGAAAAAAGAAATAAAGTGAGCATGTCATAAAAGGAAATGGGGTACAAAAAATGAAAAATCAACAAAACAATATGAGTGTGCTTTCAACTTTCAACAATGTAATAATGGCAGTACAGACATGTAGATTCATGTTATGATAATACGTTTATCTTGAGGTAGATAAAAAAAAGTTTTGGGGTGGGACAAGAGGGCTAATCTACCAAGTATACCAAGTATACCAAGTAAGGAATAAATTGACTATATGATGAAAATAATCCAAGGAAAAAACAAATTTTGGGGAAATGTAATTAAAGGGAAGAAATGGCAAGTCTGATTTTATAGCAAATATTTATCACTATAAAAAATTCAAAATAATACATTCAAGAGTGAATAAAAGGACAACCATGGATTGTTTACAATTAGTAGTCATATAAAACAAAATATAATACATATACCATAAATTGAAATTGAATTGAGATTTTACAATATGCATTCATTAGCATATAGACAGGAACATGTACTAATTGAGGTCATCGTATGGTCCACTACAAGTAGTACAAGGGAGATAAGTTGAATAAATGTTCAAAACAATCGCACCTGGACCATCAATATAAACCCTAACATTTCCTGTAGTAGTCTCTGGGCACCGAGCCAAAGAGCTTTACAGGATGTACCGTGTTTATATTTGGAACACATCCAAGAGAGCTCCCCGTGAAATGTCAAATTGCGTGACATCATTGCTCTAATACCACTATGATGGATGTGTTTATCACTATCATGTCTTTATTTTAGACAGACCAGCGGATAGTTTGACAGCAAGAAGGGTGTATGTCACTATCATGTCACCTGCTGAAAGCCAAAAGGGCACAATTCATGTACCGGTATATACTTTATATTACATGAAGTTTTACATGCACTTCTGGCTCTCAGCAGAAAAGTGTTGGTTGTTCAATGACTGTCAAAATAGTTTTAGAGTAAGAAGGCTGTAAAGGAATGTGTTTATCATTACCATGTCTTATATTTTACAGACTGTCAGATAAAATAGTTTTAGAGTAAGAAGGCTGTAAAGGAATGTGTTTATCATTATCATGTCTTATATTGTACAGACTGTCAGATAGTTTGAGAGTAAGAAGGCTGTAAAGGAATGTGTTTTCATTATCATGTCTTGAAATTTATAGACTGTCAGAGCAATAGTGTACTTGCACACATCAGTTGATTTTTTTTTTTTTTTTTTGCATTTACAAACTGGATTAGTACAGTAGTTTGTTAACAATCATTGCTGGTATTATTGGTGAAAGCACATTTCTCTGTGCATCATTATATCATTATTTTTAAAACCATCTATTAATTATGAATCATTTTCAAGACAAACATGCATAATTGATGAAACAAGACTTACTATGAAAGGTGCAGTCTCGAGGTTGCTCTACAACCCAGTTAGCCTGTCCTTGGATGTCATAGGAGTTCCGCATTCTGGGCTGTTGTCTCATCAAAGGAGCTGCTCATAGAAAAGATGAGAAAATTTATCAATTCCGAACGTGTAGCTATCATGATATGAGGCATAATCTTTCATAACTTGACAAATGCACCTCTTTCCAAAGACAATTTGTACTACATGTATATTCTTACTTAATTAATTGTTTTAAGTGCCACGAATCATAACAATGGGATAAGACATGAACTGGTAAATTTGGTCAAAAGATTGCAGGTGGGATACACAAATTGCTGATATGCCTGACAAACAAAGGCCACTTGTTGGGCTTTCCGGGCCTTACCATAATTGACTATGTACATGAATGTTTAAACTTTGAATTGATTTGCAAAGTGGTCAACTAATCTAAAGCACTATACATTACACAGTGAAATTGTGGACAAATGAAATAATTGCAACTTTTTAATTAGTAATATTCACAGTTTGTCATGGATCTAATGTATGCACACAACTATGGCAATAGCATTCACCAATATGGATATCTATCAACTTTCTTCATTGGGTTGCGGCAGTTGCTTACTCAATTCATATTCCAAATAGGTGCATAATGAATTAAACAATAAAATCATCAAAAAATTGAAAAGACAAAGGATTTGAATACAAATTCATGAGTATCACTCTACCTTGTGGATATTGTCTTGGGATGGCATCGACTGTTCTCATCCTCTTGGTATCTGGTTCAGCTGACATACATGTAGGAGTGATCATACCATCATCATCACCACCATCATCTTCATCTCTTTCTTTCCTCTTCCTAGGGGATATCGACACACCTGCCTCATCCAATGGCCTGGGGGTTTCATCCTCACACTTCCTTTTCAAGCCTGATAATGTCCTCTGATTGGCATTTTCATTAACATTTTCTGAAGAGGCATCCTTTCTATAACATTCTACAGAAGTGTTGTTCAGTACTGAATCTGACCGCGGCGAGTATGGAGTATTTATGTTTTTAGCTTTGCTGTCCTCCAAAGAAAGTCTTGATGGAATCGCTCTAACCTGAACACCGACATGACTTCCAGCATTGTCAAGCTGCTGGGAACTTCCATTTTCATTTGGACTAAATGAAGTCCTCCTCTGGTTTGATCTGATAATGTAATTTGGAGGCATGCTTACACCTAGTACTTTTCCAGTGGCATCTCCCGACAGGCTAGGATCCAGTGAGGGACAGATATTGTTATTTAAAGCCGATTCTTCATCTCTTTGGATACTAACAAACCTGTGCTTCTCTGACTCCTGAGAATGATAGCCTTCATCGTCATTGTCATTTTTGGCCTTCCCCAGCCTGTCAAGGTCGGCAATGATAGAGCAGGGCAGAGTCTTTGAGGGAGAGCCATCGGATTCATCCTCACCCAAAGGTATCATGACCCTGGAGGAATCTACTTCATCTTCACCGAAGGGTTGGCAAAGGTGGCGAGGAATGGCAAAGTTACCATTGATTTCATTCCGCTGTAACACCACATCACATCCTGAATCATCCATCTCGGAAATCCTGGAGCAATGGTCTTGAAGGTTAAGGTGTCCTCTTGCCAAATTCTGTCCGAAATGGCTTTCAAATGGCTCCTAAATAAGATAGACATAAAAAGCTGTAAATAACACACACAATGACCCTCAGTAACCCACTAACCGAATGAAGCAAATTGCAATCACAGCACAGAGTGAACCAAAGTGACGACACACTTTCCACGTTTTCTAAATTTATCAAAACTCAGATTCTCCTGAACTATCGACCCTTGTTATGATTGGCAGGAAGCTGCCAATAAGGTGCATCTGGACTTGCCCAGACTGTTTTGAACATGTCAAGCATTGTTATGTCATGGAAACATCAACTTTACATAAGCAAAAGAAACAACAACAAAAAACTCAAGGATAAAAATAAAATAGTGTACTATATAATAATAAAGGTACGAGTATGATTGTATGCTCATCATTTTAACACAACTTGGAAATCATATGACTAGGGCGACTTTCTCTTCAATTAAACCCCATCTTTTTTTCTGACTTCTAAATATATTCCTCGCTGCTAGAAATGTACCGGTAACTAATATTTATAGGACATATACATGTACATATGTATGACAAGGGAAAGTGAGAAAGTGGGGAGAGAGAAAGAGAGGGAGAGAGAAAGAGAGGGAGAGAGAAAGAGAGAGAAGAAAAAAAAGAGTAGAGAGATTAGAGAAGAGAGAGAAAGAGAAAGATGGGAAGAGAGAGGGAGGAAGAGAGGGAGAAAGGGAGAAAGAGAGAGAGAGAGAGAGAGAGGGAGAGAGCGGGAGAGAGAGGGAGAGAGAGAGAGCGGGGGAGAGAGAGAGAGAGCACGACTTGCTTCCTGTGTCTATTCCCAGGTCAGTTTCACCTTTCTCTCTTCAAAACAAGCTATTACGTCATGGCCAAATTTACTAGGAAAACAAGGTCCATGTGTGTCCTCTGGAGCTATGCCAATTAACCAGTTTACATTGTTTAAGACCCTTGTTTTAGTTTTGCCTTTATGCACTGACAAAAGAGGGATGATTTCACAACAAAGTTTCACAAAAAATAAGTGTAATTTATCTCTTTTATGAAATAGATTTTAGTTGCTTTACTTGACATGCAAAAAACCCAACATAAAAGAGTAACCACATCCCATCTGCTTCTGTTTTTTGTTCATTTCTACTTTTTTCTTTTAGTAATTTATTTTCAGATTTAAAATGCACTGAAAGAGAAACAAAAAATACCCCCCTACCCCCCCCCCCCAAAAAAAAAATAGAGATTTTGACTCTACCTTTGCTGTAGCACATACAGGTGTAATGATGTTTTGCAATTTGAAGTAGAATGATATGAGGAAAGCAAGCACACTTTTAGATCTTTACTGACGCAACATTTAGTTGAATTAAAAATCTACATTTTCACTACACGTGGCTACCTTCCCTTAAAAATTGGCTATTACGGTGAGGTTTTTCTGATATATGCAGAAAATCAAGCTCCTTCCAATATTCTAAAGTGAAATAATATTAGCGCAACTCAGTTTAATTTTATTTGCCACTTCTCTATAGTTCGACTGGATATTGCAATGCTCAAATATTACAGGTTAAGTGCATAACACAGCAAAATTTGGCCAATGTATTCCCCTAGTGTGTCCAGACTACAAATAAAACTTAAAAGGTAAGTCCACCCTGATATTAAAGTTGGTTTTAATAAAAGCAAGAGGAACAGAGCAGTGAATGTTTGAGGAAAGTTAAAGTTGTGATCAATCAGAATCAAATCAGAACCTCTGCTTTGTCTGCTCGACAAAGTTTTTCTTCAAAGCTGAACTGACCTGCTTCTTTATTTTTTCCTCTTATCAAAACCAATGGTGCATTTTCCTATAAAATAAACTACAACTTGAATATTATGCTGTGCCAAATATGTACATGTAAGTTGTCTCAAAAGAACAATGTGATTATTAAGTTAAAGAGTCTTTACAATTTTACACTTCTCTTTGAAAATTAATGAATGGTTTTAAAAAATACAACATCAATAGTATCTTACACGGTGTAAATATCTATGAAACCCCGTCTTTTTCCATTTTTGTTTTCTAATGACACTTTGTCCTTTACAGTGCAAGTGCAACTTCATGTTTCCAAATTAGAAAACTGAAATTTTGTTTACACTTTACAATAAAAGCAAAATACATCCATAATTTTGGCAGAAGATGGCAGCAAACAAAGCTTGGTAGGTTTGCAAGATGCATGGCATCGGTGTGAATCTCACTCTTTCCCAAAAATTGGAAAAAAGCCAAAATTGAATACCGGTAGGCTTAAAGTAAAATAGTAAATGTTTTATTCATGGATATACCTGTACACGTAGACAACCAATTGAGTCAAAGGAATGAGTACACAGTAGAACTAGCAAATAATCAATGCAAAATACAACTTCTTTACTAGGAAATCCTGGAATTTTTATGTTGGCTTACTTGTAATTAAGGAGAATTTAGACTCTAAAGTTTGCTTTTTCATGTTACAAATCCTTATAATAGTAAAGTCAGAGTTGTAAAAACACTGAGCTACATGTATCCACTTACCAGCAAGGATGCTCACTTGTGGAAATTAAAGCTGGAGGTCCTCTTTATGGACTATTAGCATCTAGTGCATATAAATAGAAATTGAAAGGATTATTTTCCTCTCGTAACCTTCATTCTTCTGTCTTTAATTTATCCATATTTTGCTTGTTTTCAATTGCTGGTGATGGACAAAAATCTAACAATTTTTTTAAATAGTAGAAACTAAATACACAAAACAAAAATCATATAAAAGAAAAAAAAAAAATGAATACAAATTGCAAGAGTGTACATGTAGGCACCAAAGGCGCCAAACAAAAATGGCACCAGTGTAAAAAGAGCCAACTCAGATAAACATGTATATTGCAGTTGTGAACCTTCTGTTTTTTGTTTTGATCATTACGACGAGGGAAGGAGGGGTTACTACATGTACACTGTAGGTAAGTTTGAATGAGAGAGAAGAGTCAAGATTTAATAAAATATATATATACATGTATATATATTTTAAATATCCTGGAAAGTCTCTAACTATTTCAATGAGGAGGTGTGTCATATCCTCCTCCTTCTCCGGCAATGCCTCTAGCAATAGGGTCTTGAGAGAATTTATAGCCTGGCAGAAAATAGATAAATTGGAGAGATTGTTCTACTTACAAATAATTCAAAGACTCAAGTACAGTTAGCAGTCTTAGCACCACACTGTAAAATCTCAAGTTTGAAAGAAGAAGAAGTAGAAGAAGAAAAAGGAGGAGGAGGAGGAGGAGGAGGAATAGCAGGAGCAGGAGGAGGAGGAGGAGAAGAAGAAGAAAAAGAAGGAGAAGCAGGAGCAGGAGGAAGAGGAGGAGAAGAAGAAGAAGAAGAAGAAGAAGAAGAAGAAAGGAGGAGAAGGAGGAGGATAAGAAGAAGACAAAGAACAAGAAGAGGGGATAATTTAATTGTTAGATCTATTATGTTAGATCCAACATAAATCTACAGTGAGACAAGGGCAAACTTGTATGGTGGTGTGACCATAATACATGGGTGACCTTACTTTGCGGATAGTTTCATATCTCAAATAATTGGCAAGATTTTGAAAATCAGATAGGCCTACCCCCAATGGAGAGAGAAATTTACTTTGGAATTTTCCTGTGTGTGTGTGTAGTAGTGTCTTTGCTTCCTTTTAACTTGAGAGATAGCATATAATGCTCTGAATTACTCTGTGATAGTAACTGACGTAGGGTTTAGAAATCTTCATATTGCTCAGAAGATGTCATCAAAATTGTTAATACAAAGTAATTTTTGAAAAAGTATGTAAAACTATGGAACAATGAGATTCACGAAACAAATTGCCAAGATGGTTATCAGTTTGTGACGTCATGTCCTCACAACTTATCAATTGCTTTGTATGGTTTAATCCCATTAATTTCCCTTTTTATCCCCAAAAACTTGATTTCCCCATGCCTTTGCCCAGGTTATATGATTTGTATCATATTGCGTGCATGACATTTCCCAAAAACTTTTATGAATTTTGAAGAATTTATACTATTTTCTGAATATTGTATTTCATAATTATTGATATTTATATAAATAGTTTATCAAAATCAATTTTTCATGATTTAACTGGACAAAAAATTACTCTTTATTTGTGCATCCACACAAAAACATATTACTAACAATCTAACTTGGATGCTGGTGTGAAGAACCAAGATTCTTAGGGTGAAAATAGGAAATTTATATTATCAATATAAAGAAAATAATTAGTGCATAGTGAGGACCATACGTCACAGACTCATGAGTGAGTTGCCAATTTGTATAGTGATTTTAAAAAAAATCATGTCATTAAAAATTCATAACTTTCTTATTAGTCATCCGATTTTGCTCAATTTTTTTTTGATTGGTTTGTCTGATTTTTCTGGTTCTATTGAAAGTACAGTAAGTTATTTTAAAGTGGACTTGGGCTTTAATTGCAAAGTATGCAATTATCTTTTATCTGATGGATTTCTTTTCAAAAAAAAAAAATCAGCTGTAAACTCCCATACACAAATGAAGATCTCATTATGTTAGTGATTTTATTTGTCAGTTGCAGCTCAGAATCAGATCTCAAAATCGAATTTTGTATCTTTGACGATAAATTTCTAGTTCTTTAATAAAACTGACATTTGTCAACATTCTCCATACAGTCAGAGGAGCCAGATGTAATCCCAGCCGAACAACCATCGATATCAGATTGAAGCTTTCGGTCTACAACAGGATCAATTTGTAGTCTAAAATTTAGCAGTCCATTTCATCACATGATTTCATTTGATTTGGTACTAATATAATAAGTGAACTAAGATCTAGATCTATATTATATAAATTTGTGTAGAATATGAGAAATCATGGGTCAAATATCACATTCCCAGTATTTAAAAAAAAATAATAATACTTGCAAAGGAGTATTTCTATTAATATTATAATTTATACTGGCGGAGCTGAGAAGATGGAAGCGCTCTGGTTTTGGGGAGTCAACGGAGATCCAAAGAGAAAGCACGGGAGATTACTGGCGCGGCTGGAGGTCGTGATTGGGACCGGACAAACGAGCTACATTCCTATAAATTTATCACCGACATGAATTGTTGTCGATATATTTCTGCTCCATTTCACTACCAGGAATCACTCTGAATTAATATAAATCATAATTTGAGTTAAAAGAAGTTGACTTACCATTTACCAACCCCGTACCACTACCAGTCGATAATTTGTCCACCAGTAAGGAAGGGAACACGAAGCCGATCTATAACCTACACATTTTTTGCTTGTATCATATCGGCCTAATACAAATCGCCAGTAAAAAATATTAGGTCGTCCCTGGCCCTCACTTATACTAATAGATATATATATATTTTTTTTTAATTGAAGCAAAACAATACCAATGAAAATGAGAGAACATACACTGAAATATGGAATAAACTAATTAAGAAAACAAAAACAAAACAAAGCAAAGCAAAACATAAACAAAAACAAAAACAAAAACAAAAACAAAAACAAAAACAAAAACAAAAACAAAAACAAAAAACAAAAACAAAAACACAAACAAAAAGACGTAGGCCTAGGTCTATTGCTCATCCTCAATGCAAGTACAAGTTCGGAAGGTGACCGAACAGGGCCCGCTCTGCTAGAATGGAGTAAATGCCCCAGCGGGTGCCCCAGTTGATGTTGAAAACTTGCCCCTACTTTCCGCCCTGCATGTAAAGCATCATATTCTTGCCTCTTTCTTATATATTTGTTTTGCTTTCCAAAAAATGGAATAAAGCACATACAACAGATGGTTCACCCAACAGATGAAGCCTAGATAGAGTGCCCATGTTTAAAATGGGGATAGGCCTACATGCAGGCCCCCCCCTCAATTTTTTTACGAGTGCCAGATTTATGATGAAACCCCCCCCTAAATTAAAAAAAAAAAAAAAAAAGTGCTCTTACCCCCCCCCCCCCCCCCCCCCCCCCTGCTTATTCAGCGGCTAGCTGAGACGTTGCGATTTTTGGGGGACAAAAACAAATATGCTATTACCTCCCCGCTCCCAGCTGGCTGAGGCGTTGCGAAATTTTCGGCCTAATTGAAAAATTTAAACCCCCCCCCTTGAAAAAATCCTGCGTACGCCACTGCCTACATGTATACTCAAAGGTGTAATTTTGGCCATATGGCACAAGCAGGGCATATAAATGTAGGTCTACTCAGAAGTCAGAGACTTTTCAACAGAAAATTAAGGTGTTTTTTCTAGAAATAAAGTGAGGCATGAGCACTCAGCTGTTGCCTCTCCTCCCCCCCCCCCCCCCCTTAGTGATAAGTATCTTGGAATAAAATATGCACGGCCAATGAGTGGTCTTCTTTACCCGGGTGTCACATTGTCTCACCGTCTGTCTGAGTGTGTATTTTCAATAAGTGCACTTTATTTCTTCGTAATAAGAACTCCCTTCTCTTTCTCATAAATGCAATGTTTCACCTCTGATAAGTGCCCCTTTTCCTTTCTATAAATAAGTACCATATTTCCTTCAAATCAGCTTTATTCTTTAGAACAGCTCTCAAAGTGCTCACAATTTTCCTGTTTCCTGTCATGACTGTGTTAATAAAAGCATAATTAATATGATGAGGGATTTTAGATCATGAAATCATGAGGGGAAAAAAAAGCTGTCCAAAAAGGCATCCCACCCTGGACAACTCGACCTGGTCGAATTATCCATGGTATTGTGTCGGGTTGTCCAGGGTGCCGGACTGTCTTTGGGTCGGGTTGTCAAAACCCCGAGCATACATGTGTAACGTAGTATACGTTTGCATATGGCGCCGCATTATTGAACAAAGGGTTTCCAGGTACGGTGTGTACAATTTTGGCAGCACTGGCAGATTATTAGATTATCAGGTCCGATTGATGCATTTAATCTTGGCATATTCAACAGAGTACTGTAATACAACTGGCAAATAAATTCAAGGAAAAGGAGTTCCGCGCCTGATCGTACCTCTTCATTTAAAAAGAAACGATTGATATGATTGATTGTATGAGGTCCACAAATCAAAGCATATACTTCGATCCCTGTATGAATAGTACTCCCCTCCGGAGGGCGGCATGAGGGGAGTGTAATGCTTTGATGTGTAAACCTACAATGATCTCTACCAATTGTTTCTTTTAAAGGTACTATGTCCCTTTTGCAGCCAACCTCAAATTCTGTAGAACTTTGCAGGAATTATGAATATGTCATGTATGTCCTATCTGTGAAATTTAAACGTTAGCAGTGTCCTCATATTCAAATTATGCAAGGAAACACGTTTACTTGCTAGACTTCACTTCAGACACTATTGAGTGACTGACTGGCTTTTTTCTTCTTTGGTAATAACACACATGAAAAGAGTTGTAAAGGGTACATGAGCATTAATGTCTACATCAATAACCCACTTCTTGTGATGGCCAAGATTAAACTGATTGAATCTTTGCGCAGCATAAAACATATGACCATTCGATTATTGTCTGAAAATCAAGACTATTACTTTTGGGCTCTATAGCCCTAAAGTCGATTTGACGACTAATAGTCGTTATTTTCCCACTTGAAGACATTTTCAAGCCCCACCTTTTTTAGGGAAGTTCTAAATTAGTATTATCTTTCAAATGCAGTTGGAATGTAACTTTTTCATTGTTTTTGGCCTGCAAATGGGACATAGTACCTTTAAAAAGAACAAGTACGAATGCGATAGAAGCAATTTTCGAAGAAAAAAGTTATATGGCCTTGAGCGTCACCTATTGAAATGTATCAACAAAATAAATGAGTTGCAAAACAACTTTCTACTTTGGCCCCGTTTCAGGCGATGCAATCATATTATAAGCATACCAAAGGCGAAATTCCCCTATTTCCAATACCATCATGTGGAAGGAGTTTAGGTACTTTATAGTAACTTTCAGAGATAGAAAAGAACGATCATAGAAAGATATTGAGGGGACAGAGAGAGAGAGAGAGAGAGAGAGAGGGGGGGGAAAGGGGGGGGGTGAGAGAAAGAGAGAGAGAGAGAGGGGGGAGGGGGAGGGGGGGGGTGAGAGAAAGAGAGATGTGCAAACAAATATATATATATTTTGTTACTCACTTGTAAATATAGTGAATCCGTTTTCAAAGTGTGCATAAATCATGAAAATCACTACAATAGTGCCTTCATCCTTAAAGGCACTATGTCCCATTTGCAGGCTAAACAAATGAAAAGGTTAAATTCCAACGGCATTTGAAAGACAATACTAATTTAGAATTTCCCTAAAAAAGGTGGGGCTTGAAAATGTCTTCAAGTGGGAAAATAACGACTATTAGTTGTCAAATCGACTTAGGAGCTATAGAGCCAATAAGTAATAGTCGTGATTTTCAGACCATTGTACCCGAATGGTCATACGTTTTATACTGCGCAAAGATTTAATCAGTTTAATTTTGGCCATCACAAGAATTAGGTTATTGATGTATAGACAAATGCTCATGTACCCTTCACAGCTCATTTTATGTATGTTATTACCAAAGAAAAAAAAGCCAGTCAGTCACTCAATAGTGTCTGACAGTAGGCCTACAGTCTAGCAAGTAAATAGGTTTCCTTGCATAATTTGAATATTAGGACACTGCTAACGTTTAAATTTCACAGATAGGACATACATGACATATTCATAATTCCTGCAAATTTCTACAGCATTTGAGGTTGGCTGCAAAAGGGACATAGTACCTTTAAGGGAACTTATTTTACAAGGCCTTTTGGTCTTATTTTAGTTTCCCGTTTCTTATTTTCGACTGGTAAATTTGGTCTCTTTGACACTGTTTGAAAATTTAACTTCTCACATGTATTATATTTGAATGATTCAATTGCATGTATTTGTTTTAATGTATAATATTGTAATGACCTATTGTTTTTATATGAAGATGGAAATACATAAACAAATGAAAATGAACATGAGGTTGAGTAGCGACCGAGCGAGATTGTTTTTCACTTTTTGGTTTTGAACTTAGCCTGTTATTGTTAGAGCGTTCTTGATCACAATCTACCCATTGCAATTTCTTTATCTTTATCTGTTTAATTATGACGCCTTATCCTCATGCAATATATAATCGTGGTAGCTCGACTCAAGCCGGACTGCCATGGTAATAATTGATTGCAGGGCCCTCGGAAGGAATAGTATTACAATTATTTAATGATGGTACATTGGGTAAAAATACAACATAATATATACGATATTATATTACATAGCCCATCAGGACATGCACGACGTGCAACAAACGATGACAATGAACAAATAAAATAATATAGAACATTATTTGGCGGCCATATGTCGATACCTGCTTTCTCGTCTAGAATAACACAGGATCTGTGATACGAATAGGATCATTATCCGGTACCCGTATGGCAGTCCATCCATCATGCTCACATGTCAACTATCCGAATCACGTCTCTCTGTTATAGCAAAATACACCATATACCTAATTTTACATAAGAAAGATACCAAGATCTATATATCCATTCTGGACTTTTATCTGTTTAGACGTGTACTCATTTTCAGTGTTCTGTTCCTCGATCTTCAAGATGAATATTCGGAAGGGATCGTTCATGCTCCTGATCACCATAGTGATCCTGTCTCAAGCAGTGGCTTCACGATTCCTTGATGAAGCAGACGAAGGTAGGCCTAAATTTCGGTCTTCAAAACCTAATTGATTCTTTTTAGTTATAACGATTTTCAGTATATAGATTGTGTAGATCTCTGCAAAGTGGCAGAAAGTAATAAAGTCCCTCATATAAATCAGATGTATGTATTCACGAATCTCCATCATCGAAATATTACCAACAGAAATGTGTTCATTATACCTTTCCCACCCTGTTTATGGGGCTTTCACATATACACTCCGGGGCCCGTACGGCGAGTAAAATCAGACATTTTGGGAATTTTCGGCCGGTGTCCGGCCGGCTACCGTAAAGATCCTACGGGCGCCGGGACAGTTTTTGAATCCGTACGGGCGCCGTGGTGCTGAGTCGGCTGCTCCCAATTCTCCCGGCGTTTTTATCTGACCGTTAGGCCGTAGAGAGCCCGTGAAGGGCCCTCAGGGCACCTTACGGGTCCCGTACGGGCTCCGGACGGTGTCCGGACGGGCCCCTCACGATTTCGGGGGGTCAATTCTCATGAAAAATCTTTACGGGCACCTTGCGGTGCTAAAGGGTGCCGTACGTGTACCCTAGGGCTCCCTCACGGGCCCCTCAAGAGCCCCGGGTTATATGCACAACACCGGGCGTCTGCCGGCCGGGGGAAATTTGAAATGAATATTGCCCGTGCGGGCCCCTCACGGCAGCATCTCAAAATGTACAACGCAGCTTTAAATATAGGAGGTGCGGATGTCAGAGGACACATAGTTCAGTGCACCGCACGGGACCCGGCCGGGCGCCTTGAGGACCCCGGCCGGGCCCCGGCAGGGCACCTTCCGGGAGCCACGGGTGCACCTGCTCATCGGACGGAGCACGTAAGCTTACCGGCCGGCATCTTTACGGGCGCCTTGCATTTCACCCGACCAATTTTCTCCGGCACCTCCCGGGCGCCGCAGAATATGTGACCACACATGCCGTAGAAATGAAAATCGGACGGTTCCCGTACGGTCTCTAAATCCACGGCAAGCCGCCGGGTATGGAAAATCGTACGGGGCCCGGTTTATATGTGACCTAGGCATTATACATGTACTTCAATTCAAGGTACATGGGAGTTTGTCTATTTTACCTAACATTATTCTCAAATTTTGAATCGTTTTACACATTCAATTTTATTCAATTCAGAAGAAGTATTCATAATTTGATATATCATATTGTGCCTTTTCATGCTTATTTCCTTTCTAACGCAAATTTCTCTTTCCTTATCTTCTTCTCAACCCCACATGCAGCTCATCATTTTGTATTATTTTCTGTACCCCCGATCTCTCACTTCTTTTTGTCATTGTCTACTCTTTGTATTATGACTGTGTTCTTCTATCTTTGTCGTGTAAAGCATTGTCTTGTCCCTTTCTCGTCTCTGTTGGCATCCCCCTTTTTTCTTTCCCCTATTTTGTAGTTCCTTTTGTAGTTACGGATTAGTTAATTTAATTACTCATTATTCCTAAGTATCATTTGAGGTGTTCACACTTGCAAAAGCATTGCTTTTTAGTGGACCCCTCTGTTTCCTTCAGGAATTTCTTACATTTGTTTTAAATGCTTATAATTGATTTGTAATGTTTTGTTGGAAACATGAATAAATTTGAATTTTAATTGAATAATTATGTTGTAGTTTTGTTACTTTGTCTTTTCAGACGAACAACTCATGGAGGCATGGAATCCGTTCAAAAAGATAGCACATCGCAATTGTTATCCTAAAACACAGTGCGAAACTGGTATGAAGTAAAAATATAAATGGTCACACCTTCAAACTGACTAAAAAACCAACCGATTATCGGCAACATCTCGAAGGTTTGGGGGTAATGGTAATTTGTGCTTGATCAATTGTCGGTCCGGCAACGGTCTTGTCAGTTTGACCGGGTGATACATTCTAACTTGTTTTATGTGCAGTAGAGTTCAAAGTTAGGTTCCTTCTTTCCGTTAGTTTCCCTCGCAATTTTACTAAAATTCAAACAAATGTTGTACAGATTGTGTAAAGATTGGCATAATATCCTGAGAACCAATATACTTGTGTTGGTATACGTCTAAAAGATTTTTTTTTTTAAAATTACGATACGATCCCTTTTACTGGAAGAAAAGGAAGAGTGAATGAGGGAGAGAGAGAGAGAGAGATAGAGAGTGTGTATGTATTGTGTGATGTGTAGGGCGAGCATGGCACCCCAAATCAAATGTCAATATCGTCAAATTTGGGTTTTAAAAGAGTTTAAATTGAATACGTTAAGAACTATTATATTTGCTATAATATTTTTTAAATGATTGTACTAAGTTAAAATTCTTCAACAGATCAACGTCAGCTTAAAAAATACATATACCCCCGTATTGAGGTCAATAGGGTATTAAAAGGGGAATCACATTGATCTGAAATATGTATTACATCGATACAATACACAGTCTATCCCGTAATCGTGAGGGGGGGGGGGGTGCTCCTGTTGCCCCAGTCCACAATGATTCACACCCTCGCATGTACACTGGGCCTATCAATTTCCTTTAATATGTCTTTAATAGTACTATACATATATTATGTTAATCAATCAAACTATTAATGTTTCATGTTTTAAGTTGTATTTGTAGTTTTTGTTGTTATTGTATTGTTGTATCGGTGTTGTAACTGGCCTATACTGTCTAACAATATGTTCTATGATATACATTACACATCTTAGCGGGACGTAAAAAAACATGCAAGGACTACAGTTGTTGTCAGATCGTCCTCTTCGGCAAGAAAACTCGTGCCAAATGCACAGGTAATTACGCCAAACACTTATCATCATCTTGGGAAGTTTTTCATTTGAAGTGATATATTTTTGTTTGACTTGCCCTAAACATGTGGATTATTTTTGCAAAGCGTTTTGTAACCGCAAGAAAAACGCACTTTACGAAATGCTTTACGGATTGGATTGGATAGGTCCACTCAGGCGCGTACGCAGGGGGGGGGGGGGGGGGGGGAGTTAACCTCACCTTTTGAATTTTTTTTTCGAATAAATTTCGAGACCAAAAAAAAAAAAAAAAAAATGTCCTCTTACCCCCCCCCCCCCCCCCCCCCGCTTATTCAGCGGTCGGCTGAGTCGTTGCGATTTTGGGGGGACAAAAAAAAAAGAAAAAAAAGTGTCCTCTTATCCCCCCCCCCCCCCCCGCTTATTCAGCGGCTGGCTGAGTCGTTGCGAAATTTTCGGACCGATTTATAAATGTTAACCCCCCCCCCCCCCCTTCAAAAAATCCTGCCTACGCGCCTGGGTCCACTTATTGAAAACATAAATACTCCGAATTTTACTGCAACGGACTATGGACATATTACCCTTCTGACATATTCTTCTCTTTTTAAATAAATCTCGCTGCTTGAAAATACCATTGATTTGCCCATAATTGCGCATGTTGATTCGTAGAGACGAGCAAGGGTGGGAGGCTGCTGCACAAGTACCCTCCTAAATGGCTTTCTAATTATTGCTTCAAATGACCATAACGATTTTGATAGGTAACTTGAAATAAACCTAACAGAGGTCTTTTTTGTGAAGAAATGAAAAATGCAATGATGTATATGCGCTTTATAGAAGTGTCTTAAAGGTTCAAAGATTATCTTGCATAACACTTGAAAAGAATTGTGACATATTACCTTAGTTCTCATGAAGATAAAATTCTCACCACACAAGTTAACGATATGCATTTTCTGAATTACTGCAGTTGTACACATAATTCTAATGAACGTGTGGAGTAAATTAAGAAGTCGATGGACAACACGTATTAACTGTCACTGACTGTAAATATATTTTCTTATATATCATCAGATCATCAAATGAATTTACCCAGTATATATATTTACCACATATACTTTACTTAATCTATTGCTGTCCTCCCTTTGCAGTTGTTACAAGTTAGACACCGATCTTGCATCCTCTGACGATCTTCATCAGCTAATGAACTAATGCTATAACGTATAGTTTAAACACCTTTACGGCGTCTTTTGGAGGAATCCTACCAAGTACCAAGACAACGAACATCAACATACCCAGCGTCCTCTTTTTCATGATAATTTAGTTGAACATGTAAGAATCTAAAAAAATGAAAAACTAAGTGAGCAATGCAACAAATAAGGATCATCAATTCCTACCAATGTATGTTGTTGGCAAAATAAAAATAATAGACTGTTTGGAAGATTGAATTATTTTTTTCTCCTGCAGTACAAATTGCACAGTGCGGCATACAAGAGCATTTATTATTGAAACATACTCATGCATGTGCACGACCATGAGAAACTGGGTATTAAAATAGAGACGGGGCATTCGAGAGGATTGGGAGAGACCCGAAGAAGATTAGAGAAGAATTGTGATGATGGTGGTGGTAATTGATAGATGATGACGATGGTGATGGTAATGTTGTTGTTGGTTGTGAAGATGATGATATAAAGCTGATGAATTACAGGGATTTTGACGACAGAAATGATAAGCATAGAAAGTCTTCTAGGACCCAAACGTTACCAATAAATGCCACATTAAAATAATAAAAAAAAACATGAACACAAAAGATTAATATAAAATAATGATAGATTTTAAAATCTAGATCGAGTGGTCTTTTTCTGAAATTACATTTCTGATTGATTGCTGTATACCAATTAAATAAGTTATAAATTTAGCAGAATCCTTATTTTGATACCTCAGCGTTTTCCTCTAAAATGGTCTCTATTTTTACCTTGTCACAACCCGATCTTAAATCTCTTATACATCTCCTTTATCCACCCTCTACCTCCTTTTCTTTGTCTCTCCCTCTATCAAATCATCTTTTAGACTCTTTCTTTCAGTCTCCATACAACTCTATTCTCAATAATATTTCTCATAATGTACTTCATACACGTTTACAGTCCCTCTCTTACTCCTTCCTTTACACACCCTCCTCCCCTTCGCCTTCATCCATCCTCCCTTCTCATCTTTCTCCCTCCCTTTCAAATTCCCCTTTGCACTTTAGATCTATGTCTTATGGGGCGTTGCAAGAAAGTTGTGATTGATTGCAAGTTGATATTTGCAATCGATTGCAAAACAACTTTCTTGCAACTAGTCTCCTAAATTTCCTAGGATTTTGTTAGGATTAAAGTTTTAATAATTAGATTAAGTTAACTAGATCTAGCTTTTATTCTCCCCCTTCTCTCTTTCTCTCTCTCTCTCTCTTTTACTAATGGGGTGTTGCAAGAAAGTTGAGTTGCGATCAATTGCAAATTTGCAATTAATCGCAAGAATTACGCTTGATTTTGGGGGATTTGCAATTGATTGCAACTTTCTTGCAACGCCCCATTAGTCAGTCATTTCTCTCTCTCTCACACACACACCATCTCTATTTAGACATGGGGAAGACACAACGGAATCAAAGAAGACGACCATCTTGATCACAGCTAGAACACTTTCTATCTGATATTATTTACAGAGTCATTAATAATTATTTATACATGTAGTGACATATACATTATATTTACAAAACAATAAGTTGCATGACTTCCTGTTGCATCCTTCTCTATATTATCAATATAAAAATATGTCTAATTCATGTCAAAACCCCTGGATTAGGAAGAATAATTTGGGGAGAATGCTATCTGAAGTCCTGAAAATACATGTGTAACCCAATAGATATAAATTAATTTACGATCCAATGACATATTGCTGACGGATCCATAACTTGAAGTCGTTATCACTAACATTCCAATTTGATTTTTGTGTGTGGATATTTTAGGAATCCAATCTATGTTAAAGGTGAAAGAAAGAAAAAAAGAAGAGAAAAATGTTATCACTAACATTCCAATTTGATTTTTGTGTGTGGATATTTTAGGAATCCAATCTATGTTAAAGGTGAAAGAAAGAAAAAAAGAAGAGAAAAATGAGTCATGTACCAATTAAGAAATAAAGAATGTCTTTACCGAATCATTGCCATTAATTCATTGAAAACAAACAAAAGGTCTACCTCTGTTGAATGATATCTACACAGCATTCTCGAAAGGTAATTTGAAGGGGTTTAAGAACTATAGAAGTCTCATTCCAACCAAGCATTTTTTGGGGGTGCCCATTTCAAGTATCCAACAGTCCAGTAAAGAATGCCAGTTATGTGGATAAGCATGCTTTTATAATCATCAATAAAGTTGAAAGTTTTAAATGAAGAATAATGTTCAAGCCTGCCAGCAGGATCACAGGAAGGACTCGGACATCCATGGATGGAGAGTCAATTGACCTCCATGGTTGGGATCAATGAGCTACAAGTCAGGAGTAGTTTTAGATCAGCGGCTCAAAGGTTCCTGATGCCTTCTTTAAACCAGCTTTCCTGCATATAAAAGTAACGAAAACAAAGTGCATTGGTTGATAGACAATTTTCAATAAGATATAACTAGAATTCATACTGCTCACATGCTCCTTCATCTTTTTTTTTTTTTTTTTTTTTGGGGGGGGGGGGGGGGTTCTGCAAGTGATATTCAATGGGGTCAAATATAATAGACTGGCATCTGTGTACATGGTGCAAAAACAGAGTATTACCTTTTTTTGAATGAGTGAAATTGGGGTCAATAAAAGTCCTAAAAGACTCCCATCAAAAATGTTTCCGTGTAAAAATGATCCCTTTTATTACATTACACAGTCATATGGTCATATTTTCGAATGTGCAACTTCTAGTGGATGACAAAAATTATCAGATTTGATGCAGGTCTCCTGAGATGGCTCTCTGATATGATGGGCAGTTAAAATATTCAAAATAGAAATTAAAAAAACTCACACTTCTCTTGCAAAGATGTCTGCTGTGACACGCCCGCGGTCTACCCCAGTGGGCTTTTCATCAAAGTTCTGACAGCCCATGGTTTGCATTGCTGTATGGCACAATGGATAACAGCAACAAGAATTATTAGTGTGTCAACTTATTCTACAACCGATCAAAGCATGTTGTCAAATTTCTGATCCATTGCGATATACATGTCTCCAAATTGTGTAGGTAATCTAGACCATATTTCTTTGGAAAATAATCAAATTTAATTGAAATAATAGATAAATATGTCAGATATTGAGGTACAAAGAGACGAATAAGAAGTAGTATCAGTTGAAGTAGAAGAAAAAGAAGAACAAAATGGGGGGGGGGGGGGGGGAGCATAATCCTTATGGTATACAAATTTCTTCAAAGGAAAAAAATACAAGTCAGTTTGTCTATGTACAATAATGTCTGGGGAGGGGTGGGGTAATGGAGAAAAAAAAATACAAATTTCAAACTTGTTTGTGACACTCATAAAAAATATTCTTGAACAGAGTACTCAGTACTCATTTGCTGAGGGCAAACAGTTATGCTAATTAAAAATATGAACGGTCAAGGTTTCTTTCTTTATGTACACTGCATTTCCCTTCACATCTAGCCCAAGTAAGGAATAGAACTCTTCTCAAGGGCAAGGCACTCAAGAATAACAATCAATGATTTCAAGGAATACCTAAGCACAAAATTACAATCATGTTCTTAACTCACCTTCTCTATACTGCTCAAGTGTAATATGACCTTTCTTGGTGGGGTCTAGCATGCCAAATACAGAGTCAATGTTTGTATCATCAAACAGGCAGGGATAATTCATTTGGGTTGTACGACCTTCTTTCAGCTTGGAGATGTAGTCGATCATAAACGTCTTTGGATTCTCTGTAAAAGCAAAAATGAAACTTGTCTACATAACATAGATCTACATGCACACATCAAGAGAGAGAACTGTATGTCAAGTATTAAATCGATGGAAATGCAAAGACATGTAAACTTTTGTTTTAGCAATGACATGTCAAAATGCCACACTGCCATCTATTCTCGTGACAGTTAGATCTACATAACATTGTTTCAATGTTTGTAGGCGAATTTCGACACAATTTTCGGCACACTCACTCTCTAGAAAGACTAGAATATGAGAATAATATGTGATCAATTATTAGGGAAATACAAGTGATAATCTCGTTACTTCCAAGCGAAATGTTAGGCGCCCAGAAATAGGTTTCCCCTTTAAGTTCAAGGCTAGCTCCCTTTATAAGAATGTGAGTAGCTTTTATTGACATATACTACATCGAATTGAATAGATGGGACCGTAATAACTTACCCGGTCTGTGAAATACAAGCTGGCTGGTGATATTATGAAACAACTCAGGTATCCTGTGTGTATCAAGATACTCATTCGTTTCAGTCTCTCTTGGTGTCGTCATCTTGATCTCTTAATGAAGAATTTCTATTACTAATAAGACGCTGACAGACGAACAAAATATAATTTAATTGGAATAGTTTGTTGTCTCCGTTGTCAAGAACTGTACCCTACTTCAACAGATGGCGCTATTCCCCTTCCGCTTCTGCATCCGTCTAGCCATGGGGAGATTTTGGAGGGTCAAAAAGTGTACGCTGCTTCCACTTATCGTGTATTAGCCTATGAAGACGACAAATGTTTAGTGCACCAGCGAAATGGGGATTTTGGACTGCGCGCAGCGCGCAAAATATTTAAATTAAAATTTGGAATATTCATGAGCTCTTTTCCACTTATTAGCATATTATCGCAATGAAAAAAAGACAATGCGCATGCGTTACTATATCGACAGAATCCTAATTGGGCCGGATAAAATAATGTAGAACAAAGGTCAGAGTTGGGGATGTGTGTGGGGAGGGGGGGGGGGGGGGGGGGGGGGGGGGGGGGGGGGGGGGGGGGGGGGGGGGGAGGGGGACTTTTAAATGGTTGACTTAGTTGGGGCCACAAACTTCACTGTCACCAGGATGGAAAGTACATTTTTAAAAATTTAGTTCAGTTAAAAGGCAAAAATAATGACCCCATTTCACTGTGGTACCTCAATTCATTTTTTACCTCTTTTTTTTTGTTCGTTTATTAACTTAAATATTTTTTAAATCAGACAAATTGCACTGATCATTTAGCCCACTTAACAAGTGATATTTTCATATTTTTAGTGTCCAATTAATGAATCATTCTCACCTCGACTTCAATGATCTTCATATTGTGCCCCATCCCCAATGAAATTTCAATTTTGTCTCGTTCTTTTCATTCTTGCATTCGTCGCCACTGATTTTTTTTTAATTCCCCCCCCCCCCAACAGTAACATTTTCAATACAGGGACCCCTTCTAATATTGACATTTCCATAGGCTCTATTACCCCAATTACGTATGCTTTCATCATTTTGGCATCGACTTATTCTTTATTTAACCCCCCCCCCCCCTCATCTTTATTGTAAACCATTTTTTATACTGCATTTATACATTAGTCTTGCCCACTCTCGTTACATTTCCGCTTTCTCTCTCATTAGGAAAGATGGTTTAATCTATCTCGCTGATGCCAGATATAAACAAACATCAAAAGGTCGAACACCATACTCAATTCTACACAAGACTGCATCAGCCCCCATCTCACCTCAGTCATACAGCATTATCATTACAGAGTGCCTACATCATCATAATCACCAGCATCATCACATATATTTCACAAAATAAGAAAATGAAAAGAACAGAATTCAGCAGTATTAACTGATTTATTAACATTTATGAACTCATTTATCAACATATTTTGTTTCTATAAAGTCTTTTTAAATCCAACATGACATCAACAAAAGGATGACAAATGGATGGGGGGGGGTGCTGTCTCTTGAATTCAAATCTTTCAGTTGTAAAAATTTACTGTAGATTTTGAAGAAAAAAATATTCAATAATATCAACATGCTATTTTATTATGTAAAGCACAGGTATAGTTTTATGAGTACTTTATCTTACATTGGACATTATTGTTGTTGTTTTTACTACTACCTGTATTATCATTATTATTACTGCTATTATCATGATCATTGTCATTATTGTTACTATTTTTAATATTGTTATTATTAATATTAATTATATTAATACAGTCTTACTATTGAACTACATCATTTTATTCCCCCCCCCCCCCCTTCAATTTACTATCCAGTTCAGCATCCCTCATATTTTTGTCAGAACTTGACTTAAGATTAAATATCGAAAAACTATGTTACATGTACACGCATTTAAAAGAACAAATGATTACTTTCATGATCCTCGATATATCTTCTTCTTCTTCTTCTGGTAATCTTCAAAAGGTGTTGTAGCCTATCACGAAGATGAACTAATACTAAAGATTACAAGTGGTGTGAGGAAGACAGATTGTTTCTAAGTGGGATAAGGAGAGTAGATGCCTCAGAAGTAGTCCCTGGCAGTTCTCTGGACTGTCAGCATGCACTATATTTGCTAGAAGTCAGTTCCATTAACTTTGGGACAGAGTGTTGGGCAAATACAAACTTGTCTACCTATGTCGCTTCTGGCTTGGTGCAACTGGAGGGTCATGTCATGGTACTTCCTGCTCGTGATTTGTTAAAGCCCGTCTGTACTAGTTTGGCCAGGGGGATAAGACCACCCTGCAAGGTCACTGACAAGTGGTTGTCTCATCAAATCAGCTCTCAATTAATATAAGAAAAAGAGGATCATGGGGGACCAACAGGCACAGATGAGCCATATAGAGGGCGCAAGTAGCTATAAGTAGTGCAGTGGGAAAATTTTCAAGGAAGAGCGGAGAGACCATTGACTATCTTGTGCACCATTCCCAGTCTTCTTGCAGAGTGCCTTGTAGTTGTAGATATAGTAGGCAACTAAAAGGTGCTGATCATCTCAGTCAAACTGCTGCTTCTCTTGTGGTCCCCATTGTGAAGTAGCGTCCTGGACATCTGAGATGTTGTAGGGATCCCAGACACCGGAACAGTTCTCAAGATGAGGGTGGACTAGGGACTTGTACAAAAGAAGCCTGGGTATTGAACCTTCTGCATGGGACAACCTGAATAATAAAAACAAAAAGAGAGGAGAAATCAAATAAGATTAAAACTGCTGCATTAAATTTGATTTTCAAAAATAGTACCTCCCCACTTTTTTTAGGTCTTGCATTTTAATTTTATTAAAAAATGATAAACTTATGTCTATCTGATAGGGCCTTTTTTGAAGAGAAGAGCAAAGGTTTAGATGTATTTCCAATTATTCTAAAAGTAATTTCCAATTTATTTTAAGTTATTATTTGCTAGACTTTTGTGAACAAAAGTTTGTTAGATATAATGTAATATTTAGGGGAAAATGCCTTTGAGTATGTCTTTTAATATGCTGAGAGAATAAACTGTAGCAACACCATAGTTTGTCATCTAAATAAAGCTAGAGAATAAATGAGAATTACAAGATATAATGCAACACAAGATGACAGTTCCCCAAATCTGTGTATATAGTCCAAGTCAAGTGCGGTGTTCGCATGGGCTTAGATTATACAGCCTGAATATTTTCGAACTTCATACAAACATACCTTGCTAGAGTTCAACTTAGGTGTCTTGATCCTGATTAGATCTAGATCTACACCATAACATTTGATGATCAGGTCCTGGTGCTCTTTGTTGCACTTCTGTGATCATTATCTGCTTCTTTGTTCCATAGGATCTACAATTAAAAGAAAACAGAAACTTAGTAAGGTTCCTGCTAATGTTAAATGCATGCATTAGTTATCAGTTTATAACTTTGTTCATGTCCTTTAGAGAAAGAAATATCCATGTCATATGTAGGGTTGGATCCAGAATTCTCACCAACATAAAAGGGGTGGCATAACATCCTGAAAATAAACCAATTATTTCAAACAAGGCACAATGACATAACTAAGAGCGAAATCAGGGGAAGTGGGAGGGGGGGGGGGGGGGGGGGGGGGAGAGATACCTTTTTTGTTTTGTTTTTGTTGTTGTTGGTAGATCTAGCCTAGATCTACATTCAAACTAAGCTGAATCTGGACCTGGATCACAATAATGACACATGCGCACGACTAGTCTAGTACTACTAGTAGTGGAGCAAAAACGAGCCTAGACCCATGGCTATGGAAGTCTTTGCTAGGCTATGGCATAACACAAGCTATAGATCTAGATCTAATTGCCTATTTTTATATTATTAGTAGACCCTAGGGCCAGTAGGGGGCTCTAGACCTAGATCTAGACCCGTCCCAATGCCACATCTGAATAAAGGGGCACAGAATGATTGTGCACCTCCCCCCCCCCCCCCTCCATTACTTCCACATTGACCCACCTAAACCAGGCATTTATTTAGTCTTTTTTTATTAGAATGCATTAGGCCTAGATCTAGGCCTAGAATCTAGCCCTAGATCTAGGCCTAGAGTCTATACTAGATGCGGGGTTAAATGCTGTTTATACTTGTCTTAAGTGCTAGATCTAGACTAGACTCTAGATCTAACATATTAACAGTTAGACCTAGCCTAGCCAAGGCCTAGGCTCTGCTTAGCCCGAATTTTTCTGTCTCTTTCGTTCGTTAGCCTCTGATTTGGGTAGGGTCGGCTAAAGAGAGGAGCCGACCCTACCCAAATCAGAGGCTAACGAACGAAAGAGACAGAAAATTCAGGCTAGACTATGATATGTATACTAGTACTAGCCTAGGGCTTTACAGTAGATCTAACACATAGACTTATCGCCGCGCCAGGTCAGGAAACGCAGTCGCTTCTTGGTGGAGTGTTACAGCCGTCTAGCACCGGCGAATTGAAAATCATAAACCGCTCGACGAGATCTCGTCGGCTTGGACTAGCAATGAGCCATTTGCGCAGTCTACAACAGGTCCACATCTACGACCGATTACTATCGGTAATCAAGCTATGAACTGAACTTAAAATTATGAGATGTGCTCTAATGAAATAACCTACGGTAAAATCCTGATTGTTTCTAAAAATATTACCGTCGATGACTTATATTAGAGTTCATTCAATCAGTTAATATTCTTTGGTCAGAAGAAAGAAAAGAGGATGGGGTAGGGGGTTAACCGGGTAATACGTTGTGACAATGCGGAGAGCCCCTCACTGCAATGACGAACACATCACAATCATTTCAGAGACCTTCACACAAAATGGATCTTTACTTACTTTTCTTGATATCATAGGGTATCACTTCGATGTCAATGTTCGCCTGAAGATTTTCTGCTTCCCTGAGATGTACTTGACAAACTTCTATTATAATAGAAATTCACTTAAAAGAAAAATGTTTCATTGTTCGTAATTGAATAACTTGAAAGTTGCAGTTCATACAACCGCCATTTTCGTGCTCAAATCGTAGGGAATTCTGGGAATGCAAAAAATGTTTTATGCATGACCTAATACATAAAACATTTTGTCGATGGCCAATCAACAAACAGTAGTTGGCGTATTTTTTACGTCATTGCTCATGAATATTCATTGACCCTCCAAAACCGTCGTTCAAATCGGACAAAACCCCCATAATGCATCCAATGCAAAACCTATGGAATGTCAAAGGTCACGATTTTAGTTGGCCCTCTAGTCCTCCTACGGAGGACATACTGTGTATGATCGAATCTCTTTGTTTTTTTCATAGTACATGTACGATCGAATCTCTTTGTTTTTTTTTCTCTCGAATTATTCGCTCTGACTTACAAAAAAATATGATTTCTGCCCCGCGATTTTCTTCATCTATTAATAGGGGTACTATCTAAACAAAATCTCATGATATGAGTAAAAGTTATGTTAGAAATTATCAATCTTCGGCCTCCTAGTAATCATGAAAATCCAACAATGGTAAATAATCACCCGGACCCCTCACCCACTCCAAAATTTTCGGTAAAGAGGTACTTTTCACGCCACAAGGTCGGCCCGTAATACACAAAATCCGGCCCGCATTGACTTTATACACCGGAGATAGGATGGGGTGCTTTCAAAGGGAGTGAACATGCACACCCGTATCCTAAATAACCTGAGTTATCAGTACCAGTATTGTCTTTTTAGTCGTTTTACGGAAAATGTGGGAAGAGATAGAAAGAGAAAGAGAGGGAGCGATAGTTATCGAGCGGGTGGGGAGAGAATGAGACAATTAAGAGAAATAAGGAGGTGAATTACTTAAGAAGAAGAAGGAAAAAGGAGAAAGAGAGAGAGAGAGAGAGAGAGAATTCGGATTAAATGAGGCAAAAACAACCAAATATTAGATATATAGGGGGGATTTAATATACCCAATACGGTGAGTTCAGTGATATCAACAAGTAAGCCCATCGTGTTTCTCAGATTTAATCCAAGATAATGTCTAAGCACATATCTAAATGATATCCTCATCATATTAATAGGCGTATAGGGACGAACATTTTTCACGCATTTTGCATCCAATTTGTGAATTGGTCAGAAAGATGAAAAGCAAGCAAGCGAGTATCATTAAGACAAGAACATTTCTTAATCAAAGTATACAGAGAGATAATATACAAAAAATACGAATAGATCATCTCTCTGCCAGAACATGGCAGGGCGATTGCCCGAATACCTGCAACTCCAAAATTATCAAGGTGGAGCACCCCTCCCCCTCTTTCTACGCTCATCTTTTGATTATGTATGATGTATCTTTAAATGAATCACGTCATTGTGATGTTTCGGACGGTGGAAAAACAATATGCTACAAATTAATTAAAGACCATGATGTAGAAGTCCAAACATATCAGAGACTTCAACGATCTGAGTCTAATTAATTCGAAAATGCAACTTTGATGAAAAGACGTTGAACAGTTTATGATTTATATTTTTATTAAATTATCATTGATTTACTGTATTATAATGTTAACTCAGCCATTTGGCAATCCACATGTTTCCCTTTTCTTCTAGTTTGTTGCCTTATAACCATCTACCTCTCCTTATTCATCCGTTTTCATCCCCACCCCCGTCAATTTCACTACTCCCATTATGACGGTCTATATTTAAAATAACAGTTATTAACCAATATAAGGCATAAAGGCGATGATAACGAATCAAGCTGCATGCACTTCAGCGTTATCTCAATATCAGGTGGCACGGCGTAATGGAAGTATTCTTACACCTGAAAGACAGTGTCATTTCATTTCACACTTAAGGGTGCCGCGAACGCAAACGTTCAATAAAGGTATCATCCTCAGGATCTTTCTGAAAAGCTCTTGTATCTCCATCCTTCTCTCAGGGGGATCGACCCGTGGTACATTTGTGATTTTGCCTTTTATTAAAGCTGTATTTGATTCCATCTGGAGTTGAAGGGATACGTTCGATTAGGCGTTGCAAATGCCAACCCTGGATGACCGAGTTATCAGTGACATAGCTAGATTCAGTAAAACTGAAATAAACATTTCACCATGCAGTCTTTCTTTAAACAGTAAGTTCTACATTCATTTCAAAAAGTGCAGTTAAGGATTGTTCAACGTTCAACAGCCTCTTATTAATAGTGTTAATAAACTTCTTCATAAGAAGAGTGATTGAATTCAAGATGGCGAGTAGTAATGAGATGTCTAATGGAACTATGATGTCTGTCATCTCGGAGTACTCAAAGTTACATCTCTCCATCGCTGTGGTGTGTTTATGTATCGTAGCCGTATTAGGAGTTGTTGGAAATTGCTTAGTTTTAGGAGCAATTATGATGTCTAGGAAACTACAAACCAAGACAAACTGCTTCATAGCAAGTTTAGCGGTCTGCGATTTACTATCCTCTCTGACTCTCCCTGGGCAAATCGTCGTGATCATGAACATGATTAAACATGACACCAACGTGTCCTCGGCGACTCTCAAACTTATCTTTTCTGCTCTTAATGTTGTCTGTATCTCGTGTAGTATTCTTACTCTGGCGGTTATCGCTCTGGAACGCGTCATCATTGTTACAAGACCACGGGAACTCTATCGCCGATTGTTCTCCCCCAGAAATATAGCCGCCATCATTGTCTTTACTTGGGCATTCCCACCTCTTGCTATTATCATGATCGACGTCCCAAAGCTGGACAACATCGACCACTACATCAACGCACACACATGCATGATCAACGACGGCGACAACAAGCTCCATCTTTATGATGTCATCGCCTTCATCAACACCAACTCCGCCATCTTCATCATTTTGATTTGCTACTTGCAAATTTATCTACACGTAAAGCGTCATCGTCGTACCTTAAGGAAGAAAGAAACTCACCAGTTTAAGTCCATGCCATCCTCTTCTGTGCTAGTCAGTTCGAATTTTTCTGCAAGTTCGTCCATTGGTTCCCCTGTTGCTGACATAAAAACACTAGCTAATTCACATGATAACGAAAAGGATTCTTCTGAATCCATAGACCAGACCTCAACAGGTCTTCAGTGTTCATCTACAGAACCACATAGACTGTGCAAAGCCTGTGGATGTGTGACGGATGTTACGAGCAGAGATTCGCCATCACAAATCAATGGAATTGGCTCATTGGCATCAGCTAGGAATGGGGAGTTGGTGGTCGCTACAATAACAACGAGGAAGTTGGTGGTTCCTGGAACAAACTTGAGTCCTCCTCTTGTCAAGCCCTATGTAGCCAGTGAAACTAATCACCAGTTACCACATACGTCACCCGGTGAATGTAACATACAAGACAAAAGTGGCAACATTTATTTACAAGTACCACCGTCATCACTGACTAACAAGCACCCCAGTAGTGTAAACGCGAATCTTATGACACAATGTCCTACATCGTACCGTTGTGATTTTGAAAGCGATTCCTCCAATATCAACGTGACTGATTTGTTGGAAGATGAAACTATCTTGCCCAACATGCCATTCCCCATATTGGTAGATGCTCCCAGCACGAGCCAAACAAGCACCCCAGCACACATCCTGGGAGCACTCAACAAACCTAAAACATGCATCAGTACACTCTCCATCCCAAGAACACCATCGATGACCGGATCTAGTGCCGACTTGTGTCAATCCATGTTTAATCGTCGCTCCAAAAATCGGAAAAGGGATGAAATGGCGATCACAAAGAACCTCCTGATGGTTGTCTTTGTATCCTATCTATGCATCATGCCCGAGATGGGATGTCTCTTCGTCCGATTCATTCACGGTCCCGTATGTGCCTGTCTGTATTCCTTCATCATTCTTGTCTGTAACCATTGCATCAATCCCTTCATTTACGCCTATCGCCATCCCATATTCAAACCTGTCATGCAATGCCTGGTGAAAATGAAGCTGTCAGACATTCCAGAACCATCTCGATGGTTGAGGCGAGCCATTTCACGACATCAGTGATGTCCGTTACGATGTCAGTGATATCAATATTTAAAAATAACTTTTTAATTCTATTAAGCTGTTGTAAAAGCAGAGCAGTGGTCTCGTAATCAGGCGACCCGAGTTTGAAAACAAGTCGATGCGCTAGTGCCCTTTGGTAAGGCGTTAATCCTCATTACCGGGTCCCTCGGAGACGACCTAAAGCCGTCGGTCCTCTGGTTGCTAACTAACAAGCATGCTTTCTTATAGCAGTCAGGTAAAATAACCACCACTAAACTACCAAACGTCAACATCAATAGCGCTGACATTGCCTCTATATTAAAAATGAAATTTTTATGGAGAAACCCCCTTAGCTTTTACAGCACATATGTTTTGATGTTATCCTTTCAGAGTTTCAGGCATTATGAAACTGAATACGATAGAAATTAATGGATAGAAAAAGAGAACCGTGAGTTACAACATTGTGCTCATTAATTTTTGGCTTGGACAGGGGCGTCAATTCATTAAGGGGGGGGGGGCGGAATATAATTATGAATAATTGAAGTTAAACGCTCCATAATGGAACGCACGGTTAATTTTTAAACTCTTGGGGATGGGGCATTGACTTGACTTGGAAATTGAAAAATTGTCACACAAACCAATTAAATGATGCATATTATCATGTAAAATATACAAACAAATAAAACCAGGCAATAGTGGTGACGGATTGTGGATATGGAATTAGAATCAAACCTGCATGAAATATGCCATTCCTAAATTCTCTGAAAAGGGGGAAATTGAAGCCTGATATTGACGACGATCAATGTAAAATTCGCCTACATGGACAACTTTTTAAAGGAAATAGTCATTTTGTTCAATTATATTAATATCGTTGATAGTTTTTCGTCTAGTTATCTTTTTCCACATTAAAACACGAAAATGACTTTTGGTGTTGAAATAAATATTTAATAAAAGAGCTGTAAGGCAGCCGCATAAGGGAGCTTTTGTTGGGTACGCCTGAAAGATAATGACTTGTATTGAATTTCATAATTTCCTTTTTGGTTTAAACCATCATTTCCCCAAATATTGATTTAAACACTTGAACTATGCTTTGATTGTACAGCCGTCTAAGGCAGGGTGGAAAGAGGACTAACTCTCAAAAGGGGAAAATGTTAAATTGATATTGTCATCTCACGATCGGATTGTCTTTTACATGTATCCACGAATTGGGACTGGATCACAATCACTACTTATTATGATAGGACAATAATAGGTTGTGGTGCATTTCGGTTCGTGTCATATTGTCTTTAGGACTGCATCACAATCACTACTTTTTATTATGGTGCAATATTGGTTGTGGTACATTTCAGTTCGTGTCGTATACGCAACAACAACAGTCTGATTTTAAAGTTAATTATGAAAAAGAAATAAGAGTGGTCATGAAGTCATGCGGGTCTATCAAAAATGCCCTTTATCTGATATAAACGATTAAATCCAGGGAAAGCACACTTAAACTGGTCTGGGTACAGAATGAGGTTAGAATAACAACAACGACAGCAAAAACAAACAAAAAACGCAAAACCCGAGCAAGGCAAAAGAAGGGGAAAGGAGTCGTAATGAAAAAAATATAGAAAGCCACCCTGAGGCCTACACCCACAGCATGATCTTATATGCCAGTGAACAACTAGAGCTGAAAACAGTGATTGATGCAAAGAAAAATAATACGATTAGTATGAATAATTAATCATGAAGCTTAGCAAGAGAACTTCCTTTAAAAGCTATTTTGCATTCGTGGTGTATCTCATTTACAAGTGGTATAGGAAAGCGCATTAATCATCTCGGAACGGGTATAATAAGATTTTTATTACAGCGGGAATTACAAGTCACCATTTCTAATGCAAAATGTATTAAATTTTCATTAAACTAATACACATGTATCAATTTTATCGTCAAGTTTGGCTTATGTCTTATTTATGAGGGTGTTGTCATTTCTGTGAAACGGATAAAAAGAGATTTTTTTCTTTCAATTTTTAACCTTTGTTTTAAAGCTTTCTTGTCATTGATTCAAAAGCGAATTCCCGTTTCCATGGTTACCTCCCAATAATATCTTTCCCCAGAGGGACATGGCCTTTATCATTGCAGCAATGCATTATCGGCTAATGAGTATTTCGTGTACTGTTTGCCGACTTGTGATATGTTTGAATAAATTTGGATTGACTATATTTCCTTTTTCATTCCGTACAGGTGTTGAACAGATTTTAAAGAATAGATTTGTAGCTCCAACTAAATAAGACCTTCCTTGAGGTGACGGTGAAATGCAAAGATAATTTTTTTTTTTTTTTTTTTTGTAATTAGTAATAATTATTACATAAACAGTCTGCATTTTAAAAAGCGATTGAAAAGAACGTTTCAAAGAGAATGCGTGTGAGTTACTCAATTGGTTTTTATATTGTCTACAATAAATCTTGCATTCGTGTAGTAAACATAAAGTAATTGCCGGAATATTGATGGGTTGCACCGTTGCAGTAAGAGTGCATAATATGTGTCACCGATTCCTCTTGGCGTGCAATTTCAAGGAACACAGTAACTAATGGTTCCAGGCTCAGCGATTCTTTACGCTTGATGTCACTTTTCTGGAGATAAGATGCCAAATTTTGGAGTGGAGAAATAAAACACCTATTTATGTATAAAGCTGAAATGATTCTGTTTTGGATATATAGGCCTGTTTAGAATAATCAATTTTGTGACAATCCGGGTATTGTAAATATTATTATGTATTGATAACTTGATATCAATGTTGTATTGTATTGATGCGGTTGTTAATGAAATGTATTTCGTTTGGCATATACTTTACATGATCCATGTCATGAAAAGCTAAGTGCACTTGCATGCCTTCAATCACGATAATACGTCTGTTATTAAATATCATGTGTAAAAATACAATTGGATCTTTTTTAGTAGACATTTATGTGTGTGCGTGTAATAAAAATACCCTTAGAAAAATAATAAGACTTTATTTTGCTTGACTTCAGTTTGAATTTGTTTTATTTGACTTTAAAAACAAAATCACAACATTTTCATATATCATTGTATTCGTTTCACGGCCCCTTTGTAAACCAGTCCAGTTGCTGAATATATAATTCTTTTTACCGTGTTTTACATAAATCAATCACCAGTAACAATTTCGGCATATTCACTCATTATGATCAAGATGTATTGAAAATGGTGTGTGCTATGACGAATATGAAATAAAGCCTTCTATTTATCAATTTAATATCGTCGGATAGATTTGTGAAATTTGGTTTATGAAGTGGTTACTTTAATAATAATAGATTCTACTTCTTAAAAAAGAAACAGCTGAAATGAGTTAAATTATACGAGCATTGTAATAACCTTAACTGCTATACCAAAACGTTTAGAAATCTTTATTTATTTAGAAGGCTATTATTCTTATAATATCAAAGTCTTGTTTATTTCAACCTCTTTGCCACCATTTCATGTCAATGAATTTCCTTTCAATTATGTTAGAACGCATGTTTTCCAAGCAAAGCCACACCAAAGATAAACAAATTTTCCAAAGTTGTTATGATATTCGCAAACTCATGAAATGTGATCTCCATTTCAACTGCCATTAATACAATAGAAGCAAAAGAAGTAATCATAGAAACGCAATGATATAGGGAAAGAAAAGAAACAACAAACAAAAACAAGCATAATAATACAATTTTCAGGCAATAAGCAAACCGGTGTAAATAATTGACACGCGTGATGTAAGCATTGAGTTCGTCTTCAATGAATTATGTATGGAAGAGAATATTACTCGGAGACAATGTAATTAAAGTTATTATAGTTACTGAGATCAGCCGACCAAACCGAATGACCAACCCAATGATAATTGAACGTCGTTAATAAGAGTAATGAACAAATACGATTCTTGCGAGTATATAGGAAAAGGATAATTGCTCTCTCTGAGGAAGAATGACTTGACGTAAAGATGTTTTGTGTATTACGACCAATCTCATGAATCTTTAAGGACATTTCCAAAAGGTCAATATATTTCTAGCTATCTAGATCTCTAACATCGGTAGAAATAGGCAAAATTGTACTAATAATACTGCTAAAGATTTTTCATAACATGTTTACATTTCGTGCGTTTCCACCACTTAATTAAAACTTTCGACCTTGTAGAATTTTCCTTCACTATGTTTTACGATTAGAATCTTATTTATTGACATAATAGTTTGGATTTGAAGGTGGTATTATCATCATAACTGGGTAAACCAGCTATTCACAGAAGCATCATAAAATTGTAAATACAATTGGTATTGATAAGAACAGTAGCATCTACATAAAGATCCATTTCAACAAAGCTCTGATGTCAGAAGATGTAATGAGAATCGATTTTTAGCATCAATTAAAAGCACAAATAATCTCCATCATCAGATCGCGAGTATGAATGACAAATGATTAATGATGGTTGAGAAATTTCATCTTTTCTGCGCTTAGTATGAAAGGAGTGATTAAACATTGAAAGACAAAATGATGAATTATGGTTGAGAAATTTCATTTTTTCTGCGCGTGCAAACACTCGAGTTGGTGTGGCGTCTTGGAGTCTATTCCTCGAGAACTGCAGTAGGCGTGTATATGCTTTCTTCGATTGTATGACCTTCTATGTGTTTAGATGAGCTTGATTGAAATTGTGTGTGATCATTGTTAGACTCAATGCAGGCTGCACGACTGCATATTCTGTTCACTTTGTAGAGTCAGACTGCTGCTAGTAAGCTAATGAAAACACCATCGTGTCTTTTCATGTGTGCTTTTTTTTGTCATTCGTTTTCAGAAGTCAAATTGAATTTTATCCACCATTATTTCCAAGGATTATGATATAATGCTGCATGCGCAACATAAAAGCCGTATAGTCCTTGACTCCCTGGTCGAAATTAATGGCAAGACGCAAGACGCTTCTGCCAAATCAATGATAACTGACATGAAGAAAAAAATAGTAATAAGAGTTTTCAGCATTAAAGGATGTTTCTCTCGATTTGCCCGACACAGTGTATGATTCTGAATATCGTTAATAAAAGGGCAAATCATAAAAGCTGCGTAAAAAATTGGGTCAGAGGAAAGAGTGATGGTCATGAACCGAAAATATCCTATCAGACTTAATGTCATATCAGCTAGTAGCTTCAGACAACCTCTGCTTAGAGATATACTGACACACAATACAGTGATATTTGTTAAGACTTTAAACGGAAGTCAAACGGAGAGGTAGAGAGACAAAGATAAGGAGATATACAAAACATAGCGTCTCATAATTATTATTAGGAGAGACAATTAGACGGGAGGGTATATCATTATAAATTATAAGGTTAGCGAAAATGTACAGAAACTCACTAACCTGACCATATCAATACATATCATGCAGGTATTGCAGAATGTAAGTTAGGAGTGAGATAATAAAATGTTGTATGTCTGTTGATATATTCAATTGGAAGACGTCAATAACAAAAATGTTCCGGTAGAAAATCACGAAAGTGTTTCTCACGACCTAGAGTTCGAAATTTACGAAATTTTTTTCTTTTAGAAGGCAACCACACAGGAGCTAGAAAAAAATACTTTAAAAATCAGAAATATACCACCAAAACAATCAAGCTATACAAACTAGACAGGATTAAGCAGTATCTCTAATTCATCCGTTTATTTTTAAATCTCTGATTAATTGAACACTCGTTTGTCATTCTGTGTATGAGGGGGGGGGGGGGAGGGTGGCACTCATTATATGTGGAATTCTAGGTGGAGGTTAAGCGCCAGCAATGTTATTTTCGAGCCACTTAGTGGCAAGGAGAGATGGGGGCGGCTTTGTTTTGCCCCCATTTAAATATTGCAGGAGTTTGCCCTCCGACTACCTTTCCACGTCCAGTACCCATGTTTATAGTCACACCAAGTCCTTTTTAATCATAGACCACCAAATTGCCGTGAATGAAACATTACTTCGCTATTTTTATGGACCTTAACTTTAAAGGACCAATACACATGTATGACATGATTTGCTATCATTTCTTAAAGTATGTTCCATCATTAAAAAAATAAATATCTCTTGGAAGTTGAAGAATCGTAAGACTACGAAATTTTCGAAGATACTATTTTGTTATAGCTTTGTTTAAGAACTTATCTATTATAATTATGATATCATAACAAGACTCTGTGAAAATTCAAATTAGTTTTACTATCTTATTGAATCATAAAAAATACTGTATAGCCAATGTGTGACACGGTTCACGGAAGAATATCGGTTAGTGGATACGAATAGGCCTCCCATCTGCTCTTGTAAGTATCTTTTTTTTGTAGACCACGCCCACAAAAGAAAAATAGTGGGTACCCCCGTGCGCTAACATGACCCAGAATATAATATAGCCTTTTTATATTTATCAGTTTATGATCTAAACGTATCATGGCCACAAAATGTTGCGCGTGTTTATCTTTGCTAAGAGCGAGCAAACAAGCGGCCATCTGAACACGAACTGGGTTTGCGTACCCCTCGCGAGGCGGATCGAGGTGCCAAGTACCCCCCTTTTGTAATCCTTTCATCCATACATAATACAAATCATCGCCGATGCAATATTGATAAAACTCCACTATGTGTGTCAGTCTTGGTCTGACCTTTGTTCTGGCAACTTCATCTAAAAGGGTCACAGTATCTCTTCTCCACCATCGTCTACTGAACCTCTCTCGGTCCACCAGTCTTCGGGGAACCAAACTTTCTTACCGTCTCTCGGAATTTTCCGGATATGAGAAGTCATAACTCCTGAGCCCTGCCATAGGTAAGAACACAGTGGTTTTTGGATTAAAGTTTCATATTAGCTTGGATTTATTAGACTTCCTTCTTTCTTTTTCGATGTCATTAATAATTCATTCATTTTGTTTTTTCACCGCTTTTGATTTTTATACAGCGGAAATGAAATGGTATATTATAAAAGATAAATATGTTTTAGTAATCCTTTGGATATAACTTTTACAGTGACTCGGAAATATTAAAATTGCATCTTCGTTTTTCTTTCATGAATAATTGACTGACCGCCGTTTCATTTTTTTGTTTACTAGTGAGCCTCTTATATATCCTGTAAAATATCTCAAATGATGATTATATATTGATGAAACCTGTTTATTCGTACTATCTGTTACCATGTTTTTTTCAAAATCATAATGACAGAACTTAATCTGGTTAAAGCTGATGGGTAAATGCTACTTAAGCCTTTTTTTCTCGAGAATTATTAGCTGCAAATGTCAAAATAGAAACAGTTATGGAAGTAAGACGAAAATGATAAATTGATAATGGGGATCATGGTAATGGAAAAATGAAGGAATCGTGCTATTTAGTCCTCTAAGTTTGATGAACGTTAAATTAAAAAAGCGAAATACACGAATTTCAGCTGAAAATGTACCATGACAATTTTGGAAAACCGATAAGTAATAGTTTTGATCCTTTGAGAGCATTTCAAATCCCACTTATTTATTCACCTCAACGACAGTACACGAAATTTTAACTGGCGGAGTTTTAGATCATATTTCTTTATTTTTTAAAACATTAAATATCATAAAGAAAATGGAAGATGTTCGAAATCTGTTGAAACTTTGATTAATAGGTAATATAATTTGTTTTACCTAACCAATATGTCAGATGATTCACTCTGAATGTCATCAGGACAAATTTCTATCCCACCGACCGACTACTCACTACTGAATTAAAATAAGAAAAAAAATACATAACTATTCATGTTCAAGCCCGATACATTTTCGTGAATAGGCAAAGAATTATTAATTTAGACTGAACGTCCAACTTTTTATACCATTTAGATAAGCGTAAAATGCAAAACAAAATCACTACTAACCTCAGAATGGATGGCATAATAATCACACAGCGTATTCATTTACACACTTTTAAAAAAATTTAGTTTTAAACTTTATCAATTTCATAAAATTGTTATCAATCTTCAAACTCCCGTTATGTTCAAATACTGATAACATAGTATGAAGCTACTAAGGATAACATGAGAAACAAGGCAACTTGCTATGCCATTATGTTCTGTTCCTTTCTCAGTGATAATCCATTATCCTAGTTATATTATATTATGTAGAATACTTTTGGAGTTCTTGGATAACTCCATAAAGGCTAATGACCATAATGTAATTTTGTTACATGGTTTGATCCTGTAATTGTGAGCGACAGATACAATATAAATATAAGGCAACTATATTATTTCAATATTAATCTCTTAAGCAAATCAAACATATATTTCTTCACAAAAAGAATGATCAACGTATATCATTGAGTAATATAAGTTTTAGAATGTCTAAGATTTCTTCCATCATTTTACTTCCAGTTTGCAATCATCTAATAAACGAATTGTAAAAATTCTATATACGGCGTGATGTGAGTTTAAGTTGAAAGAGATATCAGTATTACCTTGATATCTTTACCAATCAGGAGACCAATCGTCCAATTAGTGATGTATTCATAGATAGATAGATGAATTGACAATAGCTAAAGATATGAACATCAAATACTTTGGGCTATCAAGGTTAGGTAAATACATCTTTATTTGGGCACGATGAATTGTATCGGTCAAGACAACACTGCCGAATGGACGCTATTCAGTCAGAAACAAAAGCATGAACCAGTTTATATTTGATGGAATATGTCTATCATTTCCGGCACAAAGCACAGTTTTGAGTCTACATTTTCCCGAAACAACCGAGTGAGAAAGAAGTAGTTTTATTTTATTAAGTGCTGCGAGATTCATACCATTCAAACCGTTAAAATTAATATCATTATAATGTCAATTTTTAAAAGATGCTTAGCAATAATTTACTTTGGTCATTAGATAAAAGGGCAACGGATTTAGTCCCGCATTTGCATTATTCATGGCACTAATGTATTTTTTTTAGCGAATGATTTTTAAATAGCATTTTAATGGTTAAATAATTATGAGTTATCCTTTTCAGCTTATTAAGAGAACATTTTCTTTTGATTTACATCTCTCTTTATTTGTAAAGTGTGTCATTTGAAATATAAAGACTTAAACAAATCTTGAAAAAGTCGTCTCAGTCAGTCGTTTTATAAATAATTCCGTCACCCGCGAAATGGGCTGAAAGCTGTACGTTTGTGTCTAATGATTTGTCAGTTGTTTTAGCCTATTTGTACCGTGACACGATTCATAAAAACACGTAGACTTTCTAAGAGTATTAAATATACTTTTTGATTATGAAATTTGATATAACTTATGCAATGATAGTTTTTAGCATAATAGACCGGCCTACACATTTTTTAAATTGTCAATTTAACACTTTACACTACAATGATATTAATTCCAATGGTTTGAATCTTGCAGCACTTAATAAAATGATGTTATTTCTTTGCTCACCGGCGCTCGATTTTTTTTTACACATTTGACTCAATTATGTGGAAAATTTAGAATGATATTCTCCAATAAATGAAAAATATTATTGTGCATGTCTGTCCTTCGATTGGAGACAGGACAGGTCTCGCGGGCGAAAATTATTCTAGTATACACAATTATCATGCATATTGAACAATAGCGGGAGGCTCAAATTAGCCACCCCATTGCCGTTCTACTGACTTGCGTCAACAGTGTGTGCTTTTGACAATTATTAATGATGTGAAATAGCTTGTTATACAATTCTCATCATATATTCATTTTAGAAACACAAATAACTTCAACTAAATTTGTGGTTTTATATATCACGTAAAAGCAATTTTTTAAGGAAAGGGGGATCTCGACCTCGTAGTTTTTGTAAAATAAGATTTGATTTGACAGTCTTTGGCTTTGCTAAAACTAAAATGACATCATAAGAAATTCGAAACACATTACAGTAATATGCCAGTTCAAGTACTGCTTTTCGTTTGTTGCGACTTGCATCTTTGATCTAAAAACCCATTCCTACTTTATCTCGAACACTGAAACAACACTATATTCATTTGAAATATAATGATTCAATTTACCATTTTCCTCACATAACCGTCTCGATCAATAACTATAAGGTTAAGAGAAGCGCGTTTATGTTTTTTTAAAGAATGTAAACAGTTTTGCAATTCAGGCGAATGGATTTCACAATGTATGATGTAAAAATAAACTCAAATCGAACTATAATACACACAAGGAAAACAATGTATTGCTATTATTGAATGTATATGACACACATTTACATTTTATATACAAATTATTATGAAACTATACATATGATAATATTTTTAAAATATTATTGTAAGTATACAAACCTACAAATATGTACACAAAACATTTTCTAATAATCTGTTAATTTCATTTTCCCTCTTTCAAATAACGACTTTGTCTAAAGAATGCTTGCCTGTTATTGTGTCAAAAGTAAATTGCATATTGAGATTGTTATCACTAGTCAATTACCTTGACATTTCACCAGACCTTTCGTACTTTTTAAATTCTTTATAGAATTGACTGCATGCCTTCAATTCACTTTTTTCATTGAATTTTGTCAAATGAAACTCAAAAAATGTATTAAATGGTAACAAATAAAACTTTCAAGTGGTTTAGCATTTATCTGATTTATTTCTGTGAAACTCTCTCATAGTTTGCCTTTCTTGAGATAACAATTGATTTTATTTCAAAAGAGCTGTGTAATCGCATTTTCAGGGCAGCTGTACACCTTCTATGGCATTGCTTATTTGAATTTGATCGCGTGTCACAAAAAAGATTCTTTCAAATATAAGTAAATAATCGCATAAGTGGCCGTAACTAAGGGATTTTCAAGCGAAAACTCTATAGTAAATGCATGATATGGGTTCACTATAAGAAAACAGTTGATATACGTCCTTGACATCGTATACATATGATTATTGCTTTACAACAGAAATATTATACTGGGATGTTATTAAAATGGCAGTTGATGCACAATACCTATTAATAAAACCAATGTAGACACTTAAGTTTTTATTTCGCATTACATTGCTGCTCTACACTTACTTCAGATTTATTTTGCTTTGCTGCAAACATCATGCCATTTTTTATATTCGTACGAATACATCTAAGTTGTAGGAAGTCCTGGAATTCTAGACCATCACATTTTCTTTACTTGATCTGAATGAAACTACAATGAGATTCAATAAGAGTTCAGGGAAAGTGTGTTTGACCAGCAAAATAAAACGATCACAGAACTAAAACATGAAATGTGTAAGAAAGATATATCGTATATATACTTATTTTCGTCGAAATAATTCATGTTGGTTGTACCAATTCAAAGAAAAAAATACTCGATATTTATCTACAAGATGGTCAATGTTGTTGAATGAAAATAATAAATATGTTCATTTAATCTAATAATCATTGTATGCAACAAACTAAAAAAAAAATTAAATTACTAGGCGTATGATTCTAGTAAGTAGCATTTTTATACTCTTTGTTATTGTGATGTTGCGAGAAATCGGTATTTTAGATGCAAATTTAAGTAGCTAAAATAAGAAACGATATTTCTAATTTATGCATGTTTCTTCTAGTACAAAGGACACCAGTGACGACCTTTAATCTTACCATAAGATTGTCTGACATATTCAAATTGTCTGCATACTTTTGATAAAAGGTTGTTCTTTACAACTTGATAACTTTCCCGAGGCTTGGCCGACATAGCAACACGTAAAATATGCAGACTGGATTCCAAGTATTGTAGTCATTCATTCATAACAGGTTAATTGAATAACTCGTTACTAGGTCCCTGGGAAAGAAACATCCACACATTTGAATATGTTAGTAAATCGGTCTCACTATGAACATGACAGACAATGAAAGCGGACAAAATATACAGTTCCTCAGGTAGACAAAGGAACATCCCTTCACTGCTATTATGTAAAAATGTGTAGAACAGGTAATATGCATGTGACACCTGTTCTACACATTTTTACATAATAGCAGTGAAGGGATGTCCCTTTGTATACCTGAGGAACTGTATATTTTGTCCGCTTTCATTGTCTGTCATGTTCACAGTGTCTATTAATGAATGTACCCTATACATTCTGGCTATTGAAATATAAAATGTTGTAACAGGTGAATGCAATACTTTGTTTGTTGGGTCTTGGGGTAAAAACGTTCATAGATTTGAACACACCGTGACTCCTCTCTGACCTTATATGACCCAAACAGAATAAGTATATTATTATTGATTTAATAACCAAGCTGTCAATTTTAACATATTGATCTCATCGTGACGAGGTTCCTTTTATAATATTTTGTTATTTGATGTGACCCCTTCCGGAAACAAAACCAACAATAAAAGATTCAATTTACAGGATAATCTTCCCGCCCATTTGATTCATCAAAAACCCTTTCACGTGAACTCTGCAAATCGTTTTAACTAGAAGTACACAAGGAGATGGCTAACTAATATATGCAGTTGCATTTTAACAAAAGTCCTTTATCACTTTCCATTATGATATATTCCTTCGGATGAAAGTGCATCTCTTTTCCCTTGTAATTTAGCGTCTTTATTTTTTGTTTGGAATCCAGCCTCGGCATGCTCGGGGAACAAAATGCGACATAGTTTCCTACGTTCTCGTTAAGCAAATAAAGTGCTATGTAATTATTTATGACGTTTGTTTTATTTCTGTGTGTGTTGTCATTGCAAAGCCAACTGGAGAGATCAAAGTTATCTAACATTTAGTTCACTTGGTTGGATATATATATACTTGCTTGGTAAAAGCCCGAAAGGAGGGGTTAGAACCTGAATTTCTTCTGGTAGCCTATGGGGTGTTATTTGCACCTAGATGAGATTTCTTCAAATTTGCTGGACTGGGAGGAAAGCAAATAGTTGTCAGGTGTGGAGAAAGCGATGGACATGAAGGGGTGAATCTCTAGATTAACTACCCTATGCATGATCGTTCAAATACATACGCTTTTACGTTATCATCGGCCGCCTAACAAAATTTTAGTAGTTTGTTTGACTGTTGCTTTACCAAGTCAGTAAGGAATAATATAAGCTCTGCCTTATTTTCCTTATTTCCCCCCTTTATTCAAATGTTATGATTAAGAAAAGAAAACCTTTTGTTAAGAGCTTACACTCAGTGGTCTATGTATCCTTAAAATGGTCTTCATACTTTGTTTCCGTTGACCAGGTAGGCAGTTTTTAGCTGGACCCAAACCGTCGTGATGGCATTTTCGTTTGGTAACCTGCTGTCGGCTTTAATGCTTTCGTGGACGACCTCCATCATCCTCGTTCTATTCGTCCTCGTCCTCATCATCACATGGCTCCACCAGAAACCAAAGGACTTCCCTCCAGGACCACGAGGACTTCCAATCTTTGGAAACGTTTTCGCCTTCGAGCAGGACGATGCATTCGCTGATACACTGATGCGATGGGGCAAGGAGTATGGGCCCGTGTATGGAGTGAGTATCGGTCTTTCAAACGACGTTGTCGTCTGTGGAGCCGAAATGATCAAAACATTGCTTGTCAAGAAAGGACTGGACTTCGCTGATAAACCTAAACTTGTTGAAGCAGACTTGTACAACAAAGACAGAAGAGGTGAGCATGCATGCCTAAACGCATTGAATACATGTACATTCGTATTTAAATTCTTTTTAGATGTTTAAAGGTTCCACTATCAGTGAGGGAGAGGTTTCATGACTAGCTTTTGTTCTCTCCTTTCAAACTACAGATCAAGGAACGCAAGTGAAAATACGAACCTTTTCATGAGCACATGTCACTTTATAACTCAATAGACTCTATACAATCCAAAGTGTCAATGGTTTTAGAAAACCATCGTAATGTTTAAAAAGCAGGTCACACATTTTTCTCTTAAAAGTGCATGGTGGAGAACTCACTATGACATGACTGACAAAGAAGGTGGACAAAATATACAGTTCCTCAGGTAGACAAATTAATTAAGGAACATCACTTCACTGCTCTCATGTAAAAATGTGTAGAACAGGTGAATATGCATGAGGCACCCGTTCTACACATTTTTACATAATAGCAGTGAAGGGATGTTCCTTTGTCTACCTGAGGAACTGTATATTTTGTCCGCTTTCTTTGTCAGTCATATTCATAGTGACCATTATAGCCTTAACGTTAGTCTTTGAAAGCCTAATGTATGTAACTTTCATTCTGATTATTATCTAGCAGTGGCATTTTCTAGACTTTTGTTTTGTTTTGTTTTGCTTGTAGCTACACTTACCATGATGAAGTAAGAAACCTATAAATCTATTTCAAACTGCGTAGAGAAGTGTGTTGAAATTATCCATTTTAAAAGATCACTAATGTGTTGAAAGAGAAAATTGCTACCTCCCCCCTCCCATGGGTTCTTAAATCGTTCAATAGAATAGCAACATTTTCCACAATGGGCACTTTAAAGAAAAAAAACATAACTCTGGAAATTTGTTCATGTCATCTTCATATCCATAAAACTTTGGATGGATGTTTCTTCACAACTTAGTCTAACCGATATTAAATAGTATATATTATGGGTATTGTTATCAAAGGCGAATATGATTGAGTACATTATATAAATATATGTTGACCTTCTATCAACATCTGGCTATAGATTGGTATATGTGAGTCGGAAAAAAATAGTTTACTGACCTCCCATTACCACTTATAACCACACTAGTTATTTTCTCCAATCTTTCTGTCTATTTAAAGATATTATTCTGCATATCCCTATTGCAAATTTGAAGACAGGGATACTTTATGAAATCTTTTGGATTTGTCTAAATCTAACTTTAATCAGCAATAAGTATGCATGAACTTTTTGACGTCCCTAATGCACCGGTCTTAGATGAATAATACATGTAGTACCATAATATCCTACAGTATTTGTACCATCTCCTATTTTTTTTGTAATGCTTTTTACTTTTAAATTCGTAAATTCAATGTCAGTCAGGATGCAGGCCAGTGATGCCACCATGTGGAATTTCATTAAATGACCCTTTAATTATTGTCCACCAGTTGGCTCCCTAAGAAGCATGACCTCCAAATTTCTCTTATATTTTATTGAGCTGTAAAATTGTATTCGTCCTCGTAAAGGTAAAACTATAGCTGACTTTTTCTTTAAAATGTACGTGTAGATAATATAAGAATGTTGATTTATATATTAATAAGTGCATTTGATTTGATTTGATTTGTAGTTGAATCTTGTATAGGAGGCACTCACATACACACACATACGCACACATGCCCCACTCACATCATTATATAGATATAGTATTTACCTTTTTGAGATATCACTCGTTTCGAGTAGTACAGTCTATATTCTTTCTGACGTTATATGTTAATTTACCTTAGATAAATGATATATATATATGCATGCGGTGATTAACTACTGGAATATTATGCACATACTTCGTGTTCGTATTTGACAGCTGAGCTTAGCATAATTTACCTATTACGTACTACTAAAGGATAAACAATTAGTAATTTAAGAGGGTGCATATTATTAGATATTTATCCTGTAGTGCTTAGATATGAAAACGATGATGATAGTGTATAAATATTCTTCATTACAGTAGCTGTTTCTGATTGTTAGACATGGATGCATATACTAACAAACTCTACTACAATGGTATCGATATTTATAGATAGACGTATAGTAGGGGGAGGGGGGGGGAGGGGGGAGTAGTGATATGATAATATTGGCTAAAAGGAGAAATGTTATCTTGGTCTTTGAAATCATGTTCGTATTTGCTCTGCAAACTGAAATCAGATCTTGCTTTGGAATCCTTTTATAATATCATAATTCTTTTCTCACTGCAAATTAGTTTTGAAAGACGTATGAAGATACTATGTTCCCCCTTGTTAAGGGAAACGAATAACTCTTGGGCCATTGCAAATCATAACAAGGCACCCTATACGGCCGGTATAGAAAGCTCGCGTAAGCTCCTATACCACCAAAAAAGAGTTATCGCGTCTTTTTTCTTCTCTCTCTCTCTCTCTTTCTCTCTCATATATTATGCTCAAACTTGATAAGGTTTGATTAAGGCTCATTCTATTATCTGCATTTCTTCATGTTTGCCGTACCTCCTTTCAGTCCTGGGGATATTTTCTCGACTAATAGAGGTCCGTAAACAATACAAAGTACCTCTGACCTGGGGAGCTTTATAAAACAAACACTTGACAATAAAACTATTGAAATAAGGCTCAATGAAAAGTCTAACAAATGGAGTTCTTTACTCCAAGATAATCTGAAGCCAACATCAGATCAGCCCATATATTGATAGCGTGTCTAGATGTCGCACGTTGATATATGTGAACTTGAGGCCACCTTGCAAATAACGGCTCTCCTGAAGAGGGTTTGGGGTTTTCAAGGGTATATCTATTATCCCCTAAATATATTTGGAGAAGTGAGGTATATTTGGGGTAGCAAACTTTTTCCTTCCTTTGTTTACGTAAACCTTTTGTCCCCTCTGATCATATTCAAGCAACACACCTTTTTGCAAGTTGAAATATCATGGTTTTTTTTTCTTAAACTGAGGATTGTACTATACTCAGAAGAAAAGTGTAAACTAACGAACGTATTAAAAAAAATTATTCCATACTGGAACATACGAACACGTCGGAATCTGTGGATGGAAAAAAATTGTATTTTCTTCAGGGACTTGTATGACACCGTGCTTGTATACACAATACTGGCTCCGCTACAAAAAAAATCCCATGAGTATTGTGATGATGGTATTAAATCGTAAGTTGGCGGATCTACGTTAAAATCAACCCTTTGAGCTTAATAGTAAAATGTAGCCGCTTCTCCAGTCTCCTTGATGGTATTATATTCGTACCATCAAACATTCATTGCTGGCCGATGAAGTTTTTTTTCTTTATGAATAAAATAACACAAATATTGACAGCCATTTATATCTTATTATAGATACTAATAATGCGATTTCATTAGAGAAGAAAAACACAAGGCGGATAACAATTTGTTTAAATTATTTTAAACAGAGAAAGAGGGAGATAAAGAGAAAGAAAGATTGAAAGAGAGAGAGAGAGAGAGAGAGAGATTGTTAGCTAAACTAAGATTTGAAGTTTTCTTCCATATACGTCACAGGCATATAATAGATATTCATACGTAAGATTAATTACTACTGTACTAGTCAATCTGAAAGGATATGAGCATTCGTCTAATGTTGATGTGAAAGTATCGTACGTAATGCACCTAAAACTGGTGTTGCGATGAAATCAAACTCCTCCTTTAATCAAGGTAGCTCTTAATTCAATGCAGTGATGACGAGGTACATTCTCTTATCCCTCAAATTCATCACTAATTATAAACGTCCAGTAACAAGACTAAGCATCTTTGATCCAACCTATGATTTTGATCGGAATGAGGTCGGAGAACAACGCCTGGGTCAGGCGGGTCAGGTAAGAAAAGAGCAAAGACCTCTTCTGAATGTCACCAACCAGAAAAACCCTTTATCAAGCTCATTTTCCTCCTTTTTGTAGCACGTGTTATAAATCATAACTACCCCCATTGTTGCCAAGGTTCAATCGAAGTTCCGTGGAGTGGCCTATATCAGATGATTTTATATCAGCCCTGTTGTAACGTGGAGCAAAGTTTGTCTTCCAACAGTGTATCGGTGAATGGTCTATTTAGAGATAATCATCATCGCTCACAATTATTCTGCGAGGCTCAGAGTCTGAACATGTTTATCATTTTACCATGTTTGAAATGCTTGAAGTCGCTTCGATAAGACATTGCACTTTAACCACTGTGCCTATACACACGTAGGCCAATAATGGGAGGATACCGGTATTTTGTGTATTTATGGGACAAAATACAGTGTTTAGCTCTGTCAGTTTGTTTTATTACTTGGTTTTGTCACCGAGCTATAACTTTGTTGATATATTGTGTCAAGCTTGCTATCATATTTGCCTAACATGTCAACTCTCCATGAATGCTATTTACAGATAATATATGAGATCAATATACACATTATAATGATGTAGGACCAAGACTAAGGCAAAGAGAGAGAGAGAGAGAGAGAGAGAGAGAGAGGGAAAGTGTGGGGGGAGGGGGGGGGGGGAAGAAAATCACCGAATCAAGTAACATGATAGTGGGAACAACCACAATGTATTACTTGAAAAAAACTTCTCCCGGAATTCAGTTTCAGGGGTAACCAGTTAAAAATACAAAATTATTTCTGCAAGATAAAACGTTAGTCATGTGCTGGTTAAAGTGTGAAATTGATAACCCTGATTTGATCGGATGCTAATTTGCTAACTGCCTATTCAAGATTGAAACATTTTATTACATGTAAGCTACCTATTCTACATCTTCACTGTCATACTTCTTTTTTTATCTCTCCTTCAGCACTTAAATTTGTTAATTGTATACTTCAAATCATGATAGGGATTTAAACATTAATAGCCTTCGCAAATAACCAATCCACTTATATAATTTATTTCTTATTTGTCTGTATACATGTAGAACTTCTTGTTTCGTAATTATCACAAGGGATTATAATTAATGTGATTATTCTCTGTACCAGGTAACCAAGGCAACAGAAATACAATACTACAGATACGTTCAGAGTCCAAACAAATTTTTAATGAATTTTAGTCTGATAAATGTATTTCTTTTTCATTCCTCCTCAGGTATCTTTGTATCAGGTTGTACAGACGGATGGGCAAAGCAACGTCACTTCGCCCACACCACTTTGCGAGGGATGGGCTTCGGGAAAGTAGCCCTAGCGCCCATCATACAGGAAGAGGTGGATGACACCATTAAACAATTCACGGTACATTTATAAACTCTATTATCATGTAAAGACTGAATGTTTCAAGTAGTCACCCGAAGAATCAAAAGTGTTTTGAATTGATTCATATCATTGCGAAGGGGAAGCCTTACTGATCAAATATAACAACTCCCCTCTTCAAAATATGTTTTGGGCCCGCAGTAATCATCTCTCAAAAATGTATTTCTTAGATCCTGATTTTCTGCCTTCAGTGGTCCTCCGTAGAGCGTCAACATTCGTGACGTCACATGCGAGGCACAACTAGCCACAAAGCATTTTCACGCCTTTCCATGATATCGATATGATTTTTCAGCAAATTATTCGTGTTTTTCAAGAGAAAATCCTTCCATCCATATATAATTTGTCCATAATTATCAGTTGTCGTGAATTTCCTTCGGGTAAATACTTCAAATTTCATCTGTGTATACTTGTCGCGGAAAATGGACTTTCAAATATTTAAATCAACTTAGCAAATGTAAATTCACTGTCAGGACTGTCACTTTGAATTCTGATTCCTGACCTACACAATTTTTACTCAGGATCTTTTTCCTGGTATAAAGTAGTTTATTTTTTGTTTGCTCGACATGAACGTTAAATAAGAGAAAATGCAAATTACCTGATAAACAAAATGTGGAAAGGTTGGTTCCTTAAAAAGATCGAGGAATATCCTTAATTATATGATGGCATTCCTGTCATTTGTGATTGACCTTTGATTATTCTGAAGTCGTTCATTACTTTGTAAGGAAAAGAAAAGAGTTCAAATTTTCTTTTCAAATTTAGTTTGATTTGTAAAACACTGATTTTAAAGACACTGACGTTATCACTGATAATGAATGGAGCTTCGGTCAGCTGTCATTCTGAATTCACTATCGCTATCTCTTAAAATAAACTAATCAACAAAATATTCTATAGCAATGAGTCTATTCTTTGTTGGTTTGCCAGAAATACAAAATTGAATAACAGTTTCCCTATGAAGACTTCATGCGAACACCAAAGTAGAAAGTACAGTGAACAAAGTAAAGATTCAGAGCTGTCAGGATCCTACAGAACTATTTGCATTTCTTAATATCAGGCAATGACAGAAGACAAGATATGAAAAGTGCACTTAAATCAAGGATGATTTATTTACATATCTATTTAGGCCTTGGAATGTCAAACACGATTTGTCGATTAGTGGTTGAAAACGTGGCCGGAGCACGTGAACACGTTGAGAGTGTATAATGCCCAAAGGAAGAAATATTTCGTATCCCTCTTTCCGATTGAGACACGTCCATTATTGCCAATTCTACTGTTTAAGCCTTAATTAGTTCAAACAAAAATGTACTAAGCCTGGGTGATTGGAACTCCCCAGTTCGGGATATCATGTCATACCTCCTTTCGCTCAAAGTTAAGTTAGGGTCTTCATTTATCAAGAAAACTATTTTCATTTGGTTCTAAAATGCAAATCCTTATAAATTGATATGAATTTGCATAAAATGATGAATTTGAGAAAACGGTGTCATGTAATGTACCGTCTATTTATTCAGTCATTATTTTGTAGGTATTTTCTCAACATCTGCTCTATCTTTCATGTGGCTCGATGCTAGTGGTGTGCATCAGCACTTTATGAATTGAAATTTATCCTAATCTGCGTTGTTACAATTCATAAGTTTGAAATCTCCAATCCTATAATTTGCAATTTGTGATTCGCCTATTTCATGGTTCTATGTCTTTTATGTTCTCTTTTGCAATTTTGTAAGCGCTATGATACTTTTTATATTATAGTGCCCCCAAAATAATCGATGTTATTATTAATCAGCTTTCCATTATTTTTTGTATTTACAGTCATACAACGGTCAACCTTTTGATCCGCAAGGACCTTTGGCGACCAACTCGTCTAACATCATCTGTCGACTTATATTTGGACATCGCTTTGAGCACAACGACCCGGAGTTTCACCAGCTCATGAACTACCTGCGAGGCATTATGGGATTCCGAGCGGAAGGAGAGGTCATGGTGTTTCCCTTCCTACGACACGCCTACATTTACAAGGAAAGGTGGCAGACAAACCACGTATCAGTTCAAAACATGTTCAAATATTTTGGCGGGAAGATCGACGAACACAAATCAAGACTTTCAAATAGTACTGCTTCGAATCAAGAACACGAAGTACTTGACTTTATCGATGCGTACCTTCTGCACGCTGTGAAAGACCCGATGCACTTCAATGACGAAGAACTGAAAGTTCTCCTGTCAGATCTATTTATCGCTGGATCGGACACAGTTTCAACGACTTTATGTTGGGCCATCCTTTACCTTGCAGCATATCCAGATATACAGGAAGAAGTGCAAGCAGAAATACAGGAGGTAATGGGACAAGAAATTGAATTTTTAGAAACATGAAATTCTTGATGTTCATTATAATATAGTAATCAAACCTAGCCTAAGAAATATGATGGCCCTGAGAGAGTCACTGTTAATTATTTCAAAGCTTTCAATATATTCAAGCTGAGTAGATAATAGAATCATGTTCCTTAACAGAAGAAGTGCCACTTACAATCGCATGCAAATTAGCAAATCAGAATCAAATTTGGTACTGCAGGTCCAATCAAGGTTGGTATAGATTAATTTTATTGATTCGTATCGAGAAAGGATGTTTTGCCACTACACTCAACGTATAGTTGCCCTGGTTTATGCTAATGATAAAAACTAAGTTGTTATAATGATTTATCAGAGACTGACTGACAGTGACTGTATAAGGGTTGAACTGTATTTCATCGCTGTTTCAGAGAAGAAGATACCACAGTGGTCCAAATGGGTGCAAGTACATTAATCACAAAATGAATATTTTCACCTGTATCCTTTTAAAAGCAAGGGAAAAGGATCGACAGGGAAAAGGGTTAACATTCCGTTGTGTCGTCTGTTTATACAATTTGGATTGGATAACAATATAGGGGTTCCTCTTTCGTAGTACTATAACACCCATTAAAGTTGTCGCCCTAATATTGTAATATTGTATGGTCTGGAATATTTTTTCTTTTAATGATTTGTCATCTTTAGGTGATTGGTGATGAACCCGTGTGTTTATCGCACCGAGGGTCCATGCCATTCACGGAAGCGACGTTGATGGAACTACAAAGATTAGCCAGCGTGGTACCAATCGTCCCTCATGCTGCATTCCGAGATTCAGAGCTAGGAGGATACCACATACCCAAAGGAACGAGGATGTGGATCAACATGTGGTAGGTACGCCTCAGGTTTACCATTATGGACTTTTAGATTCTGCGCGACGAGAACGTGGACTGCCCTTTTAACGCAATGTGATGTCCTTTTAAGGCACTGGCAGTGACGTCACATTGCCTTAAAAGGGCAGTCCGCGTTCTCGTCGTGCAGAATCTAAAAGTCCCTATTATTGTAAGACCAAAACGCGTAGCCTACGAGACTGACGGGCCACGAGAGCGACAATTCTAAAAGGTCGCATGAGGGTTCACAAGGTCGAAAGTACGCGAAACCGAACAAAATTAATGTTAGTCTCACTGTCCTTATACATTTTGTTGAGAGTTCACAAGATCCAAACTGTCAGTCTCTTGGGCTGTCTGACCACTGGGATACCCATCCCCGTTTGTTATTTCTCAAAATGAACTGAAGCACATTTTTAATAGTTCCTCTCAATATAACATGTTTGCATAGCCGATGATGAGTTGGGTGGGTTGATAGACGTTTGCTTATCCTCTAGAACACGGTTGGCCGAACAATTCGGCACAAAAATGTTCAAATGAGTTTCATATTAACTTTTCTCACAGTCACCAGAATGTATTTTTAAGGCGTATTGCGACAGTTAAAATGCCGAATTTTTTGTGATTGAATTTATCTTCTTCCATTCTCTTGGGAACAATAATTCTATCAATTCTCTGTATACAGAGAACTATAGTTGTCTTAGCTATAGATGGAACCAATATGGATCATATTTCTCTAGTAACTCGTGAAAACTGAGTCATTACAAATATCATTATGATTAGCAATTTAGCATTAACCCAATTTTACCTTACAGGTCTCTTTTCCGCGACCCAGTGGACTGGCCAAACCCTAATAAATGCGATCCCCACAGATTCCTGAACAAAGACGGAACAAAGGTGGTTCATCCAGATAGCTTCATGCCCTTCTCAGCTGGTAAGGAATAAAATTGTGTTGAATGGTTTCACATAATTAATGTTTCATTCACTGTCCAATGATCGTCATAGCCCTAATTTATGTTCATTGTGGTGTCTAACTGAAAACACATTTCTGTTTTCTGATAAAAAATGTAAGAGTGAATACTATCGTAGAAATATCCCATGTAATGTGTTACCTAAAAATGTATATGACATTCCAAATTATTCAAAATATAACGAGATAACCATCCATATGGGAATTATTTGCAGATAAACAAGTTTTATCTTGATTCCAGTCTGTAATTTTACAAAGAATTTTATTTTTGTCCACAGACTTGATATCATTAGCGAATAGGTGTCAACATTTTTTTTTTAAAGGTAGAAGTGCTTGACACAATACTTTGCGCAGGTATTTTATATCCAGAGAAGAAAAAATGTATTTTCATTTCGAGTGTGTTAACAGAAATGTATTATGCTTATGTACCATGATTAGGTCGTCGGGTCTGCATGGGAGAACAGCTCGCCAAGATGGAGTTGTTTCTATTCTTCGTATCTCTGATGCAGCGCTTCAAGTACGTGTTCGCCGATCCCGACACGACGCCATCTTTTGAAGGAGTTGTAGGTTTGAACAGACAGCCCCGACCTTACAAGGTAAAGGCAATACTCAGGAACAAATAGGATTCTTCCATCTGATTCCTCGTGATACTGTCAGTCAAGGCTTTACGCAGGAATTATAAACAGTTATAATAACAGTAATAATAACATTTTTAATCTAATTTTTATAGAAGTTCTGAAAAATAACTGTCTGTCTATCGTATGGCAATGGGTGAAATAACAGAACCCATTCAAACTTATTTGCGAGGACCAACTTTTTCATGAGACAGTATTCTGTTGTAACCTTTCCATTTCAGAGCAGGTTATCTTATCTCGACAGCTTCAGATTTTATTAACTTTTTGTTTCTTTAAGTTAGAATTTTGATAAAATGTGGCTCCAAAGATAGATTTGTGCTTGCAGGTATGAACGTTTACCTAGTAAAGTTTGTTAGAAAGAGGAGAAATGGCTCAGATACAGTTACTATATATTTTTTTATTTCTCGGGGGAAAGGGGAAGGGGTAGATGTTTTTCGTAGCTCAAGAATGAAAGGTGGACTGGTTGAAATAGGGCCTTGTTGAATATGTTTGATGTAAGCTTTAGTAAGTCACAATCTCGAGACAAATAAATCGGGACAACTCAAATTTTCACATAGTTCAAAATTAACAAAATTTGGTAATGTATGAATAATTTAGTTGTTGACTGTATTTTTATCTTGGATATATCAAAGAAACAATTGAACCTTCTATTATCTAAAGTAAGGTCTTGGGAAATAACATTGCTTATTGTAAAGAAGAAAATGTCTATTCTCATGGGTTTTATTAACATTTTCGTTTCCATTACATGTAAATTACAAATAAGATAACTTATACTCGGCCGTTTCCAGACATTCCAAACATTTTGAAACGGAAATCGTGCCGTATAAAACATTTCTTTGGAATACCATTACGTAATATGAGCCCACCCCTCCCCCCCCAAAAAAGAAATATTTACATAAATGTTATGTTTAAGTCGTGCGTTAGTAGCAGCAGACAATTGCTAGATGTCATAGCTTTAAACCAGAATAAATATAAAGTATATAAGCTCCTTTTTACAGCGATATGTTGACACATTTTGCAGTTTCTTTGATACATAAAATATGTAGCGTCGAAAAAACTTTAGAATTTCTCATGTTAAATTTTTGACATTATCAATGAAAAATGTATTCTTTGCAATTATAATTATGAACGTTCATGGATTTTGTAGAGTACATTCTACGGTATGTAGTAATACCTGTAAAAGTCATTATAATCGTAACATATTAATACGCATTATAATTTTTTTTCTTTTTCAATCGAGTGCCAAAAAAGATCCAGTATTATGCATGTCATAGGACCAGTAACGGAAGAAAATAGATCGTCGCTTATTTTAGATGAAATGGTTGAATGCAAGTATTAAAATGGTAATAGATATGATGGACTCCAAGTTGGACCTTGGTAGACAAATGTATTCTTGACGATATATATGTAGAACATTTATTTTGTATTACACTTTTGAGATTGTAAATGGAAGAGACTATCTTTATTATTTATTTTGGAAAAAAAGAGTGTAATGTGCTATTTAAGTGATTCGGGTAGCTCAATAAAGACAAACGTGTACATGCGGCAGTACTGAATAAATTATGTTGGATAATTAATACTTGAACAAGTGTGATTTGTTTTGAGTACGTGCCATGTGTATCATAGAGCTTTATATTGTATTCAATTTAAATATTCCTTTACAGAATATATCTGATTGAAAAAGCTTTATTTTCATAGAATACAACATTTTCTGCCGCCATATCAGAATTAATGGCTGAAGAGAATTCTTCGCAGTTGCTGTAAAATCAAAAAAGCAAACTACTCATGAAGATAAAATTATAAAGTACTAGTAATCAGTACTATAAACTGCGATTAGTTTAGGCTTACATTGTGTGTATACCTTTAAATAAGGAGTTGAGGTTATGCCTTTGAAAAAAATACACAACCTCTAAAAACATATCAAATACTTATAAGAAAAGCTTTAAGGAGGCATATATTGTGTGGAGCATTAGAAAATGAGAGCAGCACGCATCGCACAGTCACATACGCACACACCCGCACCTGCTTTGCACATCCACACACACACACACACACACGCACCACCACATACACCAGTTTTATGTGGCGATTACAACATTCTTTGTTACCTTTTATTTGTTTAAGGCAATATGTGGAAGAATAGATGTATATCAGTCAACTTTACATCTTTTAAATTGCAGTTAATTATATACTATATAAGGATAAGTACACACAACAAGAAAACGAATGACATCAAAAGTTAATCTCTATACAAATAAATGAATATTTAATACATTTACCCTGTTTTAATACTATTAATGCTGTTGGTGTTATGTACACACTTATGTTGTTCAATATATTATAACTATAACTGTACCATAATAATTATTTGTTTAAAGATTCACAGCAAACACTTAGTATACACGATGCGAACTATATCAGAAAATTAGACACTTCCGTAATCTATTCTTTTTCTACATTAATTAATATTTTTACATGGTAAAACATGAATGAGATTTGAATTCGGAATATGTTGTTTATGTATATTGTTACAAAAAATGATAAATACAGAGTTCAAGGATTTATTCAGTGATCTAATGAAAGTGTAATTTGTACGACTGATGTAGCACTACTTTGCCTGTTTTTAATGAAAATGTTATTTTTTCTTCTCGGACTTGTGCCCCAATTTATACAAAATCCTGGATTCTCCAAATGGTGTACCATCTAAATTTTATTTTTTATGTTTATCTCTATGGTGTGAATCTTCACCTTTATACATCTGGACTTGTCTTTCTTTAACCAAGATCTTTTACAAATGGCTGTATAATATATATACTAGGATTTAGTCCGAGCTTGTTTCATTGTCTGAACTACAAAAACATTGTTTCCACTGCCACAAATATCATTTTATCATTTTTATCCAAACTAATAGAGTTTTCAAGGATCATATCACTATTGACACTTGTGGAATGATTTTCTGTTTCGTATCTAAAAACTGACTATGGCTTAACTTTGAAAAAGTAAACGAAAAAATGTTTCCAGTGGATTGATGATAACTTTTATGGCAGTGGAAAAAGGTCTTAAGCGTAACTGATCTCTGCGGCGACTTCCGGTGTAGTAGGCACAAATATGACCTTAATACGAGAGAACATGAGAGCAACACTCTCGTAGCAGGGATCACAGAATGCTTTGATGCAGATGGCGTAGCTCCTGGTGGCACACACTAGCTTGATCATGTAAGCCTTGATACATGGAACAACACACCTGAAAAAGAAAAGGTGTTTATTAATTATTGACGATGAAAACATTTAGGGAGAAGGCCAGTTCAAACATCTAAGGATTTTATAGAGAATCTAGAATTTAACTTCAGGTCATTGAATTACTAAGACGTTTGATTTTGTTTTTTCTTTCTTTGTCACTAAGAACTATAAACAGAATGAGAAAACTTGTAACGGTGAGTATTAATAAACGATAGTGCAAACCTGACACGATGCATCATTAGTTTTAACCCTACAAGAAGCACAACACTGAACCATCTGTTCTCAACGTTGAACCCTCTAGCCATTACTATGCATCCAGAAACCATGTATATATCTTCATAGAAGTGCAAGCAACCATTTAAAAGTAGAAGCCTCTTCTTTATGTGACTGATTTTTTTTTTCTTTCTTCGATCGTTGGAATGCTTTGTGCAAACCTGGTTAATTTAGTCGACCCCAACCCAATCGTTCCCATAGCGACGCTCGAGTAAATGTACTCTAAATATGTCATCATTGCATTCCTAGATATACTACTATCGGTTCTTCTTTCAGGGATCAACGTCACATTTTTTGTCACGTAAAGAAAAATAATTTTCCGAGAAACTTACCAAATGTGGCAGAAGGATAGGATAGCGAAGTAAACACCCCAGCAGAAAGCTGCTGGAATACTGCATACAGTGCTGCAACACGAGTAGCAACAATTTTTGCTCCAGTTGTAGGTGTTGTAGCTCTTGATCCAAGTCTGCTCCTGACTGTGAATACCGTCTGGCTCGGCGAATATTTCATGCCAAGACACCTGGAAAAAACAAAGGATCGTTCGAAATATAAAAGCTTTGCTTTCATTCAACAACAAAGATTTGACTTTTAAATGTTAAATAAAGAAACATTATTCTCAGAGGTCGATCCGCAATGCATAATGAGAAGTCAACTAATCAATAATGATTTTGAAAAAAACAGACATTACATTGTTAAATTTTGATTCTTTCATAGTACTCTCTCTTATTGGTAATACTTCATTCTATTCAATGCTACATTTGCCATGTCTATTCTTCTTGGCAACAGGTGGAAATGAGAGCCCAAATGGTTTGAGAAAGATGATGAAACTTACGATTTAATGGACTGTGTATGTTGAATTGAATCTGTTTTAACGGACGAAGTGGAACCGTCAGCGACAAAAATGAAAATATGATGCAAAAAAAATTCTCACTAACATGTTTTAACTTTTAAAACAGAAGGAGATGATCTAAAATCAAATTACCCAACTGTGTATGGCATACATTCTTAATATCCATCAGGCTCCTAAAGGTTTTTAAGGTCTTCAAAGAGCTTGATGATAGCACGTACAGACTGCACAGTGGATTGGATTTGAAGGACCCTCCCTGCATGACTGATCTTTACAGAAGTTTGCAACCACACGAAAGAACACACCCCCCCCCCCCCACCGCCTCCCTGCTGCTAGTCTACATTCATGCACTGCCTGTATCATCCGATGTGGAACATTATTATTTCATCAGATTATTTCATCTCAATTGTCTATCACTGTATCAGATCATCGCATGAAATCTTTTCAGAGCCAGAAGGGCATTAATGCTATGACTTAACACCCTTCTGGCTCCAAATAGACGATTTGCCGGGATGCGTCATTGAGTGTGCTGATCGTTAGCGTTATTACTAGGTCTATATGCAAGCACACTGGTCGACCAAACTTTTTATTTGACGCTTCGTGAACTCTTGAATAACACGCACATAAAACTCTGTTTGTTCTTTGAGCCAAAATAAACATCATAAACAAATAAAAAAACGTTATAATTACAATACATTACATCATTAAGTCTAATGTCTGGCTATACATATTCATGAGACTTAAAATTGGTTCCGTTGAACCAATAATCTATTATGTTCGTTGTAATTTTCCTGTTTAAAAGAAATGATTCATTTATAAATAAAACAAACAATAGTGGTCTTCACTCTCCCACACCCTCTTTTACCAACTCAAATATCTGCAAATTTAAAGAAGATTATCAAATGAATGTTTCTCATGTCTGTAGCTTATTCTGCATTAAACCAAATGTGAATTCATTTTAGATTAGAATAGACAGTTTCATTCCCCTAAAAATATTCCTCTCGTCTGTTATAATCCACGAGTCCCCCGTTTCCCAAGAGCTTCATTGCTACAGTGACCAGCAGAGAAAAGGTCCATGTAAATATCAAAATACGTTGCAAAGGGTTTACAAAATGCCGAGTTGCCCAGATACTTTAAACTCCCCCTATCTCTGGATACGCCAAGGGCGCTGCCAGAGCTCAAACCTGCCTTCTTAGGACGAGTATGTATCGACAGAATTTTGACTCGCCCCTTTTTTCTCTTCCTATGGCTATGCAATTTGTCGACATGCTTGCTTTCTGTTATTAAACAACGGTGATGTTTTCCCCACAATATTGTGCCATAATTAAATAATTCATTTAATTTAATAATTCATTAAAAATGTATGAACATTTTGGTCCAAACCATCCTGAGGTCCACTCACCTTTACATGACTATTGATGTCATCGGGATCACGGTCCTCCATTGCGAGCCCCTGAGGGACAGCGAGTGCCACATCCGACTGTTTAATCGGCTGCTCGTCAGACGCCATTTTTACAATATCAAACTATTTTAATATTATAAAATAAGTATTCTTCGGAGGGATCTGATAGTTCAGAGGACACCAAGTAACCATGCAATCAGGCTATGGACATCAGTCACTCTTCTGTAAGGCTGGGTTTTCTTCGGCGTCTCAGCTGTCCTTCTGATTCTCTTAACACGGAGCAACATGCGAACACGTCTTACTGTACTGATTAGCCAGAGCCTTAACCATTTTCGCTGACCAGAACAAACAAACTGACAACTCGGGATAGAATCATTCTTGACCCACACACAAACATTAAGGACACAGGTAGATACCAAGACCAGCGAACAGGGTAAAGTAAATAAGTTCATCATTAAGAATAAGAGTAAACAAGACCGCTTGCTTACATTGTTTAATTAACTGATTTTCGCTTGGGTTTGATGAATACAGCACAACGCCACACCATGTATGCAATGGAAACCAAATCTTACCGTTAGGTATTTCTAATCTTACTCAAGCAAAATACCTAACATTTATGATTGCTATCTTTTTATCTGATTAATTCGAATTACAGAGGGGTAGCTACACCCATTCTTAAACAAATCTTTTTTGTTTAAAGTTTTATTTTGTTTAAACCTTAATTATCAGACCGCAAAGCTCTAGCTACAGCCCGCTGATTAAAGGTAACAAATTAGAATAATATGACTGCATTGAGTACAACTTAGCAGAGAATAATGAGAGGTATATATATTTTACCATCACATCGTTTTATCGTAGAAGAATGCCAGATGCTATCACTATTACGAGTCAGAGATGTATGGTCAGCAAAATATTATACGCCCACTGATTACTTACAGGCAGTTGGTTTTTGAGTAGAGGGCGAGATCATTCTTTAACTAAAACGTGGATTAACATTAACCCACATCTCAAATTCATCAGCATTGTACTAATCATTTTGAAAAGATTCATGTCGGCTTGAATTAACATACAGTGCAATACAGTTTAATTCCACTTAAAAAATTTTTTAAAAATTTATATGACACATCAGCGTTAACTATTGTGATAGGCAATGGTGGATAGTGTCAATTTTGAAACAAAAGTATCATGGCAGACACTCTTCATCTTACAGTTTTGGGGTGTATATAGAAACTGGATACAACAAATGAATATACACTGTCGCTCATAAAGGTGGAATATTTTAGTTTTACCCCAATTATGGAATTATTAAAAAAAAATTAAAAAAATAGATCTAGAAAATAGTAAACATTCTCAGATTTTATTTGAATATTAATTTGTCAATGTGTGTTTTGCGGGACTGCTAAAGCATGTGTATGCTACTATGCTTATTAAATAGGGGACCTACGCCCTCGAGTCATAAATGACAGTAATGAGGATTAATGCCCCATTAAAGGGCACTAATAAAGCACATCGACACGGTTTTGATCCTGGAGCCTCACAGTTACGAGGCCATTGCTTTGTCACTGAACCATGACTGTACGCAGCGGGGGCTAGGGTAGGGGGCGGTTTCCAAAAATATTTAAAAAAACAGAAAATGCAATTTATTTTTTCTGTAATTTATTACATTTTACCCTGGTCCCCAACATAAAAAAAATCCTCTAGACGGCCATGCATAATGGCTCGAGGCATGGGCACACAGAAAAAATGTTATGTTGGGAACCGGGGGAAAATGCAATAAATTATTGAAAATTTATTGCATTTTCTGTTTTTTATTTTATTTATGGAAACTGCCCCCTACCCTAGCCCCCGCTGCGTACAGTCATGGTTCAGTGACAAAGCAATGGCCTCGTAACTGTGAGGCCCCAGGATCAAAACCGTGTCGATGTGCTATATTAGTGCCCTTTTGTGGGGCATTAATCCTCATTACTGTCATTTATGACTTAAGGGCATAGGTCTCCTAGTTGATAAGCATAGTAGCATACACATGCTTTGGCAGTCAAGCAAAACACACATTGGCAAATTAATATTCAATAAAATCTGAGAATGTATACTATTATCTAGATCTATTATTTTTAAATTATTTTTTAAATAATTCCATAAATTGGGATAAAAAAATAAATATTCCACCTTTATGAGCGACAGTGTACTTAACAAATAGAAATTACATTATGCATATTTCAGCAGTTATCAATCATCACTTTAAAAAAAAGACAATTATGTACAAAATATCAATTAATTCATCGGCAGTGATATATATGGATTATATATAAATTATGAATATTTTATTCAGACTGCAATGTGAAGAAATGATAGACAAAATGAAGACTTAGCCAAGCACAGAATTCACGTTATCTCATCAATCAAGACAAAACTACTATTTCTTCTTTCTGCTGTCACATGCTTTGGAGACATCACGCTTGTTGAATGTAGACATTTCGTAGCAATGTAAGTATATTATTATGATGTTACAAAATATAGTAAAATGATGAATTAAGGTTGCTTTGGCAGGTTTAGTGTAAGGATGTAATCAGTCACTCATTGCCGGGTTGCATTAAATCCAACTTCAAACTTTACTTATGTTAAAGCCCCACTGCACTTCTTATAGCTACTTGCTCCCTCTATATAAACAATGCCTAATCGGTGATCATTGGTCCCCTATGATCCCCTTTTTATATATGTTAATTGAGAGCTGATTATGATGAGATAACCACCTGTTGGTGACCATGCATGAAGGTCTAATCACTCCTGGCCAAACTAGTGCAGAGGGGCTTAAACAGTTTCGGCAGATCAATGAAAACATTTGAATATAAGTCCATGATATAACTATATGGTATATTTTATATAGTTGCAAGAATAGGTCAAATTCGTAAATATATACATGTATATTTAAATGATTGTATAGGATGACACACACAAAAGAGTATAGATAGAAAACAACAAAAAAGACAATCCATTTTGGTTTGGTAATTAATAGAATGCAATAGTTAATCATCGTGGTCAATAATTAGGTCCATTAACATGATCATTAATATATGGGTTTTGAAAAAACAGCAATGTCAAACTTCTTCAAATGAACTTAATTGACGATCAAGCTTCACTTATGAGAAAGCATTATTAATTGATTTGATTTGATTTGATTTATATATCCACCACTCATGAGATGGATTGCCCTTGTCAGCTAAGAGCTGTTTTTAAAAGGGTCAAGATGAAGATCGGATTCGATTCTTTATCTCTCGATCGCACATACTTCGTAGGGTTCTGGTGGCATAGTTAATCCACTGATGCCTCGTTTACTGTGAGTTGATTGGTCAGGAGGAGTTTGAATTCAAATCTCTGAACAGTAGAAAGGACTCCATCTTGGCTAGCTGAGCCCCCAGACACTCTCGACGACCTTAATTTATCGGGAAAAAACAGGAAAATATCATATTTAACTGAACCATGCATACAAATCAGTTTTTTCTCAATTATTCAAGGTGCGCTTGACTTGATACCTTTTTCCTTTTCAATATAATTTAGCTGTAAGAAAAAGGATGTCAATTTCCGCACACAAAAGATCTGTATCTTTAATGCATCTGCATTGTTTATATGCAAACAGAGCCCCGAGGAAGACCAGCTTGTAACTTATTTTAAGTATTTGTTGTATCTTATCACAATGTATGAAATGTTAATGTTTTAGACTATGTTAATTTGCTTTTTAAATTTCATTTGTATATTTGTATGTTTTAAAATGTCTTGATTGCTGATCAGGCTACTCTGTCTAAATATTCGTGAATAAATAAATAAATAAATAAATAAATCTATGTTCTTTTGATAATGTTATCATAATTAGTGTACACTGTTCGATTCCTTTTGTCTTTGTGGATTTCTCCGCCTATGTCTATAATTATTAAAACTATAAGCAATGATTTTACTCACGTTTCCTTTCATGATAAAACATAGACATTTCACGAATATGCAAACTTCATAACTTTCACGCTATATTGATCACATGAAGTTGGAAAGCTTGCCCAATGAGTCATCGACGAGTGGGCTTGACAAAAACTTATTGATAGGTTTGCTTAATTTATCATTTTTCCTCAAATTAAAGTAAGAAAGAATCAAATCAAAAGTTTGTCTGTCATGTGGGTTCAAAACCATACTGATCATCAATGAACTTAGTTCAATCATTTTAACTCACCTAGACCAAACGGAATCCACGAGTCATTCTTCTTCACCGTCGGACTGTCATGGTTCTCCAGGAACCGCTCAGGACGGAAGTCGTCGGGGTCATCCCAGACTTCCGGGTCATGATGGGCGGCCCAAATATTCGGATGATGGTCGTTTCCTTGAGGGATAGTGAATCCTCCTAGGGAGACACTCCTGGAAGTCGTGTGTGGCAGCGACAAGGGTAACACAGGTCGGATTCGCATCGACTCCATCAAGGTAGCTTCGCAGTATGGAAGACGAGCTCGGTCACTGATGGCTGGTTGACGACCACGCCCAACAACCGTATCCAGCTCGGACTGTACCTATTGCAACGTAATAGGAATACGATGTAGATACACACGCACGCTCACACGCAGGGGCGTACGCAGGGGGGGTGTTTTGGGGGTTCAAACACCCCCCTTTGGTATTTTAATGTATGTAAACCCCCCTAAAAAAAACCTAAAACCCCCCCCTTTGGCTTTTTTTTTTTTTTTTTTTTTTAATTAAAAAAAAAAAAAAAAAAAAAAAAAAAAAATTATACCCCCACGGCTAACCTAAATAAGGTGACCTTACCCTCCCCCTATACGTAAAAAAATGTCAAATTTTGAAATTTTGAGACCAAAAAAAAAAAAAAAAAATGTCCCGCTTACCCCCCCCCCCCCCCCCCCCCCCCCCCCCCCCCCCCCCCCCCCCCCCCCCCCACTGAGGCGACTTTTTCGGCCGGCGCGATTTTCAAATTTTCGGGAGCAAAATATTTTAAAACCCCCCCCTTGAAAAAATCCTGCGTACGCCCCTGCTCACACGTACACACAAACATACATGCGCGCACTGGTCCCAAATGCTCGAATGGGCACTTTTGGTACAGTAATGGTGACCCGGAATGGGGATCCCTGGAATCAACTTTTCAGCACCTCAAAATAAGATTACCCTTTTTGTCTTGGTGGTCAGAGAATTTTGGAATTAAGAAGAAAGAAATGCGATATCTTGTTCTAGTCAGGGACTTTGTAGATTTGTGCTCCAACCCCCTTCCCCCCTCCCCCCCCCCCCTCCTCCCCGACCAGAGAATCTGCCACTGGCGATAGGCTAAAACAGTGCATGGCAACCTAATTTTTATTTGAAAATTTATTGCATACAATGTTTATGTTTGCATTGATTTCATAAATGTCATTTGAGGCAATCTAAGCTTATAATATATAATTTTTATTCTCATCAAATTCTCTCTCAGGGCATCGTTAGGCCTATGTGAAATTATTATACGGTTAGAATGCTACTAACTTTTGTCTGCACATCAGGATAGAGGCACAGGTACAGTATAGCCCAAGAAAGAGCGGTAGACGTGGTCTCAGTTCCAGCCGCAAAGAAATCGAGGACGACACGACAAATTCTTCGACGGTAAATTCCTTGGATATGCCTTCATCAGCCAGGTATGCATCATGATATCACGGATGTTCTCCTTTTCGAATGAGCTTGTATGGAGTTTCAGCTGAGCCATGATGAATGATTTTGACTGAGAGAGGTTACAACGAAAGTCTTTGTACCAAGGCATATACAATAGAAAAGAAAACACGTTGACCAATCAGAACCCGAAATGGTAGAAAAGTTCTCAAAGAATCCACGCAGGATTCCCTGAAGTTCCTCGTCATCGTATTCGAATCGACGTCCGAAGACAATTCTGCAAATGACGTTGGCCGTTGTATTGTTCAGCATAGTGAGAAGATTGTTGGATGACCCTCGGAGTTTCTCTATCTCTTCGCAGAGGTACCGTATACTTCTAGTTGATGTGTGGTTCAATGCTTTTCTTGCCCATGCCGAAAGCCCGGAGAGCGGTCAGACCGAATTTCCTGAGATTGCCCCACGGTTTGCCGCTGCTCCACACTACGGATGCTGTTTAAAAAAAAGAAGAAAAGAATGCGTCATAGAAATCCATTCACTCTTAAATTTTCGCTGACATAAAACCCATTTCTTTAAAAAAAAACTTTCAACAATTAAGATCTGATAATGTTATCAAGAAAGAACACCATTTTATGAATGTCGTCTTTCAGGGGCGGACTGGTACTAATACAGGTTGAATTGGTCTTGAATTAATTTGGTGAAGTTGGTCGTTTATTAAAAATTCATTTATTTATTTATAGATTTATTTAATCTGCCAATCAGAAGCAGCAGTTTTATGGGGACAGATGCTTCCATTTATTATTTCAAGAGGGAGGCAAAAGAGTAATAAAACAATTTTACAGTAAATTAGCTCTCTCTCCCTCCTTTCTGCCCTCTCCCCATCCCCCCTCTCTCTCTATCCTCTCTCTTTTTCTCTCTCTCCTTTCTCTATCGCTCCCTCTGTCTCTCATCTCTCTCTTTCTCTGTCTCTGTCTCTCTCTCCTTCTAACCCTCATTATCTCTCTCTCTCTCTTTCTTTTAGTTTCATCTCTCCCTCTTACCCTCATCTCTCTTTTTCTTTCTCTCTAAATAAGGGCAATACTTTTTAGAGGTAAGCTTTAATAATTATGTCACATTATCAAGAAACCGGAACAAATCAATTTGAAGAGCCTGAATAATTAATTTGTTATAACTGTTAGATAATTTGTTAGATTATGAAATTGTTATGTGTTTTAATGTCGTATTTAAAGTTTAATCGATAGCAATAGAGTTCCAACGACTAAAGTCTAAGGGTTATGTTTTAGATTTGCACTAAATGGCTCTAAAAAGAATGTCTTAACCATTTGGATTTGAAGCTGGTATTCCCAATTTGACATGTTTAGGTGTGAAGCGATCGAAAATACATCCGCGTTCTTAACAGGGGCCTGTTGAATGACGTCCCTGTTATTCAACACCCACCACAAGAAATGGACCCCTCCTAAAGCTAAAGATTGGTCCGTATCGTTGGGCTAGGCTGGCGTAGCACTCATGAATTAGACCAGATCCAGCTCTGTACCCGATGATGGGCAGGGACCAAGGACCAGGGGGTAAATTTTTCGGACGGCGTAAAAGCCAAGCGCAACAAATGGACACAGTGCACCCAAGAAGGAATGTAGTCACATATACCGAAAACATCATCGTTTGTATTATGTCAACGTTAATTTCTAGAAGATTTCGGCACGGAGCAAAAACTGTCATAATTATGTTTCAGATGATGAACCGAAGTAGGTGAAGATACAAGTTGAAGATCTTGTTCTAAGCATGATAAGCTGAAATTATGATCGAATCAGTATGATTTATTATGTCCAGTAGCCACTTATCGCTATAAAATGCCCCTATCATGCGTCAAATATCATATAAAATGATATTCCACCAGCGCAGCATGACCGATGTTGATGATCACCTGATCACATTCAATAATTCATAATATTTAAACGGTGAGATAACGGATCTATCAAACAACAATCATGATTGAACCTTGGCTTTTTATATGTTAATAAAGTAAGTAACTAACTAAAGATTTGGAAACGAACTGCAGACATTTTGTTCATCGCGAATATTATCCATGACGAGTTTTTTTATGATCTTTCTTTCAGCTTATCATTCCATTTTATGATTTGATGGCATATACATAATTTCATAGTGGCATCAACTTTATGATAGGCTGGAACTGCCTAATACGCATTTTGAATATCAGATTAAGGGAGTCCACGCTCATACAGCGTGTAGCAGAAAGACAAGAGAAGTACACTAGTAAAAATAGGAAATATATGCATTTTTAAGAGGGAAACACAAATTGGCAACACTGCGACGTTAAATTTGCGAAGTCATCTCCAATTGCAGAGTATTTCATAAACTTGTATTTTCTTAGTTATTGATGACTGAATAGATTTCTTTCTAAAAGGGTTGTATAGAAACACCTTTGCAATAATTATAATAATTGTGTAGGGCGCATGTATGATTTTAAAAGGGAAAGGGATATACACATTTCTGATTTTGTTTTTGTTAAGTACATAGCAATAATTAGGAGGGGACCTCGCAAGATATAGAGTTGCCATATGTGTTTGATTCATCTCAACTTTAAAAAAAAATTCACAACTTTCTTTTCATAGGATTTTAATTGCTCAAACTTTTAAAAATTAATCGACTGGGCATGTGTGGGCACTAATCTGACATACGTCATAAAGAACTGTACATGAACATATTCACTTTTTATTTTCGCGAGCCGCAAGTAATCGGAAAAAGTGTGAAACTGTAGGTTTTAGGACCGTGAATTTTTACTTTTTTTTCACAAATTAAAGCTGCTATTATACAATGTAAGCAAATTTCTTGACACAATTAGGCTTTTGCATTCATATTATATCATCTGTTCGATTTTCCCCTTCTTAGTTCAAATAAAAGTGAAATATTAAGGATATTTATTTGTGACAAAAATCACTACTCCAGCTTTCCAATGATATTTGCGGCTTCGAACCTCGGACATCAAAGGTAACAACACACCAGTAGATTCTATTGTGCAACCATATAAAACGGCAGCTGCTTGGAATAATTTGTTGCCAGTTGGGTCTCCATCTCTAAAATCTCCTTGTGGAAGCAGGGAGATGCTCCCTGGTATATACATATATATATATATATATACATATTTCATCCATTTCCCCCCCCCCCCCATTTGCTATATTTTTCTTCATTATATATATATATATATATATATATATATATATATACATTTGTGTGTTTTGAATGCTTTTTTTTAATATGATTGTATGTTTGAAGTAAACTTGCATTTTTAGTCTTTGGACTTTTTGACAAGTCGTGAATAAAACCTCGTTTGAATCTTTTGAATCTATCCTGGGTGGAAGTGAGCAAGGGCGAATCTATATAAGATTGCTAGAATCGAGGTGGGGATAGGTCTACAATGTCGACATAGATGAAGATGAAAGAATAATGACACATTGCCAATCACACTTTGGAGATAGCCTAGCATTTTATTTCGGGAAATAATGTTACAACCAGCGCGTACGCAGGATTTTTTCGAGGAGGGGGGTTTTAACATTTTTAAATCGGGCCGAAAATTTCGCATCGACTCAGCCAGCCGCTGAATAAGCGGGGGGGG